CTCGGAGGATGCGACGACACCAGAGAGGTCCGAGTATGGCCGTTATCACGCAATCTTGACGAACCTCCATACGGTCCCCTCCTGTCCTTCCTGCCAAACCATCGATACCTCGGATCCCTCCTTCAAGCTTTCTTCTGAGCCGCAGCCTGAGCCGGAGCCTTGTGGCTTCACCCATGCCTTGACAAGTTGCGGGATTTCATTCACCTTTACCAGTGCCTGAGGAGCAAAAAGTGAGCGCAGGATGTATCCGGTCTTGTTCTGCTGCGGTGTCGTACATCCCTCTTCGTGCTCTTCATTTCCTGCCCGAACGCATACCAAGCGCTCCGTCGCCCCATGTCTGACACTCACAACCTGATAACTGCCCCATGTCTGATCAGAGCTGGGGTCCTTCCCGAAAAGGAGTCCGAGATACCGCCCGCTCGCGGCATTTCGCAACCCGAGCCAGCCGTCCGTCTCGACGCATTGCCAGTGCCAGCTGCATTTGCCTGCGAGCGGATGGTCTTCCCCAAACACGGCTGGGGTTTGATGGAGGGTCAACTTCCCGCCGACTAGAGTCAGCGCTAGGTTGGTAGGTTGGTGGAGGATGAGGTATGTCGACTTGGCCGTGGGATTGTCGTCACGATCTTGGTAGGAGTCACTGGCGAATCCTGGCATAGACGAATCTAAGAGGCGGGGCATCTTTGGACGAGGCATCCGGTTGATGACTGGATGAGAAGAGAATGTCGCTGGTGATGCCGAGTCGGACGTGGGAGTTCGGATGGTATCGCTCGAAGAAGTTGAGGGTGTACGAGAAGCATAAGATGAGAAGGAGGAGTGCGTACTTCTCGCTGATTATGTGTGGGCCTTTTCTTTCATCCGGACGCGACTTAACCAGACATCGAATGAGAAATCGAATGGGACATCCATGCTTGTCGGGGGGCCGAATGGTTCTTATACGCTGAATCAATCTCTTAAGCCGGAGGAAGAAGGATGAAGAAAGTAGGAAATTGCTACTTACTATTTCTTTCTTTCTCAGACGGCAACTATTGCCCACCGGGAACGCTTCAAACAACTTCACACATCTACCCAGGAAAAGTACGGATGCTTGCTTTTTTAAGTCGCTTGATCCAACAAATGTCGGCTACGTCGATATCTGCAAACGGAGTTAACGGCCCAGCATGCACGGCCGGCCGAGGACAAATCAGTGTCCGGCTACGAAGCCTGATGCCCGGACGAGTAGTGAAAGCAACAACCATATCAATGGTGATTACTGAGTGGGAGAAAGAGTGAAAAGAGTCATGAAGGAATTACACAACGCATGGAATTATTGGATGCTGCCATGTTTCGCTGTTTTCACGTTCTTGATATTCTCAACTCGGCTATATATGGTCGGAGGTGCACTTGACGGTCCCGTCATACTAGTCACCGGACTGCCGCTGGTTGCCAACAAGATGCCTACTTCTGTAGTCGATTAGAACCGGAAGGAGCAACCAAATGACGACGGATTCGAGATGACTATTATGAGGCGGTCCTTGACATTGGCCCAGATGTCCCAACAAATTTCCACTGTTGAGATCCCACAACTCTTCACGTTCTCATCCATCTCTGTTACTCCCGGACAGCTCTAGGTACAACGTCCGCACCCCTTCTGGCTGTTCCATTCCAAGTTCCAGAAGTCAGCTTCAATACCACCAAACAAATATTGCGAGGAAAGGAGACATACCATCCAGTACCGCAATGGGCACTTGTCGTGCCGCAGAGTCCAGTCGAGGTACAGCACTGGTTGTTGAAATCGCCGCCATTACACGTCCAACCTCCTTTGCTGGGGCCACAAGTGCCATCCACCGACGGAATGTTGGTCGTGATACACGCGTTAGACCAAGTCTTCTGGCTGTTCCATCCAGGACAGGTATGTCAGCAATTGATCCGTTCAAGTTCGCCGAGCAGATTACTTACCATCCTTGACCACAGTGGTTGGCGGTATTGCCGCAGAAGCCGCCGCCCGAACAACACTTCCCAAAAGTCGACCCGACACAGGTCTTCCCATTTTTGCTTCCACATACGCCGTCGGTCGAGATGCTGCCGGCACCTGAACCTACACCTTCCTGACACTACTTAGCAGAGATCGGACGAAAGCCCATTCGTCCGCCAGCCAGCGGTTCCCAGTCCGCTCCTTCCCACTCTGACACTTACACCCGCCCACTCGGCGACCCACCACCACCAGCGGAGGGGTTTATATCCTATGTCTGTCACCCAATCTTTCAACACCTCCCAATGGGCACATGGCCAAGCGGTTTAACTGCCAGACTCACCGGCTAAGCCACGACTCGTCGGGTTCGATTCCTGACAGCGGGATCTTTCTGTAATAATTTGCAGAAAAGGTGATGCATCCCCCGCCTCCGCCCCCTTCCCCAGCTTGTTCTGGGGACAACCGCTTGACCATTGTCCCATTCCTTCTTTTTTTTTTGGTCGTTTTGCAAATACGTTTTGCAATATCCGTGTCCTTAGGCGGGGTGGATCTATCTATATTACACTTTCACGCTCTCTTGCTTGCCGAAGCGTGTACGGTGGGTGGTTGATGGATTGGAGAATCACGTCTTGCCGTTCTAAATTCCACATAACCCACCGGCTGAGATGCCTCCAGCACCGTGGCTGCAGATTCCGTAGTTGGTATGGTAACTAGCATCTCAATGGCTGGTATTTGAACCGCAGCAGCCACTGGATGAGCAGCAGTCACAAAATCCTCGAAACGACCTCTAAGAAGTCCAAAAGCGGCTAGAGCCGTATCTAAGACAGGCTATATACTTTACCCACAGCTTAACCCAACTGGATCATAGGGATGCATCCAGTAGATTGTCATGGGAGTTGGCTGCTAGTCAGAAGGTACGCACAACTGACCACGGTTACAAGAAGGGCGGAAAGATTAAAGTGAAACCCTGGGATTGACGATTATGACCTAACTTTGTCTTGCCCTTTCAGGTTAGAAGCTGTCGATCCAGATGGCGTTAGTAGTCGGTTTAGACAACACGTTCTACACGTGACCATTCAGATGACTATGGTAGGTAATATTTGTTCCTTTTTAGCAGCCCAAGCATCCTCGCCTGATTCACTCTCCAGCAATGGATTAAGTTCACTAGCCTTTCCCTTCGCTTCTTCTCTTCGCCCATTACGCACAGAAAACAGCCTACCCCGACTCGGAAGACATGCGACCGGTCGCATGCTATGGCTTATAAAACTGAATTAACCACATTCCAGAACCGTTGTTCCTTCTTCTCAACGGGCCCATGATGGCGGGAACGGAGAGGCTTTGTGAATACTGCACCGCTATTGACTTTGAACAGCTTCGTCTTCCATCTTCCGAGGATGTGAAAAAGCTGAACAAAGGACAGACAATCGAACCAACATTTCCTTCTTTCATCAAACATGACGAATATCGTCCCCACTGGAGCCTTGGATCCCACAGCCGTACTGAGAGTTCTGCCGCCACTTGCTCATTCTGCCGGGAAGTCTCTCGCGTTCTCGAGACATCAGGGGTGCCAGTAACAGCGCCTGCTTTTTTCGAAAAGGATCCCATTTGCGACGTCTATTTCACCATTTCTGGCGGCGTGGGAGCGCCTCCAGGTGTGACCTAGAAACGATACGCGCCACTTAAGAACTTGTTACGGAAGCTCGCGTTCAAGCATGAACTCCTACGGCGTCGACTCGACCTCTCGTTTCCCCGTATGTGACGCTCAGCTATGTTTGGGGTACCACACAACAAATCATGCTCAAGCGTGAAAATCTCCTTCAGTTACAGTCGGCCGGTTCCCTCTCGGATCTGACACCACAAACTATTACAGACGCCATGATTTTCACATCTGATATGGGATATCGGTACCTCTGGGTGGACGTGCTCTGTACCATACAAGATGATGACGCGGATAAGATGTCTCAACTCCAAATCATGGGTGATATTTACAAACATTCGGTCTTTACAATTGTGGCCGCTGCTGGTGTTAACTCTGATGCAGGACTTTCCGGTGTCCGTACCCCTCGAACGGCCGTGCAACACAAGGTTCAGGTCAAGCCAGCGAGCCCACGACAAGCGCCCTTGTGGCTCATCTCAACGGTTATGCCTCTTAGCGGTACCGAGGCCCGTGTGCCTTACACACATAACCTTCCTTGGCACGCCCGTGGATGGACATTACAAGAAAAAGTTCTGTCACGGCGTGTGTTCACGTTCACAGGCGAGCAACTACTCTGGAGCTGCAGGCGGAGTCAGCGATGGGAGGAGACCGACACGGAGACCGAGCTCGCCTCTTTTTCCTGTAGCACTATGATGAAGCACACTTAAGACTTGACCTAGACCCCGGAGCAGGCTATACAGGCGAAAGGGTAATGCAGCTCAACTTCAGGAAACTCGTTTATGATTTCTCCAACAGGAATCTTTGCTTCGATGGTGATGCTCACGACGCATTTTCTGCCGTTCTTCGAGAATACACGGAAATGACTGGTGAGCAGTTCGTATGGGGCATGCCTATTTCCGAAAGACATTTCGACAGTGCATTATGCTGGGAATCGAATGGTACCATCGTCCGAAGAAAAGGGCTTACGACTCTACCTACCACCTCCTTGCGTACCAAGGTGCCGTTTCCGAGCTGGTCGTGGCTCGGCTGGAAAGGGAAAATACGACCACCTGTTCATTTTCGCGCCAACCTGGGGTACGTATTCACATGTTATACCATTTGCTGACATTGTTCTTGAATTGTGAGCTATGCTAACGCAGAAGGAACATGTACCTGAAACTCATTATTACCCCCTACATCCTGAGAAATACGCCCCCTGACTTGCAAAAATATCTGATGTTCCGCTGGATAACAATCCAAGGACCACAGCTTTATCCATGGACGGTACAGAAGCTGTATACCGAAAACCGCCGCTGTCGCTTAACAAATATCGAAAGGCGGCGGAACTCGTGACCTTGGACATCATATACAAGAAGACACTCTGTCTAGATATCACACCGGAGCGCCTTTTACACACCTCTGATGACCAGCTTCTGTTCTTCTGGTGTGAACGCGCGCACCTTTATCTGGTGAAGCCGGCGTACGACTACCGAGCCATCGAATCTACCACCATCGAACGACCCTTCCAAGTACATGTACAAGACGAGGACGGATCCACCATGCAAAACAACGTCCACCTCCCGAATTTGGATGATCTAGAAGACGGCGAATGGGCGGCGTTTGTTGATACAGAAGGCCACAGCCAAAAAGAACGGATGAAGGCGGAGTTCATTGCGATTGCTACTTATCGCGCGAGTCCGGGGATGGTTCCTGGCGAAAAGAAGCGGAAGAAGGTTGTCGCCTTGATGCTGGTCAGGAGGCAGGATGGCGGCATCGCGTATAGAGTTGCTATGCTTGACGCGGTTTCTATGCAAAAGTGGCTGAAGTGTAAGCGGGAGAGGATTCTTGTTGCTCTGGGATAGAACACCACGCGTTTTTTGCCGCTTCTTCTCTCTGCTTTTCTCATCGAGATTCTCGGTCATTCGCGCTCAGCCTCTCGAAGTTCTAGACATCCCCTCACCGCTACATACTACAACTCAAGAATTATTCCGGGAATTGCTCAACTCGAGGACCACGATACCTCCACACCTCTATCTTGTTTGTGATAAGGTGGCCCTATGACGGAACGGCCCGACATCCTCGGTTGGTTGAAATATACTACGGCAGGAATCTAAGGATGAACAAAAAATGATAGCTTCAGTCCTCGGGGCTTCTTCCTGCGTTTTCCAAACCTCTTGCTATAGTTCGGCTCTCACATTCGAGGATACGCAAGCGAGGTACATACCGAAAGTCCTACCATCCACCAAGTCGGATCCCCTCCTCAAAAGCGTTATAGTCAGGCTCCCACGTGCGAGGGTTACCGTGATAATGGAGGTCGTCGTCAAAGTACCAATCGCCAAGGTTGCAAAAAGAGAGGGGTCGTGGATACAAGGGCACCAGAAACTCCATACCGTTGGTATAGTCTAGCACGTTTCTTTCCGGCACGAGCTCGGGTCCGTGGGCAAAGATGGTAGCCCTCTTCTTGAACGGCCAGTAGTCCTGAGGACCATCCCTAAAAGTGGTAAACAGGCCCCAGTCAAATTCGAGGTGGAAGTGGTGCTCAAGTAGGAACATGAAAAGCTGAAGAGGGGGAGGTGGCCGGTTATAGCCAATGTCGTTTTCGCCAATCTTGTGGTTTGCGATGCCTGGGCGGTTGTATAGGTCGTCGAAGACCAGGGGTATGTCTAGACAGTTCAGGTTGTCGCAGAGATATCCTTCACAACCGTGGGAATGCGGAGACGGAGAGGGAGACGAGGCAGATGCACATGCACATGCTGGCGGAAAATATGCAACGAGTTGCTGCTCAGTCGAGCTTTTGACGTCGACCTGCATCAGTATTTCCTCGGTTTGGAAAACGCCAAACAGAACAACCTTCGCTGTAACGGTTTTGAACGGCGTAATCTACAGTAGGACTAGGCGAAGTTGAAGCCGAAGTCGGACCTACGACCCCATCTCGTTCGGCGTAGCAGCACGTACAACTCCTCCCAAAGCGATAGCTCCTATCAAGGTTCGTGACATAGGTGATGATAAACTCAAACATGTGGACCGCCTGCATAGCCGACCAGACAACGGCCTCGGCTTCGGCCGGTGATCCAGCAAACTTGCCTGGGTCGAACAACTCCGATAGCAGTGTGCCATCACGATGGCATTCCATCCAAGCGCTACCCGGAAGGTCCGGGCAGCGGCCACAATTTCTATCGGCATAAAGGCGGTCTATTTCCACCCGGATTGCTGGACGAGAGGGATCCCGTGTTGCCGGCTTCGGTATGGTTTTGTTGCTGTTGTACTGCGATATGGTAACACGAATGAACCACTCGATGAACGGACCGAAGACCTTCTCCTGGCCGCCCAGCTCATCATTGAGATCATAAACGGGGAACTGGCGCAGATACTCACGCATGTCCTCTTTGACGGTAAGCCGGAAATACCGCTCGCTCGAGCGGTCCGAGGAGGCCTGGCGCATGAGATCCCCGAGTTCCTTCCTCCGCGCTTCTGCTTCCAAAGATCCACCATTGCCCGAAGACGAAGACAGCGATGACAACGGCGTATTATCCAGATCCTCCTCCTTCGGGTAAAACGGCGCGTTATACGCCCTCGCAAACACCGCGCCCATAAGAAGGGACATATAAGCAGCAATATGAAACCGCTCCCTCCAGACACGCATGCCCTCTCCCGGATCCTCTGGCGCGTTGTCGTTGATGGGCGGTGGCGGTTTCCTGTCCTCAGGCCAGAGGTTTTGCGCTTGCTCTGTGGCAAAGGCCTTGTTGATCGTGAGGTGGTTGTGACAGTACCGTAGCTCAACGCACCGGACGAAATGATGCAGCCCGAAGACGGAATCGAGCTCTTGAAGCGATGGCTTCTGTGACTCGCCAGTCAAGTCCTCGGGCTTGGTTTGGGGGGCAAGACGTCCTTGGTGGTGGGTATCGTGGACTAGAGCGGTGGCGCGGACCTGGATGGGAGCTGTTAGACGGATTGTTGGCACTATGATAGTCGACTGTAGTGTCCGGTGATTTTGGACTGGATTACATACCGCCAGTAAAGCCCAGTCAAAGGCTGGCATGACCTTGGGGGCGATGTGCTACAGCACCCTGGGGGTATTTTCAAGCCAAATTCCGTGGATACGACGGCAGGTTGAGATTCAAACCCGGAGCTCAGTGAAGGAGTCGCATGATTGAAGGATATAAAGGATGATCTCAACAGGAGCGGAGGTTAGGGCCGTCATGTGTGCGCGGACGGAGGTTTTGTCTGGCTTCCAACAAGATGATGACGGTTGACAGGAGCTTGGTCTTACTCGAATGATGAAGGTTGAAAGATTGGCTGGTCAATGAGAAAGGAGAAGAAAAAGAAAAGGTGAGGCTAGTATTTGAAGAGACACGAACATGGACCAACATGTCTTGGTAAGTTACAGCACTTCTCCCACAGTGTCCAAAACAATAATAACTACCTCTATAGACTAACACATGCATTCTAAGCCTACCTCTACCTAACAAACCAACTCTCGTAACGATTCAAACTTGAACAATCTTATCCACTCCCTCAGGCAGCGTCTTCTGCTTCTCAACACATGCCTCGATAAATCGCAACGGCAACTTCAACTCCACCTCAGACGCGTCCTTCTCTTCCAACAACGTCTTCGACTGCTCCAAATATGCCTCCTTAAAAATCTTCCACAGCTTGACATCCTCCAAACGGCCACCAACCCCACCCTCCCCGCCATTCTCAGCTGCCCTCCGAGGCCTAGGATAATACGGATCATTCTCAAAGAAGGCATGAACCAAATAACTCACGAGCCCCTCCCTCTTCTCCTCCGTATCCAACTCCTTCAGTTTAAACATATTGCACAAGTTGAAATCCAACAGCCACATATCCGCCAGAGTCACGTTTGTTCTGATATTCTCCTCGTCGCGTCCCCTTGTTTGCGGTTGACGACAAATACTCCTGTGTCGACCACCACCCAAAACAAACTCAACATCATACCCATCCGTTCCAGCTGCCCAATGCATCTCCGCCAGAGTCTCCGCCATCATTGTCGCATAATGGTCCACTGGCAGTTCCAACTCCAGCATCTGGTCCAGGTGGAGGTTATAGTTCCTCAAACCGAAGTTGGCGGACTCTATTATGGTCCCGTCGGACCTCCTCGGTCTTCGTCGACCAAGGTAGACGCGCGCAATACAGTCTCTGTTGACGGGGTTAGCGCTGACGGCGCTCTGCTGGGCAGGTGGACAGTAGAGCTGAATTAGGGCGGAGCGGACGGCGGTGGGGAGAGGGGGGATGCGTTCGGTGAATAGAGCGGGGGCGGGCAGGATGAAGGCTGATGACGATGGGCCAGTCTTGGACGTTGACTTTTCGGAGTCGGGAAACCTGCGAAGATTCCTTTTCCACCAGAGGTGAGGAGCCTCGGCGACGGTGGTTGTAGAGGATGCCTTAGGGTCGCCATCAAAGCGGCCAAGGTCGAGTCTTTCGGCAGCAGCATCGTAGGGGAATATCGAGAAGACTCCCGGGAGTTGGACGCGGCTTTCGCGAAGTGACTCGGTGTTAACGGTGCAGGTATCATTGCGAGAGTCGCGCCCGCGGAAGACCTCCGCTATGCGCATGTGGACGTCGTAGTCATTTTGTAGGGCATCACCGAAGGAGGGGCGAGCGATCTTGAATACCGTTGCGTCAGGCTGGTCGGGTTCGATGAAGACGAGGCCGCATTGACCGAATCCGATTTTCCACAAAGTTTTACCTAGATGGTCCCGGGGGTATTGTTCTTCAAAGTCATCTGTGGTGAGTCGGAGGGAGAGGGCTTCTTTGAGTATGTCGCGGGGCGTCCGAGTGTCTTCCATGATGCCAATTTGAGCGGTAAGCTTTTGACTAACCAAACTGTCCTGGGAGAGTATTGATGGAGGAGGGAGGAGTTGGTGAGGGGGCACAGCAGTGACGGACTTTAAATAGGCCCAGTCTCCAAGTCAATGGCCATGGTTTCTGCCTATTTGATGGAAGTCGGTAAACTGCTGCCTGCACGTGCAAGAAGACACTCGGCAATGCCACGCGTCATCTCAACCTTGCAGGTAAATTAGATCGCAACTTTCCCCGCGGGCACATGTCCCTTCCCGAGTTTGACATCAAATACCCGGAAAGCTGAGGTGCAAGTTGAAGGTTCACGTTCATGCAGCCGTCAAACTTCGGAAACATCTTACCGACCACCGCGAAAAGAGCCATGATGATAACTTGAGGTCGTTGCCAGCTTTCACATGTACATCACTTGGTAAGTAATCCATTTCAGTTCAACCCAAAGAGCCCGTCAGGATCTATGGTCGCACCTTTGGTAGTTTCGTAAGATGCTTGACATCTTTCAAGACCCTCCACATTCTTATTCCTGTTCTTTTTCTGAAATCGAAAGGTCTTTGAAAAAGCATCACCACTCAAGAAGCAGAATTTATCTCTCATTCTCTAGTCGACAGGGATAGGCTCTGACGGCGATAGCTTTAATGCATTCGAACATCCACATGTTAATGTTCACCTTTCGAAACATCCCCTCTCATTTTGACCACGCATAACGACTTTGTACATCGATAGGTTGCTAATGTGCCTTCCTTTGGCCAGTTGTTGTGCAGCCTCACTTCCTGTCCATCTCTAGTTAGGTATGCATATACGCGGGCTTGTAAACAGTACAACAGTGGCTTAAAGTTACTCGAGAGCGACCTGATTCAGAAGACCCGAGTTGCATGTTTTACAGCATCACGGTAATATGCCCTGTTTGTACGCCCGCATGTGGTACAAGTCAGGCTCTGGACCGCGACTGTCTCGCACTCGGTCCCAGAAGGCAAGTGTCACCTTAGCACCTAGGTAGAAAACCGGGTGGGGCCTTTAGGGTCCCTTCACTCATAGTTTCTTTCTTCGTTCTCCCTCCGCAAGCATTCTTGGAGTTTCATCGCATTTTTTAACCTAACCGACCTCCTTCTCTGCTTTTGTCGATAATTATGGGTCGATTTTGGAGGTCGCCTCAAATGTGGAAGCTCCTGCCGTGGTTCAGTTGTCACGCAAGTCTCACGCTTCTGATTTTGGTTTTACAAACGGCTTTGGCGGAGCTGCTGGACAACCCCCCTGAGGACCAGCTCTTTCGTCGAGGTCTCTCCCGAGGTAACGGACTCTCCCAAGTCTTGCCCTTAGCATCATTGTCTTCTGGTCAAGAGTGGCCTCGCCAACGTTGAATCGCTCGGAGAAATGGGGTATGCAGCGAGTGCTAACATATACGGCGCTTTAAAGTGGTCGTTCTAGGAAACTATCTTTACATCGATGGTGGAGAGGTGTCTCAAATATCACAGCCAGAAAATCTGTACAGCCTGCCCAATAACTCCACCCTCTCGATCGACATATCCAAATCGTGGAACGCAAAGACGGTTCAAATTAAAGCAACTCCAAAAGAGAACGGCCCTGTGCCTACATCCGACGAGGTGTTGTGGACTGACCCTAGCGGTGAAGCCTTCTACGTCCTTGGGGGACGGGTGCCGCGCGGTGTGGGCAAGGAACGGCTCGCAAAAGATGGCATCTGGAAATTTACAGTTGACGGAGTGGGCGGTGGAAAATGGGCACTGGAAGAACCCTCCAATATGGGTATGCTGAAGAGTCTTACTTTGACTTGGGGAACGGCACATGCCACCAGTCATACCTCATCAAACAGCATTGGATTTTTTTCTCGGAGGCATGGCCAATACATGGACGGATCCTGACTGGAATGATAACATGAAACCCATCGCCGCCATGGTCTCTTATGATATGAAGACAAAGACTCTGTCAAAGTCCAGCTTCCAGATGGCTATACCACCAACTGGCACTTTACGGGATGCACGAGCAGAATACGTGCCTCAGTTTGGCCCCAATGGCTTGATCTCTGTGCTGGGAGGAGTCACTTTCAATGCGGAGCTGGCGCCGGATCATATGCTAGACCTCACCAACATCACGTTCTTCGACCCAAGGACTGGTCAATGGCTGTGGCAGAAAACGAGCGGCAATGCCCCAAGGAACCGGCAATCGTTTTGTATGGTGGGCGTCACCGGCCAGGCTGGAACGTACGAACTGTAAGTACCTAGCATGCATACTCTCTGCTGAACTCCCTCCTCCCATCCCCGGTTCTAGAAGAACAGAAAAAGGAAAGGGTAAAGGATTGAAGAAGGGAAAGGCAAAAAGGAATGCTTCGTCGAATTTCTGAACCAATCCATCCTGAAGCGTTGACTCATAAAAGCTTGCTAACACCCAATCAAAACCCCCCAGATTTATCCACGGCGGCAACGATGCCGGCAATCAAATGTCGTATGACGATTTCTATATCCTCAGTCTCCCCGGCTTCCACTGGTTCGAAGTGACGGACCTTTCGCCCGAGCCTCGCGCTGAGACGTCTTGCGCAGTCATAGGCAACCGTCAAATGTTGATCGTGGGCGGCCACAATTTTGCCCAAGGATCCAGTCAAGGCTGGAAAGTCAAGGATACATTTCCCCAAGGCCTGGGCCTTTTCGACATGGTGGACTTGACCTTCGTCAAGGACTTCTCCTACAACGCCCACGCCGAGGCCTACAGGACGTCCAAGGTCGTAGAGGACTGGTACAGAACCAACACCAATCTCTCTGATTCTGTGCCGTGGTCGTCTAAAGAGGTGAAAGACATGTTTCTGGCAAAGCCTGTTGTTTTTGACGATTCAAACTTGGCCACCACCACACCAAGTTCTACGGCAAGTCCTCCGAATACGACAACACCTGGCAGCAATGTCGGCCAAATCGCCGGTGCAGTGGTGGGAGCATTGGTGGGCGCGGCAATTCTCCTGTCACTCGTCTACTACTTTTGGAGCAGGAAACCATCACCGTCATCGCTGGTGGAACTCGGGTCTCTAGAGGGGACACTTTCATCCAACACCAAAACCGAGCTTTCGGCGGAGCCGCTGGTGACGGAAATGCCTGTCTCGTGCCCACCGGGCCTTAAAACAAGCCACGAGGAGACGACACACGAGCTTAACGCACAAAGTGATATCTATGAACTCGACGTCACTAGTTGCGCTTGCGAGCTTGACGTGCCGACGAGTCGCACTTGTGCTAGCGATGTGGCGAAACAGACCGGTGATCTAGAGGACCAGAAACGGCACTCAAATATGGCGCCTTCCCGAGAGAGTTGATAATAGCTTGGAAGGTTCCGGTGAATCACTCACTTATATGTAGTGGCAATCAATGGATGAAACGTCCGCATATTCATCCCAAACCCTATCTACACGCACCCAAAAAGATCCCACGTTTCCCAGACACTCTGCAATATCTCCACCGAATTTTTTGCTACAGTCATGAAGCTTGTTATGCTTATTCTTCTTGAGCTAATTAGATCATTCGTGGTATATTAACGAAGGTTCAGATCCTTCAAGGTTTGCAAGCCATGTATTTGCAATCGCAGCGTCCGACGCATGTAGAGTGTTCAAATTTTAGTCCAAGGAATTCAGGAATGGATCGGAAAACCCCAAATTGGTTTGTAAAATTCCATACAGGTCTTTCCTTACTATCAAAGTGGTTGTCTATTCTAGAGGAACAACGGAAGGTCTTCAAAATTTGGGTGCGGGTATGCAATGTAGGTAGGGAGGTTTTGGGTAGGTACATCTCTTTAGGTATGAATAGAATGGCGGCTCGTAACTTCGATGCACCATGCACTTACCTCCAGTTGGGATGAAGACAGACAAACAAATGGTCTACATGATTCAAGCGTATAGTATGGCTAATGTGATGAATGGCTTTCTCGAAGTCGTAACAATGCCAGATCTGTGTACAAGTGTTCCTCTATGCCACCATCCATGTCCAGTGTCAATTTCGCAATTCGCAATCATCTATCATCGCAAGCAAAGCGACAAACCTCAAGTTTCACGCCTCCAGCACCAATTACATCATCAACATTACTACCAGCTATCTTTCACGGATTCACAATTAACCAAGTCAACCAGCCCAAATACCAAGATCCAAGTTCCAAAATGGCCATCCCGTACGTACTCATGGATCCATACATCCAACCTAAATGTTGGCTAGCTCTCTCCTTCCCCCTCTTCTTCCCTTTTCTCTCTAGAGACTAACTTAGCCAACCCTCATTACTACATTACCTTACCTATCTACCCAACAACACCAAGTCTACCTCAAGCTCTCCACTAACCTGCTAACCAGGTACTTTTATTGCACGATCCACCAACAACAGGCCAGATTCCCCAGCATACCAGGCGTACTACGCAACCGAGAAGCAGAGACAGGCCGAAGAATATGTGGAGGGACAGTTGAAGTGGAAGGAGAAAGAGAAGAGGAAGAGGAGGAGAGAAAGAAAAAGGAGAAAGAGAAGAAAGATGAGGAGAAGGAGAAAAATAAGGAGAAGGAGAAAAATAAGGAGAAGGTGAAAAATAAGGAGAAGGAGAAAAAGTAAGCTATGTATGGCGGCGGCGGCCTTCAAGAAGGGTCGAAATGCCGTATGGTCCAAGGTCCAACCCAGCTAGCTTACAGTGGCATGGTTGGTTGGTTTCTACCTACTGTGTAGAGGTAGGTCAGATAGAAGGGATTAAGAGTTGACAGACAACTGGAGTACCTAGCCAACGGTTGAACACAGAAGACAGAAGACGTACCTAGACAGGTAGAAGCAAATAACTTTTTTTTTCTCCTAAAATAACAAGTTAGGTACCCGGCCGGATATCGTACCTCTACCTACCTACCTATCTAGAAACATACCTTACCTTACCTTGAACATGTATTCTAAGTACCTAAGCACACAAACAAACAACCAACGCGCCATCTCGACATTATCCCTAACACACCAACACACAGGCCAACCCACTAGGTACCTATCTACCTACCACCTCCTCCCCAAATCAACCTCCCTAACCAATCTCATCTTTTCAACCCCCTGACCCTTCCCAGCAGCCCCCTCAGTACCCTCAGCACCCTTTCCGACAAACCCACCACCAACAACAGCCTCCCTAACAACCCCCTCCCAAAACCCGCCCACGACACCCTTCAACTCCTCGTTGCTACCCGTCTGCTTGAAATCCGGGAACGCATTAACCTCCAACAACCAAGCCGTATTTTTTCCGGAGGCATCATCAGCATCAACCAAGAAATCCAACCCATAAACCTCAAAAGCCTGCTCCATAGGCTGGAAATGAATCATCATCCCCCTCGCCGCCGCCTCGAAAAGTTCACCCGTGACTTCGCAGATTTGCTCCCAGATATTCTCCGCCTTTTCCTTGGAAAAGTGCGTGGGGGAGAGGGTGGGGAGGTCCCAGAACTTGTGAACACTGTTTTCGGCGGCGAGGGGGGAAGTGTAAGTTTGCAGGCAGGTGTTTGTTAGGTGCGCGCTTAGGTCCAGCTCTTCTTGAGAAGAAGAGGGGGCAGAGGGGGAAACGTAAGGGGTGCCGGCGAAGAGGGCGAGCATGTCCTTGTAGACGTAAACTTTCAAAGCGCCGACGGCGAGGACGTAGACTCTGATGTGAAACTTGCGGTTTTGGAGTTCCGGGAGCAAGAGGGGAGGGTGGATGTAGGGCTGGGCGATGAAGTGGCGGAGGTGGGAGGTGTTGATTCCTGCGTCGGAGTCATCGTCGTTGTCGTTGTCGGTATCCTTGGTCGGGCGCTCAACGGTGGTTGAGTCGTCATCCTCCTCCTCCTCTTCCTCATCGTCGCTCTCCACCTCCCAACCGTCAAAGATGCTCTGCAACTCCTCCATCGTACTAAACAATCGAATCCCTTGTCCGCGATCACTCATGCTCGGCTTGAGAATCCACCATTCCACTTCCTCTCCCTTTCCTTCGGCAAGCAATTCGTCGTTCTTCTCCATACTAGCGCGCAAATCGAAAGCTTCGACAAGCGCATCATCCAAGAACTCGGCGTAATCGACTTCAAACGCCTCGGCGCGCTTCACGTGCGTCTTCAGAGCGGAGTCAGGATGTTTGGAAACCCAGTGCTCGACTGTCGAAGACAGGAAATGTTTGCGGATCAGCGCTTTGCGGATGATGTAAGAGTTGATGAGCGTCGTGGACGGGTGGGCCATGGCGTGGTCGAAGTCGATGGTTTCGTAGGGGGTTATTTGGAGACATTTTGCTTCGGGTGAGGGGAGGAGGGTGTCGAGATGAATCTCGGGTTCCTTGTTTTCGGCGGTGAAAGGAGACGAAAGGAGGGTGTATGATGAAGCAGGGAGGAGTTTCTCGATGGCAGAGAGGATGAGGGGTTGGACGTAGGCGTCTTGGTAGTCGATTAGGGCGTAGAGGTGGTCTTTTTCGTCCTTGGTGGTGGTGGCCGATTCCCGGATGGGGAGGGTGGTCGCCGACTCGGTCTTAGTAGCTGAGGGAGTCTCAAGAGGAGGCCTGTATCGACGTTGTTAGGATCCTGACCGCGAGCAAAGAAAGAACATAAGCACACAAAATATTCATAGTGACAGTAGTGAGCCAGATCAAGAACCTTCTTGTCTATTTCACCTTTCTATGCTCTATCTGATTAGATAGTAGTAGTAGTAGCCATATCGTCTTTCATTATCTCTGATACTCATCATCATCCGTGCCGTCGTTGCCGTAGTTCTGTCGTTTCCATGTCTCACATAACCAACTGTTGTCGTTCCTCTCGTAAAACACCCTCTCTCTGATCACGCCCAAACCAACGCGAAGCCAACGCAAAACCAAACACACGCGCAAACTTACAGTTGCAACTCTTTGCCATGCAAATTCTCGGCCGTATTCCAAAAGTTGGCCTTGAGCGGGGTGACACTGTTCATCATCAACCGTCGTTAGCATTCTCAAACCCACAGCATCATCACAACGACCAAAAAAACGTACCTGGTATGCCCCTCCTTAACCGCCCACCCATCATTCCCCGGCGCCGCCTCCTCCACGCTCTTATATACGTCCGTAAACCTCGGACTCCACTTAAAGTGCTTATGAGTATGCAACCCGCCCTTTCCATCCCTCTTCCCAATCTCCTTGCCGCCATCAGTCTCGGCGCGGCCCATCTCACCCCCCTCTCTAATCCTTTCCTCATCCTCCTCCTCGCCATCGACACTGCCCTCCACCTCCTCAAAACAGCTGCCCGCTCCCCAATAATTCTGCAGCATAGGCGTATACAGCACCTTGCCCTCCTCCAGCCCTTCCAAAAGCGGCACGTTGACGCTGTACAGATCCACGGATCTGTCTGTAGGCCATTCCTTCCAAAGAGCCTCGATCACACGCACAGACTGGCGAGAAGCCTTGGCGATGATGGAAGGGTCGTGGTTGCGGTTGAAGAAGGCGTAGCTAAGCGCGATGGCGCGACGTTTGCACACCGCGGCTTCCAAAGCGCCGCCGAGGGTGCCAGATGACAAGGCGAACACGGCGGTGGTGTTGCGCCCGTAGTTGGGACCGGACACGACCAGGTCAATCGGCCCGCGGTCTTGGAAGAAGTGGTAGAGACCGATTTGCACGCACGAGGCGGGGGTGCCGTCGACGAGGATCCATTCTTCTGTTCCCGGGACGGTGGAGGGACGCGGGTGGGTGGAGCCGTGGTCGGTGACGTTGACGGTCTCGTCGGGGGAGTCGGTGGAAGTGATGAGGGCGGTGGTCAGGCCGGCGGCGGGCGAAGAGGTGGGCGGGGGACGGTAGTAGAGCGGCTTGACGGTTTGGCCGATCATGTGCGCTTTGCCGATCCAGGAGCGTTGGGTGTGCGGAAGGCAGACGGAGACGACGTGGCCGGCGGCTTGCAGCTCGCGCACGAGGGAGTGCACGTAGGGGGACGAGTGGGACGAGGGAGGCCCGTCGTCGTTGACTACGAGGATGTGCATGCTGGGCTGGCTGTCCTCTTGGTATATATGAGTAATGATAAGAGATTGGAGAAGTTGCTGTTGTTATTTTGTCGGGGATCCTCGAGAGAAATCTAGACGAAGACTTTTCAGGTACGCGAAGTCTCCAGGAACCGAGAAGGAACAATCCGACTTTTTAAAGAGCAGTGTTGAGAATGGGAGGCGAACGGTTGGTCCCGCTCCAGCCAGCCAGTTGTTGACGTTTTGACGTTTTGCGTGCTGGGCCCCATGATGCGATTGCGGGGGTGGGGCATCAAAACAAGCTGGAAGAAAGTGGAGCGGCACCTGGATGGATTTGGGTTCACGGGGTGATGATCCGATTGATAAACAAAAACAATCACCAAGAGCCAAGCATTAAGAATTTTTACAATTCTGACTAATATTGACTAAGAGTTATGACTCGTGAGAGGGATTGGCAAAGAGTTTGCTAAAGACTGTGAGAGTGTTCAGCCATACATTTCATGCACGTTTAAGTGTCGTGGAAGGGAATGCAGGATAGCTGTGCTAGCAAACTGGCTTGTCCTAGGGAAGTATGCATACACGAAGAGCAGTGTCTCGACGTCTCCTACAGAGGTAGAATTGTCTTTGCAAGTCAGAAACCGTCACGTTAAAGAACCCAGACTTCTTCATTCGAACTGATCAATGACTGCATCCGTCCGGTTTTACTAAACTATTCAAATTGCACTCTTGCATCCCAGGTTGCGACAAACTCAGCAATCCCAAGCCTATCTATCTAGACGTCATTCGACCGCGTGTCAGATGAAAGTACAGGGTTTTGTACTCTGTGTCATCAAGGGGATGAATGAACCGTATCCACAAAACATCAGCATATCTATCATCCAGAGCTGCATCGAAACATGGATGATAAAGTAGAGTGAATTATCCAGTAGTAAATTGTAGCCTAGCCTGCCTAGTTTGTTCCCCTCGTGAGAAGCAACAATATCAACAAAGTCAAGGAAAGAAGTGAAAACCTAAAACAACCGAACCCGAGAAACGGAGGAAATAACGACCGGTGCAATCTTGCTGCCATGCTATACCATGATGCCATGCACTTGTTACACTAAAACAAAGTGTAAACACAAAAGAAAAGGAAAAGGGAAAGAACAAAAAGAGGAAACGAGGGAAAAAGGAAATGGGAGTACCATCCACCCAGCCCCTGCCATGTTCCAGTCACAGAATCTCTTTCTTCCCAGACCCGCCCAGACCCAGACAGACGTTAATGAATCACCAGCAAGCAACATGCAATCTTTCCATGAATGAACGCGCCAAGAACAACAAAAGTTAACCACACCAATCCCGAATAAATTGCTCTCCCACATAATTCTCTCTCTCCCAGTATTTCTCTGCCGTGTGGTATGTTCGTCGTCTTCCCGTTCTTCTTCTTGCCCGTGGGGCTGGCTGGCTGTCATTGTGATGCCTTCCCAAATCTTGATTGCCCTGTTCCTAAAAGATAATAAAAACGCCCGCGCAGTGATCCATGTCCGGTCGTTTCCCAACGCCTCCAGTCCCCGTTCCCGTTGTTGAGTATTCCCGTGCAAAAGCAATAATCCTGAGATGTCGAAGTCAAAGCCAGTGTATTGGAGATGCCGTTCGCCGGCGCCGTTGTAGAAACCCATTGAAAGGACGAAAAAAGTGGCACAAGCACCACCCATTAAGCTGTTGTGTACCATATTGTGCCAGAGCGTTATCAAGTCCTAGTTCGCTTAGCTGGACCGGCTCCGACTGATGGTGTCTCGCTGGCTCTCTTTGTACCAGCACTGGAAGATGCACCGGCCTTGGTGCGGCGGAAGGCGTCGAATGGACTCTTCCTGCCCTTGGGTTTGACTTTCTTGGGTGTATCTTCGGCGGCCTTCTTGCTGCCGGCTCTTGTGGTGCGTGCTGTGGCTGGCGGTGAAGCTGGTGCTAGCGGTGTCGTCTCGGGGGTGCTTGCCCTTTCCTTGTCTTCTGTTGGGAGCTCAGGGGCAGTGTGGGGCTCTTCCTTGGCCTCCTCGACTGGCGTCTCAATCTCAACGGCCTCCTCCTCCTTCTCCTCCTCGTGTACCTTCTCCTCGTCGGCCTTCAAGCTCTCAAGGACGTGGTCCTCAATGTCGGTAGGGGCCTCCTCGTCTGAGTCAGGCATCTCGGACTCTTTGGGTTTGGGTGGGAACAGTAGACGGGGCTTGATGGAAGAGCGGGTGAGAGGACGTCTCAAGGGAGATGCGACAGCACTCTCAAATTCGTCATCGGCCTCCGCCACCTCCTCTTCAACTTCAGCGAACTTGCGGAATTGCTTTTTACCGCGGCTGTAAGGTGGTCAGTAAATAGGTCTCGTAATTTCAGGGAATTCACTCAGATTTCACTCACAACATGATCAGCATGCCATCCTTGCGGCCAACTGCCTCCTCCAAACTCACCACGCCCTCACCAGGAATGACAACCTGATGGCGGGTGCTCCGGCGCGTGGATGTGCGCTCGGTAGTAGTCGTAGTGGTGGCGGTCGTTATCTTGGTGCCGTAAAAAGGGTTTTCAATGCTGTCATCAACCACAGGGACGCGCTCATGAGAGTCGGTGAAAATACTAATTTCCTCCTCATCCGAGTGAACCGCAAAGCTGTCCAAGCTGCTCTGCTTCTTGGCGCGCGCCTTCTTGGGACTGGGCATTGCCTCATTCTCATCAACCTTTCTGCTGAAAAGAGTCTTTGTGACTCCCTTCAGCTGAGACTTGCTGCGCTCAGTTGGCGGCTTGATGGGGGTCTTGGCGGGGGTAATGAGGCTGCCAGCTCCAGTTGAGCGACCGCCGGGGGCGTGAATGGAGTGCTCGACATTTAGAGTCCTTGTCGCGCGCTGAACTGAATCCAGGGCAGGATTGACAGCGCGCTTCTTGACGGGCGTAAAGGTCGGGGTGACCATGGCTGACGATGATGAAGGTTCAGCAGCTTCAGTCTGATGAGATTGGTGATGGTGGTGATGATGAGGTTGATGTTTTGTTGACTTTGGCGAACCTGTCGATTTGTGTTGACGGGGTGATGATTGTTTGTCGGCGGGGGTAGCAGATGAGATGTGACGTCTGGGAGTTGGTTGGGGTGAAGGAGTGCGGGCGCGGCTGCGGGATGAAGATGAGGCCTGGGCCTGTGTGCGTTGGGAAATGCGTGCGGACTTGCGCGGCGTGTAGGGCTCCCAGTGATCTTCAAATCCGTGAAGCGGCGCTGGCGGGGTGTGGATGTCGGAGGGAGAGTGCGGGCCGGAAGGAGTCACGGCCCCGTGACTGCGAAGTACCTCCATCATTTTCTTCCTTTCGTCTGAAATACCGTATACAAACAAAATAAGGCTGACAAAATATTGGACAAGCGTTTATCCAAACAACAACAAGATGTGTGCGACCAATGAGATGGCCACTGGTCAGGCGACGAAAGTCTTTTGGTTGCGATAAAAGGAAGGAGTGGGATGGGATGAAAGAACCCGCCCGCAAAATTGATCCTGAGATTGGCGACGACAATGGAAGGCGCGTCAATTGGGGGGATGCAGTCGGATATGTGCGCTTCAGCGGCACGTTGATGTCGATGCAAGACCGTCGCAAGTTGATGCGATGAATATTATGCAGCTTCAAGTGCACTCAGAAGCGGTTGTGCAGTGTTGATGTGTCGAGATGTCGTCGTCGTCGGGGGTCGATGTGTTGGTGGCCGGCTATGCGGAGATGCTTTGATCCCAAGTTCAACCGTGAGACCTGGAACGTGCGAAAACAACAAGGACTTGTGCCCAGTTTCCTTCTTCTTCTTCTTCCTCCTCTACACAAATCGCGCAGCAACAGTACAGCCAATTGATCGCAAGCTAGCAGTAGTAGGTAATTGAAAAATACAATAGAGTATATCTGGGTGTAGTAGTATAGGATTGGCGATGATTCCACTTCTGTGTGGATGCAACAATAAAAAAAGAGGCTGAGAGTGATGATGTGTGTGAAGATGAAATGTGGGTGGCCACGTCTTTGCCTCGTCTGGGGTTAGGAGTGAGCGTGCGTGCGTGGGAAGCAAAAAGGCCGATGATGCGGATGTTGTTTGGGGGAAAGAATCCCGGAGTGCAAACCGAAGAAGGGGCTGGGGGGCGGTCTGCGCCTGATTGATCTGAGAGCATGCCAGAATCACAGAATCACAGAATCACACCCGGGGGCACGGACCATCCCTTACAGAACACTGCCGTCACACCCTGGCTGTTCCCCCCGTTTCCGTCGTCGTTGGCAACCAGGGGCAGTTGATTGATTCCTGTTTTTCCATTGGCTGGATCTTGATTGCAGTCTTGATTAAAAGCTCCCCAACGCGCTAAGACGCGTAAAGTCTTTGTTCTTGTGAGACGCGTCTTATACTCCCTTGCCCTTGGATGCTTGTTGCCCACTTTGCCCTTGCCGAAAAAGTGACCACTGTCCCTTGCGGAAAAGTCCCCGTCATATTGACCCCGTCCTGTCTGTTGCTGTCCAATCCCGTGGTTGCATGTCGATTTGACGCCTGGCCTTGCTGGGCACAGCTCGCAATTTGATCAACGTCATTCCAATTGCGTGCATCGGCGTCCGTGCACCCATCAACTGCAGCGGCAGTCCAGAACACTTCGGAAGAGCTTCCAGTCTGTCACAAATCAACAACTGTAGCTCTAGCTCTCTACCCTACCCCAGATCGTCAACCAGGAACCTTTGGCAACGACAACGACAACGACGACGAAGCACCGCCAAAAGTAAAAAAAAAAAAAATAGAAATGGCAGACGACCGAATGGAAATCTCCGACGAGGAGGGTTCCTCCCTTTTCGCATCGCCGACTCATCCTCCTACCTCGCGGGCGCATCCCCCGTCGCAATCGCAACAGCAACAGAAAACTCCCGTCGCTTCGAGCGCAGCAGCAGCCGCCGCCACATCCAACAGGGACCCCTCGACCAACCAGAGCAGTAGTCGCTTATTCGGCATCGACAACACCACCATCGAGACTCGCGAAGCCGCCCTGCAGCGAGAGCTAGAAGGAGTGCGCAAGATTAATCAAGTGATTGAGGGAGTCATTAGTACATTGGAGCGCGCAAAGGGGAATATGGGTGTAAGTTTTGCTTCTTTTCTCCGATACCCCTCCTCGGTTTACTTACGCAGGTTTGGTTCTCGGGTCGATCATCCGTTTCGATTAGCGAGCCTCAACTTTAACCACACATCCCTCCGCTTCAACTCTAGCCCCTTACACCCAACCTCAGTCCAAACTCTAATCCAATCACACCTCCCCGCCCTGCTTGCCCACCACTAACAATGACTTATCACAGACCGTAAACCGCACAATCCACTCCGCCTCCACCCTCCTCACAACCTGGACCCGCATCCTCTCCCAAACCGAGCACAACCAGCGTCTCCTGCTCAACCCCTCCTGGAAAGGAGCGACGCAAGACCTACTCCAGATCGAAGCCGAAGCTTTGGAGCGCCAACGCGAAGCCGAGCGAAAAGCTGCCGAAGCCGAGCGCAAGCGCGAGGAAGCACGTCGCAAAGCGGAAGAAGAGGCCGAGCGCAGACGGCTGGCGAGTAGTATTAGTCATACGGGGGTAGGAGCGAGGGGGAGGCCGAGGAGTAGGAGTGTGGGAATGGTCAGTTCGAGGTATGGGATTGGAGTTACCAGGAGCGCGACCACAGCGGGGACGAGGGGGGTAGGTCTGGTTCGGGAGTGGGAAGTTTAGTCGGCAGGACGGGGACGGGTACGGCGGCTGGAAGAGCGGGCATGACTACTAGGAGTGGATTGGCTTATCGACCGGCTGGGGCGGGGGCGGGAGCGTCGGGGATACCGAGTGTGAGAGGAGCGAGGGGAGGGACGACGACTACCAGGGGCACGAGGGGTGGAGCGACAACGGCGAGAGGGACGAGAGGCGGTACGACAAGAGGTGGTGCGCGTTGAGCAGGCTGAGAGATGAAAGTGTGCTGGACATACTTATGATCATGACCATTACCATGACGAGATGACATGAAGATATGATAGATACTGTACGACCTCCGCGACGGAGAACCATGATGTCTTTTTAGAACCCCATATACCCAATACCTATGTATGTACAGATACCCGAACCAAACCTTTCAAACCCTGAAACGCCGTTCTTTATGACCTTCCCATCATTTTACATAACCCGCAACCTTAGTCAGTCCCAACCCTACTTTGCACCTCCCCCCAGCCTTCAGCACTTCACGTCTTCTTCTGAAAAAAACTAGTCAACTTCATCATCCCCCTCGTATTAACCTTGGCCAGCTCCTTCACGCCCCTACTCACACCCGCCTTCTTCACTTTTTCCTCTTCTTCCTTCTTGCGTCTCTTCTCCGCCCTCTCAAACGCGTCCTCTTCGTCGCCCGCTATCCGCTTCCTGCTGAAATCACTATGCGACCGCGACGCTACCGCTTCTTGGCGGAGTTTGGCTAGTTGTGTGAGGTAGGATTCGAGGGGGGGTAAAGTCTACTGACGAAGGATTGGAGAGGGAAGATTTGAGGTGCGATGACAGAGAAGGGGGGAGGTAAGAAGAGGTGAGGAAGTTGAGGGAGACGCGGAGGCGTTGGAGGTTGAGGATTTCTGGCGTGGGAATCAGGGAGGCGACGACTTCGTTGGTGGGCGTGGCGACGGCGGTAGTGGCTTCGGAGAGGGACGTCTTCGTTGTCGTCGTTTCGGTCATTTCTTCCCCCTCTTGCGACTCAACAGTAACAGTCGTACTCGACCTCGTTAGGGCCACCGTCGACCTAATCCCCACAATCGGCGCTTCCAACGCCTTGGTCACAAACTTCTCCTCCATACTCTTCGGCAGTCCGTCTTCGCTCATGCGTTTAGCTTTCATCAACAGCTCTTCCACGAGCTTCGTCTCGTTAAGTCGGAACATGATCTCATCGCCCGCTTCGACGGTATCGCAAACGCTCGCCATGCGGGATTCCAGCAGTTTACGCGCTTGAGGCCATTTGAGAACTTCCAACAAATGATTTTTTCGGCGCCCTGAACCGCTGTCCTGCTCCGATACGGCGTCAAAATGGTCGTCGCTTGACAAAAACATGCGTTTCTTATCCGTGATCTTGGCTGCTAAAGCGGGCAGCACGAGGAAGAGCGGGTCGATGGGTGTTGCTACGTAGAGCTCCGAGTCCTTTGTTGTTTGCGCGGGGATGTGGGGGTTGGTGGTGCCGTCGATTAGCCAGCTGCGTGGAGACTTCTCGGGCGAGGCCATCTTGGTGAACTCGTAGAAACCGGTGGAGGGGCAGACGAGGTAGCGGGTTGGTTTGCCATAGCGAGGGTTTTGGAGGGTGACGATGCGGGATTCGGGCGTGGCGGACTTGGGGAGGATGAAGATGGTGGGAGGGGAGTCGAGCTCGGGCGCGAGGGTGTAGATTGAGCTGTTACTGGAGGTGCTCTTGGTCTTGGTTTTCGCATCCTTTGAATCTGCGCTGGCCGTTGCCACGGCTTTGGACGATCGTGTTGTTCGTGGCATTTCGTTTCCGTTCTGTTCTCCAATTGCCGATCTAGTGTTATTTATGTCCCTTTGCCCGAGATTAGATGTTATGTTCGTGTCTTTCGTTGTTGTTTTAAAGAGTCGCAATGTGTGATATTGCCAGGGTCTTGAAGTCCGAAGTCCAATGGATTGAATGGAGAAGGGCCTCGCTTGACCCAGCTCTCCACAGTGAGCGGCAGAGACCCCTGACCATCAATCGCGACTTTCCACTTGGGCTGAAGACCGACGCGACTGACCGCGATTTCGTAGCGCGCCCCACCCTCTCTTTGGTTAAATGACCCACTTACACGCTTCCCCAACTTTTGCTGTTTGCGCTTTGCGAGATCGCGTTGTCTTGGAGACTGGACTCCACTTTATGATGAGTGGCCAACCAGCGCACTGCCCTTTCGGAGTTTCCCACTGGTCCCTCAGCAGGAGCGGGACCTTTTTTCGTGTGGCCGGGACCCCAGACAACTCTTTCTCGACCTTCAGTTGAATTCCCCCGCTGTCGTCGTCACGTCCACGCACTCACTGCCCTGCCCGCTGTTGATGGGCTGCCAATGCCACTGTCACTCTTTCTCTCTGCCGTCACCGAAACGGCATCTGCACCCAACATCACCATTCCAAGTTCGGCTTTCGATCCAGTCTTTGCACTTGTCACTTCCAACCTAAGCTAAAGCCGACCACCTAGCACCCAGCCTTGAATCCTTGATACCTACTTATCATCATACCGCCGCGCGATACCGATACCGACACCGATCGCATCCGCCGCCCATTTCACCATTCTTTCAATCTTTCCATCTTTTTCGGGCAGTTAATTTGTGGCTTATCGTGAAACATCCACTTTCTCTCTTTACTACTCATTGGTAAAAAAAAAAATATTTTCGCTTTTTCTTCTTTTTTCTTCCATCACCACAGCAACGCTGCCTGACTTGACAAGTCTCCATAATCTGTGAGTGTGCCCAAGCCTGGAAGATTCTGAACAAGTTGAAAAGGCCTGAATGGAGCCTTGCGGATTACGGGCACCTCAGTTAGGTTGTCGATAAGATAGAGTTACCTCTAGTGGTAGCTGCTTTCAATGTTTGCACCTCGTCTTAGGACTGGACCTATTCTTGGCCGCCACGACTGACTGTGTGGTGTATTACACCATGACTTTTTAGATTTGCCTGGATTTCCTCGAGTTCCACTGGGACAACACTTTCACACGAACAACCACGAATTTCCTCCGAGTTAATCTTCTTGCGCTTCCACCGACCACCACATCGTCTTGCCTTCGGGCGCCGCCTCCCTGCATAACACCATCCAGCCTGCACTCCTTCCCTTTGGCGACCAATGTCCGTAAATGTCGTCCTTGTCGCACACTAATTGGCCGCCCAAATAGCCATAGCCTTCAGGTCCCGTCCCCTCCTTGCATAAACCTGGAACCTGCAACTTCAAACACCTGAACCGAACCACCACCACACACACCTCCCCCGCCGCCGCCCGGTCAATAGTCCCAAATTCGATCTCCGCTTTCTATCCCGGGCCCGTCTCCCTGGGTTCCGGTTCTGCCCTGGGCCACCAGTCCAGTCAAGTCGCTTTGTTTGGGCTACTCGATAACCTTGGACGGAGACGACCCCATCACCTTTGTCGCGACATCAGATCACATTCCAGGGATAAAGCACTCTGGGTTCGGGTTACTAGCGTTGGAACGTAACAAAAGGTCATGGCGACACATTGGCCACCCCGGTCTCCTCACGAAGCTCTCATCAGTACCCCGCGAGGCCGCCAGCGCTTTCGTGAAATGAAAACGTCGCCCACCCCGTCGCCGTCCAGACTCAGAATGTCCCGATCGAATCCCGCTCTAGCGGCGCGCTACGCCGACAATGAGGATGCCGTTATGCTCGACGTGGACGATTTGGAGGACGAAGATGAGGACGAGGAGATGGTACAACTGAAGCTGCAGGAAATACAGGCGCGCATGAAATTGAAAAAGATACAAAATGCAAAGGCGCAAAGAAGAGCAAACTCGTCCATGGACGCACGATCGAATGGTGGCCGACCAGAAAGCGCTTCGGCGAACAACTCGCAAAACTCGATGGCACCACCGGCCGGACTTCCCATTCAGTCAAGGTTAGCTGCGGCAAGAGACAGGATGGAACAACAGTCGAATCCCGTCCAGGTTCCTGCTTCGCCGGTGCGGAGGGGTCGTAGTGAGTCCGCTCCTCAGCCACCGCAATCCCCCCAGAGGATCATGTTGGGAATCGACAAGGGACGAAAAGCGGCCGACATGTCATTAAAAAGGGCGCCCTCGTTGCGAAAAGTCGAAAGCGAACGTCCTTCCTCTCAGGGTCTACAGTCCCAGCCGTCCGGCTACTTGCGACGATCCATGACGGCATCCTTTAGCGAAGATCAACTCGGTTCCCGTCGTCCAGTAAGCTTCGACGGGCGGGCAAATTCCTTCTCGCAGGCAGAAGAAAGGCGTCCCATGAGTTTCAACGAGCGGCTAGCAGCCGCAAGGAACGAAGAGCAGGATCGCAAGGACAAATCACAGAGGATACAGAAGATCAGGAGTAATGCCTTCAGTATTGGCAGGGAAGAGATGGAGGAGTACAAGACGAAAGCGGTGGACGTTCCCGAAGTCCCATACAAGGCTCCGGAATATTCCCGAGACGAGATTCTGTCAGCCACAAGAAGGTCTTCATCGACTGCAGGAGCCCGTGGTCGACCGCCCATGAGCGCATCATCATCGTTTACAGCACAAGTCAACACTGATAACGAACCTGGTTTCGAATCATATTCAGGTCTTCGCCTTTCCAAGCGCATTCTCCCCCATAATGTGGTCACACGCGCTATCACAGGCAAGAGGACGTATGGTTTGAAGGACCTTTTGCGACACGTTAAGGCGCCTGACTGGGCCCTGCCCGATGTGGAATCCGATGTTGTCGTCTTCGCGATTGTCGCAACTAAGTCCGAGCCGCGCAGCCATCGTAGTGATGGCAAGCCCCTGGCAGAGCGCGGAAAGTATATGGTCATCAGCCTCTGTGATCTTCAATATGAAGTGGATCTGTTCCTTTTTAATACAGGGTTCGACCGCTTCTGGAAGCTCACACCTGGTACCATCCTCGCCATCCTCAACCCGACCATCATGGCGCCAAAACAGGGACAGCAAGACACCGGTCGGTTCTCGCTGGTGATCAACAGTGATGAGGATACCATCCTGGAGATTGGCAATGCCCGCGACCTGGGTTACTGCAAGAGTGTCAAGAAGGATGGTATGCTTTGCAAAAGTTGGGTCAACCTGCGGCGCACTGAGTACTGCGAGTTTCATACCAATGAAGCTGTGATCAAGTCGAGAAAGGGGAGATTTGAACTAAACACCACACACGGGCTTGGGCACAAACCAAACTCTAGGGAAGTGTACGGCTTCAGCGAAAATGCCAAAAGGCAAGAGGAGGAACAACGACTGAGGGGGCAATATGACCGATCAACCGGTAGTCACTTTTTCATGAACCGTACTGCCGCGGAGCTCATTGATGGCGGTGGCATGGCTGATCAGGCCGAGAGAAAGGAAGCAATCAAGAGGAGCTTGGCAAGGAAAGAGAAGGAAGCTGAGATTGCAAGAAAACTGGGCGAAGTAGGTGGTGGTGCTGGAAGAGAGTACATGAGCCGAGCCGCTGGTGGTCTTCGCGCAAGCTTCTCCTCCACCACCTCGGTACCTATGTCTGGTTCTGCTTCCTTCTCGTCAGCCGCAGTCTCAACACCAATGTCGTCACTGTCCGGCCACAGCCAAAGCAACAGCATCAACGATCCTCTAGGCTTCGGCGGAAGACCCCGATACGACCTCCAAGCCCTCGGCCTGCTCCGCAAGAAGGGCGAAGAACAACCCAAGATCGACCTCGGCCCAATAAAGCGCAAGCGCCCCGAGTCCGCCCTCTCAAGCGAGACCAGCTTCAGTAAATCCAACTCCACCAGCAGCGCAACCATCACTCCCTCAAACTACACCAACAACACGAAAGCGCCCTCCTTAGGCTGGGGCTCCGGCCTGCGCGACAAGCTTTCGAGAATGAAAGAAGGCGAAAAGCTCAACCTCTCCCACCGCGCCAGCACCTCCAGCATGCGCGATTCCACCCCAGCCCTCACCAAATCCTCCACCACCGGTGGCCTTTCAACCGGCCTCACACCCGCCATCAACCGTCTCTCCACCTCCTCCCGCGACTTCAACTTCACCAACTCCTCATCCAACACCCAAACCACAAACCTCCCCAACCGCCCCTCACCCGCCGTCCGCTTCTCCGCTGCTCCCACGAATTCCCACTCCCACTCCTCCTTATCCTCTTCCCGCCTCCTCAGCGCCTCCGCCTCCGCACGTCTAGCAGCCGCCAGGGCAGCAGCCGCCGCACAAGCTGCTTCTGCTGCTGAAGGTGGTGGCGGGAACTCGCAAGGTTCCGCCGGGCAACCGCCCGTGAGGAAAAAGACGCGGTTCGTGACGGATAAGGGGATTAGAGAGGCCGGCAGGGATAGTCTCGGGGACAAGGGGTTTCTGTTGAGTGCGGCGCAGAAGAGTAGGCGGCAGGTGGTGTTGAGTGAGGATGAGGATGATGATTTGGAGATTGTGTGAAGTGAGTGCTCAGGAGTGGATGGATTTCGTGGGAAGGGTTTCAAAGATGCTGTGCATCGTGGATATGTATATGTGCTAGGGACTGGCTTATGATGGAGGGATGGATGAATGGATTGGATGGATGGATTTTCGGCACCTTTGATCTTGAATCTTTCTCTTGTATGATGAATTGAATGACTACACAACACAACACAACACAACACACAAACATAAGGATACATATACACAACTGGCGCAATGGATGTCGATTGATTGTCTTCACCCGTTTTCTACATATAACTAGGGACTGCAGATGAGACCTGATATGAAGCGCTTGCAAGGGTATAAGTGTTATTGCATCGCAGTTTCAGACATGCTGTTCGGCCTTTACGACAACATAGACCGACCCAATTGCTGTAGGCATTACTTAAAGCTTGTTTGAAGGCTCATAATAACAACCAATCAAAGCCCGCATGGCTCAGTGGTAGAGCGCATCACTAGTAATGATGAGGTCGTCAGTTCGATTCTGGCTGTGGGCACATTCCTTCACTTTTTGCTCCTTTTTGCGCTTCTATCGGCTATTCTTTTTTCTCTCCCTATCTATCAATCAGCTTATCAACTCTTTCATCCCGTCAATTGCTGCTATTCTTTTGCTTCGCAATATTTCACTTGGTTGGTTGGTGTTCAGTTGACTGACTGATATCCATAACTTGCTTTCAACAATGCAACACCAACTATGGGAGAGCTTAGACTTTTTCCTATCCAACTTTCCCAAAAGCCTCCCTCCCTCCTTCCATCACACTTCATCAGCCCCAGGACCCTCCTGTTCGTCATTCAATAAACCCAATGAAGCCTTAGACGTAGAAGTTCCCCTCTTTTTTCTTTTTTCTTCTTTCTCAATACATATCGTATGCCGGCATGTCCGTCCGTCCGCGTCAGAATCCGATCTTCGCATGCCGCCCGCCCGCCCGCCCTCCATTCTTGCAGTCTCGTCCGTTCTTCATCACACGTACATGTACTTCATCTGATTGTACTCGTCAACACCTAACCAAGCCACTCGCTTAGTAATCATGGTCGATTTCGAAGACCTGACCTGACGAGTATTATCCATCCATCCATCCATCTATCCAAGCCAGCCAGCCCGCCTCTGGTTTACATTTCTTACGTACATTTCCCGTTTTCTCAGCTCGCACACGGGGAAAAGGCGTCGCCATCCACGGGAGGAATGGTAGGTGGGTAGGTAGTAAGACCGTATGACAAGATCTGTCTTGGTCATACTATCTACGTATATACATACTCCACAGTTTGTGTACCATTGGGCTTTTGGTTGGCTTGGTTGGCTTGGTTGGTCCCTCGGAAGCTTTCTCGGGACCGTGTTTCTGTGACACCTCAGTTGAAGACAGGGGTCGGAGTGTATTCCGGATTATATAGGTACGAGTCGGGAGGGAGGGGCAATACCAAGAGTGAATCGTGCCTCCTTGGGGCGTTTTAGAGTAGAGACACCGGGGAGAGTCTCAAAGTAAAACAGAGAGCTTGCCCTACCGGTGGGTAAGGTATCTCTGATGTTTCACTGCCCCCCTACGAAATCAGCTAACCTTAACTTACGATCTTATTTACGTACCTACACTACCTACCTTTGCTGGTCACCGGCTCGGGCGAAGCAAATGGGATATTCCTTGATTATTTATCTCACCGACGAGAACCCAAAAAACCCAATCCCGATCTGTAACTGTACGAGGTCTGCAGTTGAGGTGATTCTCATGCTGTGGAAGGAAGCTTGGGTGTGAGTTGTGAGCTGTGAGATGTTGCACCCAATGCCCCTCCTTCTGTTTGTTTACTTCTCATAGCTCTTCCCGTGTCCGATTGTTCAGCACATGCCGGGCAGCGTAGCCCAACCAACAGCATGTTTGTTCTCAATTGGTGAAGTTGGTGAGAGTTCGGGATAGGCGTCCAAGGCGTCTCAAAGTGCAGCGTAAACGGTCTTCAGCCCTCGCTCGCTAGGGCCAGGCCCTCGTCACCCATCCAGCGTACCTTTTAACGAGTTGAAGTACGTTTCAAGCCAGGCGTAGACAGTCTTCAGCCCTAGCTAAGCTTTCATCACCCACTTCCCTCTCTCCATCTTAGTGAGTGAGAAGCGGTAGAAGTGCTGTCCGTGATCGAGTGATGTTCGTTCATTCGTTCCAAACTGCAGATCATCGGAGATAGTAGAGAGAGAATGCTTCGAACCCGCTCTTGCCGTCTTGCATGGACTACCTACGGTAGGAATCATAAGTTGAACGAAGCAACCTGTACGCCAGTATGAGGGGATGAAGAGACAATGTCTGGTGACACGTTGCGACCGAAACATGTTGACTCTAGAAGGAAGTAGGAAGGGGGGCTTTCGAATTGTGTAATGGAAACTCTTTGAGCTGAGACACATACATGCATGAAGGCGACGGCGACGATGCCATGGGGGACAGAGAGGAAGAGGGAGAGGGGGGACGGGGCAGGGAGATGTGATGGTGGAAGTCGAGTATAAAGCATCACTCCTCCCCTCCGAAGGTCGAAAGAGAAAAACCATCAGACTCACCAATGAGTTAACAAGTCAACTCAACTCACTCAGCCAAACCAACACTTCTTTTCCAAACCACACAAGGTTGGTTAATCCACCTCCAAGTTCCAGCTCCAACTTCCCTACCTCTTTCATCCTCGCCCTCCTCCTCCTTCTCCTCCTCCTCCTTCTCCTCCTCCTCCTCCTTCCCTACCTCTTTCATCCTCGCCCTCCTCCTCCTTCTCCTCCTCCTCCTCCTTCTCCTCCTCCTCGTCCCCTATCATCCAGCTAACACCCACCCACTCCAGTTACCAAACCAACCACCAAATCACCAACCCCCAACCAAACCGCCAAAATGTCCTACACCCTCCACCTCCGTCTCATCAACGACACCTCCGACACCCTGACTCTCGTCGAACAAACGAGCTGGTGGGGCAAAAACACCATCTGGTCGCAAGTCCGGTCCACGGGCGTGCACGTGCTCTCCATGGCGGCATCCGGCTCGTCCGGCATGCTGCGGTTCCAGACCAGCAAGGGCGACTTCTTCGCCGTGGCCGTGGGCGTGCACAACTACAAGCGGTGGTGCGACGTTCTTGTCGACACTGCTGATGAGGCGCCCTTGACCAAGTTGCATCCCAAGTACTATGATGATAAGGATGCCAAGTACCAGGCTTTGTGGGCGCAGGCGTCTGAGTTTGAGGCGAAGAGTAAGAGCGGGAAGACGGTTAGGATCAAGTTCTATCAGGCCGATGGGAATGTGTTGAGGGCTACGGTTGAGTATCTTTGAGTACTCGTCAGTGGGAAAGTGGGTGGTGAGAAAGGGAGTGAGGGAAGGTGATGAGGTGGTGGAGGATGAACAGCTTGATCAAGGGGGGAAAGAGAGAAGGAGACATGCACACAGGAGGACGATGGAACAGAATGTGTGAATAGCCAACGGCATTACGCTCTTTTATTGGCTTTGGAAGCTCTGAGGCATCATAGGTATCTTAAGACGCTCGTTCAAATAAGCTGTCATCTTTGAAAACAAACCCAAACATCAATCCTTGCTTGTCCCAGCTTTTGAAATCCCTCTATATCCCTTATAAACAAGTGCCAGCCTTTGTTCCCAGGCATGAACATAATTAAACCCTTGAATGGCATCTGTAAATCATCATGTCTTTAATGTCATCGCTCATGCGGCTCGAAATCATTTGGCCAAATTAAACACCTGTACCCCGGTCCGTGCTATGCAAATCTTACAACTCTCTCAACTCCTCAACATTCATTCTAGAGGATGCCAGCAAGCTTCAACGCATTAGGGTTGGCAGCGAAGAGAGCCTGGTTGGCGCTGTAGAGGTTGTGGACGAGCTTCCTCACAAGCTCACGAGTCTCGTCGCTGAGCTGATCCTCAGGAGGGCTGAGGACAGACTCAAGGACAGGGATGACCTTGGAAGTGAGAGAGTTGATGGTGGGCTCGCCCTGCTCGTAGAGCTTGTAGATGCACTGGTAGACGGGAGTGTTCTCCTCGTAGTCCTCCTTCAAGGGCAGGAGATCAACCAAGGCGGGAAGGACCTGGGCAAGGGGAACACGATCGGGGTGGGCAAGGATCATGCGGCACAGGCAGCCAGAGGCGTTGTCCTTGATACGAGCCTCGGGGATCTGGAGCATGGGGGCCAGCTTATGGAGGATGGTCTCGTACTGGGGAAGGTAGGTGCTGCTGTCGGTGGAGTGGAGGATGAGCTGACCGGTAGCGTAGGCGGCGTTGCTCTTGGTCTCGTTGTCGGTATCGGAGAGACGCTTGAGGAGCAAGTGCATAAGCTTGCCGGTGTAGGGGGTGACGGTGGCACCCATGTTGGCAGCGCACTCAGCGATCACACCGACACCGGTGGAGCGCTCGAGGTTCTCAGCCTCGGAGGAGGCAAACTTCAAGATAGGCTTCTCGAAGATCTTCCAGAGCTCAGAGAAGGCGGGGCCAAGAGCGACGGCGAGGCCAATCACAACGTCGAGGGCAGTGTCGATAACAAGCCAGTCGTACTCGGAAGAGCCCTCAACCTCCTGCTCCTCATCCTCGTCACCGAGATCCTGCTGGCAGGGGTGAGAGCGGGTGATGATAGTGCTGAGGATGCTGATGGTCTCTTTCATGAACTCGCCCTGGGCAAGGATGGCGGGACCGCAGGCCTTGAGGGTGGCGGCAACATTGCGGTTGACCTCGGTAACGACGGCACTTTTCAACAGTTAGCTTCATTCTGCAAAAGTTGATTGATAAAAAAAGGTAGGGTATGATGTTCATGTCAGGAGTAGATGTAGCGTGTTCTCAGCATCGACATTTAATGCCTCTGAGTGAGCTGGGTTTAACGCGAAGGTGCTCATCATTCGAACGGAAAGGAGGACAAAACAGAAAGAAATGTACGTACCGATCCATCTCCTCCAACCACACCTTGAGGGTGGCGCTGGTGACAATCTCGCCAAGCTTGACAAGAGTGACAGTGGGCTGGGTCTTGAGGGGAAGACCGGGCTCCCAGTTGGAGCCAGTCTCCTCCTCCATAAGCTGCCAAACGCGCGCATACGCGCGCCACAAAGTAGCGATGGCAGCCTTGCGGCAGCCCTCGTAGGGGTGCTCAAGAAGAGGGGAGATCATCTCGACGGCCTTCTCAAGGTACTCAGCGATCTCGTTACCGGAGCAAGAGTGGGTGATGATATCGCCCATGATCTCGATGGCAACCTCCTTCTCGAAAGCCTCGGGGGAGATGCCAATGTCCTCCCAATCCTCACCCTCCTCCTCATCCATGATGTCCTCATCATCGTTGGCCTTGACCTTGAGGCGCTTGCCACCGGTGATAATCTCCTCATCAGTGCCGGCAATGGCACGCTCAGCCTCAGAGAGCTCAAGGTTGATCTCCTCCTCCTCAAGCTCAAGGCTGTGGAACAAGCCCTTGAAGACACCGGGAAGGAAGGGAGAGAAGTCCTTCTCATAGACCTTGGAGAGGCAGCTCCAGAGGATGAAAGAGGACTCGCGCAGTCTGGTGCTATCAAGATGCAGTGCCTCCTCGCTGGACTTCATGAGGGGAAGGACGTAGGGCTGGAAGGTCTGGGCACCGACGGCAGTGGCGATGCGACCGACGGAGTCGCAAACACCGCTGCGAAGGGCAAGGTCATCCTCAGTCTCCTTGATGGTAAGATAAGCACCGAGAGCGTGCATAATGTTGTCGAAGTAGGGCTTGAACTCCTCGCCGAGAGCCTCGGCAATGGCACCGATAGCGCCGGAAGCAGCAACCTTGACCTTGTAGTCGTCGTGGCCGATAAGAGCGCCGATGTTAGCGACGAGCTCACCAGCATACTTCTTCATGAACTCGGCATCAAGACCATCGGACATGGAGTCGAGAGCACCGCAAACGGAACGGATGATCTCAACGTTCCTCTTGGCGACGGTGGCATCGGTGGTGGCGGCCATGGAAGCCTGGAGGTTCTTGACAAGAGCAGTCATGATGGGCTCGTTGTAAGGGGAGAGCTCAGAGGCAATGTCATCCGCAAGGCGGGACAGACCGACAAGAGCAGCGTGTCTGACACCGACGTCCTGGTCGTTGAGCAGGGTGATGACATGGGGCATGATGGACTTGATCTGGTTGGCGATGAAGTCGGGAGCACCCTCGACGACGGTGCCGAGAGCAAGGATACCAGCCTTCCTGTAGCCAGCCTCGGGGTTGGTGGCGAACTTGGGGAAGGCGTTGAGGAGGGGAACGATAACCTGGCGAGGGGGGAGGTCGCTGGCAAGCTGATCGAGCAGCATGAGAGCGGAGCGGGCGGGGCTCATGTCGTCCTCGTCCTCATCATCGTCGATCTCAGTAAGGATAACCATGCTCTTGATGGTGAGCTCCTCGCCGATATCACGCATGCCCTGGATCTTCATGCGCCTGTAACGGACAGTCTGAGCGAGGAAAGCGAGGGCCTGAGCGCGGACCTCATCCTCAGCCTGGGGGTTGCCGCCGAGGTCAATCATCAGCTTGACAAGATCCTTAAGGTACTTGCCGAGCAGCGAAGACTCGCAGGCCAAGAACTGCTGGAAGACGTCGAAAGCCTGGGCGATCTTCTCATCATCGCCAGACTCGACGACGTGCTTGAGAACGTCGACCATGGAAGGGACAAGGGTCTGGAGGGCATTGACGGCCTCGGGATCCTCCTCGGGATCGAACATGAGGAGGCAGGCGCCAATGGACATCATGGTATTGATGCGGACATCGGCGCTCTGGGGGTCGCGGAGAGTGTGGTGGAAGATCTCGAGAAGCTTGCGGAGGTCCTCGAAGGCGGTGGGATTGGCCTCGATCAAGCTGAAGATGATGTAGGTACCGACTTCACGCTGGTTGACATCGGCATTGGTAGCCAAGTTCATGGCAATGTCGCGGAGATCGTCCCACTCGCCCTCCTCGAAGTCAAAGCAGGCGATGACAGCGATGAGACGGGAAGCGGTATGGCGGCACTTGGGGTTCTGCTCCTTGAGAGTGGCCTCGAGGAGGACCTGGCGGACCTGGACCTTCTGGGCCTTGGGGATCTTGGACCAGTGCTTGGTGACGAGTCTGGCAGCCTGGACGGCGGCCAATTGCCTGACGCCGAGGTCATCGTGTGTCGCGAAAACTTCGATGAGGAGGAGAAGGCACTCGGGGTGAACATAGTAGTTCTTTTGGAGCTCAGCCGTGATGGCCTTGACTCTCTGGGTATCGGCTGGAGAGGAGGAGTTAGTTTTTGTTTTCTGCGTTCATTTGTCGCAGACAGCTAGTGTCGCCGACGAGGGGAAAGCGAGGGAAATGCTTACGAATCTGTGACTCCTTGAGGAGCGCGGCAAGCGTTTGCTTGTCCATGGCGCTTCAAGGAAATATGAACAGAAGGGGTATCAAAAAAAAGAAAAAAAGAGGAAGGATGAACAGAACAGAGGAAAAAAAAAAAGAGAAGGGAAAAGAGAAGAACAAGATCCCGTTGGGCACACCGCGGGGGAGATAGCAAGGGTATTTGGGGGGGCACAGTACTGCAGTGAAGAGACTGGAGGCGAATATGGAATGGAAAAAGAGGAAAGAGCAGACCCCGGGGAGAACCTGAAGGTGTCGTGAGGAAAGAAAAAAATTTGGATTTTGATCTAATTCCACTGTGGAATCGCGCTGATAAGAGATTGGAAATTTTGCTGCGGGGCAAGGGTTGCAAGCTGAGGAAATCGGCACCGCAGCAGCCTGGGGCGCTGCAACCACAACAAGTGCTATCATGTGCCTGGGAATTGAGGGAGGGGTAACCTCTGCCGCGCTGGTAGGACGCAAGTATTCAGTCGTGAACTCAGAACGTATCAAAAATCGCAGATATATAAAGCAGCAATACACATATTTTTCGTGAGCTTTCAACGGGATTTTTTGGCCCTCTTTAAAGGTACTCTGCTTGTCTGTGACTGTCGCAGACGTCCGATGTTACCTTCCATCATTTTGGGAATTCTGCCATTCTTCACCGCTATTTTGTCATTGCTTGCTGTTTGCCTGCCGGTACTGGCAGTCATCTCATTCCATCTCAACATCCGTCATCCGTCATCTCGATATCCCGGCGACGAGTTGACCAGCTCACGATATCCGTACCTGCCGTTAAGATTGACGATACCTGGCACTTGGTGCTTAGACCAAATAACTTGGGCGGTTATTGTCTGCTTCTATGCCAAGCGAACGGCATCACTGAGCTGTTTGCGGTCTTGCGCCAACACAGGGACGACAAGCTACAAAAGAAAGAGCTTTCGAGGACGTCGAGTTGAGATTGACGTCTATGTTTATCTCAGTTGATCCTGATCTTGATAGCATTATATCCCAAGTCTATACATTTTTGCCCCTCTTTTCATACCGATCAAACCAAACATATACAAGACAAAAGAAATGCTAATCGCTAAACGCCGTCCTTCTAACATCCCGCTGAACAGGTGCCAATCGTCTGTCCTCTCCCATTATGACAAAAGAAAACTTAACCGCCGTCTATACATTGCCAACATGTCCAAACTTCCGTAGCCAAAAGTCTCAACCAAAACCCCTCGACTAGCTCACTCATGACCTCATCCTCTCATCTGCGCAACGGAGTATATGAGCTCACGTCATCCGACGGCGTCTGGTGGTGGTGCTTACCCTGGCCCAACATCAAACTGTTCCTCCTGCCCGGCTCCGACCGACTCGAATCATACGCCTTAAGGCCATCGGCACCACCAGCAACCGGACTGGGAATCGGGCTTTGCTGCCCACCGCCACCATAGGAAGTCATGGTGTACTCTCCCTCGACCGTGCTCCCCTCCAAATCAACAGCCGACCTCATGCCAACCTGTTTATACCCAACCAAAATCTTGCTGGGATGATACCACAAAAACGCAGCGCTGACAATGACCATGAGCATGCCGTCCAACACCAGCAGATACACCTCTTTCTCTAACAACACCGAATCCCAGCCCAGGGCGTACTCGACCATGCGGAACAGTGAACGGATCATGATGAGCGACGAAGTCACGTACAGCGCCCAGAGGAACTGGCGCCAGGGGACGGTGACCGAGTAAGATTTGGGCGTGGGGTTGGCCGCGATGCGCACGTGGAACAGAATGGTGGTGATGATGAAGAGCCCGAAGAAGACGACCTGGATGCCCAAGCCGGCGAGCACGACGTTGTTGCCGAGGTCTTGGTCTTTGACTGTGGAAGCTTTGGCGAGGATACCGCCGCCTATTAATCAAGGGGGGTCTGGTCAGCATGCTAACTATCAATAGGGAGAGGGGGTTGATTGTAAACTTACCAGCACCCTGCGCCAGGAAAGACAAGACGTCACCCAAGACGAAAATCTTGGTCAACCAGTTCACTCTCACAACCGAGTACGCCTCCGCCTCCAGCATGCGAATGAGTCGGCCGAGAATCATGTAGATGGACGCGGCGTAGAGGGCGGGGCCCAAGAGGATCAGGAGAGACTGGATGATGTACGGCGTCAAGGTCCAGTTGGGTGTTTCGCCGGCGGCGATGATACGCCCGATATAACCGACTGCTTCGACTGTTGTTTTTGTCATTGATGGTTAGCACCAAGCCGGAAGTGCCAACTTTGAGCGAGTTGATTTGGTCGGGGTAGAAACATACAAAGACATCCCACCACAAACGGGATAAAGTACCACGTCCTATTCCTAACAAGCAAGAACGTGTGACCGACGGCGATGATGCCGAACAAGGCGACGAAGACGGCGTTGGCTGCTAGGGAGGGGTCATATTTGAAGAACTCGAACTTTTGCTTATCTGACCCGGAGTCTGTGTCTGACATGTTTGCTTGCGAGCTTTCGAGAATCCCGAGGATGAGCTTTGATGTCGAGTCGAATAATACTTGAACGAATCCAATCGGAGGCTTGTCAAGGGACTGGAAACGAGGGAAGAAAAAGAGAGACAAGAAAAGAACGTCGATTGTTGATGATGGTGTTGATGATGAGGACAATATCACCAAGAACTGAACCGGAGCGCCCCTTGAAGATATATGTATGTTACAACCCGGTCACTCGGGAAAGCTAAAAGCTAAGCAAGCGCTAGCAACACAAAGAACCACTTCCAGAAGAAGCAAAGAAGGTATGTTAGGTAGGTAGGTAGGTAGGTAGGTAGGTAGGTAAGAAACATGGATACTCTACCTAAACGCGTAAGCATACAGACAGAGTTCACGGCCTCAACTTTCAACCGCAACCTCGTCCAAACCAAACCAAACCAAACCAAACCACATTGCGGAATATCTCCGCCGCTGCGCATAGCGAATCTGCCACCACCGCATTTGATACCCGCTACCTATCACTAGGACCCTACATTACCTGCCTACATTGACAGCCTACCGTCTACGGTACCTACGGCTATGCTGCAGACTCGCACCGTGATGAGACAAGCTCAAGGTAACAAGTGGGAAGCTTAAAGCAGGAAGCGGGCCGTTTGAACCGTATTCGAAGATCTGCGCAAGCCATATCCATCCACATGCTGTAGGTGTATACGCGCATTGCCTCGTCTAACAAACGTCCCTACTCACTCCCACTGTATCCTGTTAGTGCCGTCACTTGCAGAATTCGTCAAGCAAGCATTCTCGGTTTCCTTGCCGGGCTATACGCGTATTCCAAAATTCCAGGGGTATTAGACACTCGCAAATGTCGGCGTCAAGTCTCGGATCTTTCCGATGGATCCTTCGATCTGACGGTTGGGTTGGTAATTGGTGAATTGGTCTTTTGGTTGAGCTCGTTGAGGCTGAGGGGGTTCGAAACTCGCAGGACATTGAACCTAACTAAAATGGCTTAGCGCGGAGATGAATACGCGTATTCGATAAGCGACTTTACAGCTGGGTGCGATAAGGATTTTTGGTAAGTGGAGGGTCTAGAACTACCCTATGGTAGGCCGTATTCCGCTTCAAGTTATTGTTGTGACTTGTGTTGTTGATGACGGACATAACAAACAACAACTTCATCCACAGCCAGCCCCTTTCAGTAGCAACATTATATCTATGCTTATCTCACCTATGGTACCCAGGCGCTGCCACGCGACTTAACTCCGCCTCGGTCGGTTCCATGAGATGAGATGAGATGATATTGCGACGAAAGCCCCACTGCCACCGTGGAGGTGATGGCGCTGACACGATAAACTCGACAATGAACCGAACGATGAACCTGACGATAAAAACCCGAAGATGAAAGACCGAGAGACGAGGACCTCGACGGAAGGCACGTGGCTTCGTGGCCAGGATGGATGGGTGCATTGCAGATAGATTGAGACTTCATCTGTATCTGTCCGTCTGTCTGATACTCGTATTAGGTACAGGACGACTCGACTCGATTGATTTGATTAATTCAAGATTCCATGTCTGAATCTCCCAACTGAAGCTGACATCTAAAGTCCAAACGGCAACTTCTGCCCTGTTTGCTGCTACGTCGATGCTATAACTGCTCTCATTATTCATTATCATACTTCTAAGGTCTAGTAAAAAACGGCAAGTGGCTGTTGCTTTGTGTCGCAGTCGTATCCAAAACTGATCGATACTATCCGCGTATGTATCCGCGTATGTCTTCGGGGAAAAAAAAATAATAGAGCCAGCTATTATACCCCCTCTCTACCCCTTCCCCTTTGTTTCCCCATTTTCTCCTCCTATCAGATCAGATTAATCCAAACTCTAGATCTAAGCCCCAAATCAGCTCGGTCTGGGCTCTGCATGCCCGAAATTTCAACACGGTCGGGATCGAAGATGGAAATCAACCCATCCAACTTCCCCTCTGACTTGACGTTCCCTCAGAACTCCGTCCCCGAGGCTCTTCGCCAGCACCAACACCACCCTCCACCTCCAATTGCTTCAACCCCCTAGATGTACTCCCCCTACTCAACAACCTCTCCTTAAAGCTCTGCGGCGAGTATGACTCCCTCACATCCCGTGCAGAAGCTGACATCGCCCCCCTTCCTCGAAAAGCCGAATCAAGACTCCCACCCGTCTTCGGTCTCAAGAACACATTGTTCAGATCCTCGTCATCGTCACTGCCATCTTCATCGTACATCCGCACCGGCATATCAACACCCGTCCAAGCCTTACGTGCCTCCAACCCTCCGTTTAGATCGATCCCTGTGGTCCTGACTTGCAGAGCAGGCTGGTGGCGCAACCGATGCTTAGGAACAGAGAGTTCTTCCATCTGTTTGCGGCTGGGGATTGGTGCCGTCTTAGGGCGGGCGGGAGGATGCCCGTGGAAGTGCTGGGCTTGGTGGTGGATGCCGAAAGCTAGGAGCTCGTTGCAGCGGCATGTGGAGGGGGAGGCGCAGGTGCAGCCGCGTGACGGTTCGGTACCGATTTCTGAGGATACGATGCCAATAAAAGGCGCTGAACCGGACGCAGAAGCGGGCGTGGTGGGTGATTTGAGAGTTCCGTCGTCGGACTCGTTGGTTGCTACGGTTGCTGAGACGGAAAGGGTAGGTGTTGGGTGTGGGGAGAGACGTCTGGGGCTGGTTGGTGGATTGCCTCCCGTGAGGCTTGGTCGGCTGCGGGTGGTATCTGACATTCGTCGTGATGTTAGTTTGTTAGTATTGTTGTTGCTGATGTTACTGGGGGTGTTGCTTCCTCGTCTTGACTGCCACGGTGGGATCAAGGAAGGGGAGAACAGCCCATCTGACGTTGATGACTGTCTGTCTTGGGCGCGGGAAGTCTGGAAGATGGCGCTTTGACGGTTTCTGCGCGTTGAGCGGCGCGCTAGGTTTACGTTGCCAGCACCGCTTGAGGACCGTCGCCTCTTGTCCTCAGATGAGGTACCTTCTCCGCTGGTGGCGTCGTTGGTGCTGCCGTGAATGCGGTGAAGGCATTTTCTAATGGTGTTCGCCTTATGTGCTTCGAAGACCAGTTCAAGTTGGCCAGTCAAGAAGTTACGGTACGCATCGTCGATGGCCTCCGGAATGAAAAGCCGAAGCGTCTCTTGCAAGTGCGTTTTCAGCGCTTCTTGACCTTCGTCGAAATGCTGCTCGACTTCGGCTAGTTCGATTACGGGATGAAAGTCTGCATGATGGGTTAGTTGTCATAGCTTCCTCCCTCAGGTCTTGGAGTTGCTGCTTACCAGAACTAGGAACCTGATCATCCATAGGAAAGATCAGACGCCACAGATCATCCCAAGTTCGGATCCCATTGCCAGAAGCCATCGTCCTGTCCACATCCTCCGATATCCCATCCTCAGGATTGCTTAGGGTTCCCGCCGGAACTGTGTCGCACATTTCATCCTTTGGGAGCATCAAGTGATGATCCAAAGCAATTTGTGTAGGGAATCCGACTTTGCACCGCTGACATTGATGGGGCATCGCGCGCCTTCGATGATAGGACATAACGTGGTGTCGCAAGTCGGCCAGTGACTCGAAAGAAGTCATGGCGCAAACTTCGTGATCGCGGATGTTGAAGCGAACCGGATTGCGCACCCGGAATGGGCAGGAGTATTCCTCCGCCCCCTGTTCATCCATCCCATATGTCGTTTCCGAATCGCGATCCTGTCGGCCGCTTCGGATGGAACTACTGCTCATCACTCTCCGATGCCGAGATGCAAGATCATTCCGCGCTCCAACATCGTAAAAAGTCCTTCTCGATCCCACCGATTGTACCGAGTTCGACATTCTCCTTATGGATGGTGTGGCTCTTAGCTGTGGAGCGCCTGCTATGCTTGGTGGTGCAGATACCACTGGTGCACTTGGGTTTGGTGGCCCAAGAGAAACGGTGATTTCCTCCAGGCATCTGGCTACCGCGCCCCAGATCTTAAGCGTCGTCGATGGTTGTTCCGCCGCGGCATTTTCCTCAGTTTGCTTCAGAATGGCGGCGGATATTTCAGAGGCTAGCTCACCCTCGCTGGGGGCATCCTCAGATATGGTCGAAGTCCGTAAGCCGTCGGAGGAGAGGTAAGTATACCGTTGCCGTGGATGATCGGGAAGACCGAGTCCGGGAAGGAGTCGACTGGACGATGAACTCCGCGCTGGAGGATTTCGCTGAGTTGGGCTCACCAGACTACTTCTGGCACTGGTAGCCTCACTATACGCAGGCGATGGCCTTCCCAGTAGTGATAATCTCTTTTGTTGGCGTGAAAATTGTACATCCAGACTTGGTGGCCTTGTAGGGCGGTACATGTTGGTAGAAGGTGTAGAATTTGGCATCATGCCGGTGCCACTCGCTCGCTGCTCATATTGCCGGCTGTTGTAAGAAGATCGATCCGTCACAATATCGCCCTTCTGTGATGATGTCAAAGCCTTGGGGGTATTATCCCTATGTTGGCTTGGACGGGTATTGAGTATGTGTTCCGGGGTCGAGAGGGCCATGGGCTCCGTGTCATAATTGGAGTAGGCCAGTGACAAAGACGCAGGTGAGGAATCAGTCGAATAAGCTGGAGAGCAAGGAGAAGCTAGAGAAAAGAGCGAGGTTCGAAGTGGCGTGGCAGGAACAAAAGGAACGTAGAGAGGAGCTGGAGCAGAGGTGGAAACAGGAGTATCAGAAGAATTTTTGATGGATCGAGCTTCATCTATCCGACGCTGTATGTGGTGGTCACGATTCGTATTGAGATTGGCCAATCCGGCGCGTAGCTGTGGCGCCGCCGCCGGTGCGCGTAACTGCGAATGATGTACTGGATGCACAGTATGATGGTGAGCCGGTTCCACGACGGCTGGATGCTCCTCTACGGCGCTTGATTGCTTGAGTCCATCTGATGATGACTGCTTTTCCAGCAGGCGCCACCATAGGTCCATGCTGTACGCGTGGGCCTATGCCACGAGCCAGCCATGGAAAAGGGTTTGGATATCTTGGAAGGAGGAGGCCTGCCGTGCCTGTGGTTTGTTTCTTCTTGTTGGTTCTGCGAACTCGGATAGAGCGGGACAACGGACGACGACGTCGAGGTGGATGATGACTATGAATGGCGGATGAGGGAAGCTGAGGCGAGCAACCAGTGAGCTGAATGGAAACAGCAGCCCAGCAATCATAAAACAGAAACGACGTCAACAAAGGCCTTTAATGAGCCATACAGATGCAAGAAATGGACAATGGTGGGAGAGGACGGGACAAATACAATGAACGAACCAGGATGCTCGGCCGAGATACAAGACCACAAACACGTGCTAAAGGAGTTGTCCCTGGAATGCCTGTCATTCTCGGACTTCTTCAGCGGCCCTCTCTCTGCACCGATTGGTCAATCCGTGGCCCATTCACTGAACGACATGCCGGATCTGGACGCTGATTCGCTCATGATTGGCCCTGCGCCAACAAGGGAGGCCACTGTACACTATCGTCCCTGTACGTCAGGCCTGACGCCTGGATGCAATTTCCCCGGAAAACTCACGATCTCCTTCGCGATTCGCTGCTGCCCCTGGCCGTCAACGGGAATTGCGGCCTCCTTGAGCTTCCACATGTACTTCTTCCCTTTGAGGTTCTTCAAGGTCTTATTCCCCGATCTGAAATCCTGACAACCAGTTCCTCGGGACAATGAAGATTGATCTGGTGGCGTCGAACACACAAAGACCTTGCGAGTTCTCTTTAGAATCTCAAAATACGTGTACGCTTAGTCTTTTTTTCCAGAACTGTTCCGCCATCGTCAACGAAACACCGGACGAATCGATTTACCAATACGACGTTCTTTTTCGCCCCGTTCGATGGAAGCGTGCTACGTCAGACGGACCTGGGCGCGCAGTTTGGCAAATGGAAGTCTCACCAGCACTTTTCAGGGTCCAAGCTCCGGAAATTAGTGCAGATTTCGGTTGGCCATGTTGGTGCACCCTGATGGACATCTGATGGACACTGATGGGACATTGTTGACCGCCGCCCAAGCACGGGGTAATCCACTTTGGTAAGAACATCGTGTGTTGACAGATTGGTGTTTTATGCGTTCGATATGGTTGGGAGGTTTTTAGCTTCTTGGAGCGGAGGATGGAATGTCACGAATCCACGAAGCTTCCGAGGTTGAAGTCCAGTCGTCGATGTGTGCACTAACATATTTTCGGGGACAACGACGGGGGCAATGGTATCACAGGGTTAGGGTAATTGCAGTGCCTGTCGACGTCGACCTCATCATCAGCAATTCCAACGATCAGGTATCATCGCGATAGATGAAAGACTGAGGCTGGCTACCAACATATCTCTAAGCCGGAAGCAGCAATATGAAACCGGGTTTGGCCATGGTGAAGCTCCGAATTCATGTTGGATCTTTATTCACGAGATCCATTATTGTCTGCAGTTCACTAACAAATCACGACCGCCTATGTTGATCAATCTTCAAATCTCCACCATAACACATTGAGGGAAGATGACGAAACTCCAGTATCAGATGGCCAGAGATTGGTAGAAGACATGATGATTATCACACTTGTATTTTGCGGGGTCTCCACATGAATATTTGATGAGTTCCGTTAAGTCTGACCTCGGGAATCTGTTAACGTACGACCTGCCAGTATATTATGCTTGGGAATTCCGGAAGACTGGAAGAGTAGTAAATGGGCACCCAAGGTATGGATCCCCGTGACAAAGACTTGGCTGAGTTGAGATTGTGTGCCAAATTAAATCTATGACATATGCATGTGGGGAAGAAAGTTGATGGCGGATTTGTTGACATTGTGATGGTGATATCCGATGAGGACGACGGTTAGTAAGCCACCTTTCACTGAGGGTGAGGCAGAACTTGGAAGCAGTTGAGAGGCCTGCATCACCTGAGATGGAATAATTGTGATGAGTAGTATGTAGAAAATAACTTGATCTCATCAGCGATGATGATATGGTCGTCGTCTGCTCGCCACCTCAAGTCGTCTACTCGCGACCAAAGGGGCGCAAAGTGAAGTACAGGTGAGAACTCCCAAGACAGCCACGCAAACCCGGATGCGACGATAAGACAAAACCAACCCATACTAGCTAACAGCTGGGCAAACAGATGAACGAGCAAATAGGAGTGCTTGAGGTAGTGAATTTCGCCCTTCAAGTATCGGACAGAATTTCGTGGATCGTCGCAACATTCGTGAAAAGAAAAGAAAGATCAGAAAAAAAAAAAAAAAAAAAAAAAAAAAAAAGAAAAGGGTCCGGCCGACTCGGGATCGAACCAAGTCTCTCCTCAGAACCCCTGTTTTTTCGCCCCCGTCTTCGGCTTCCATCTCGATTTGCTACAACTTTCCTCTACTCACTTTAGAAGTAAGTAGGTACCGGTTGCTCAAGATGGCGCGGAAATACGTGAACCGCAGTTCTGTCTGACATTGCACGCCCGGCCTATTTATTCTGACGACGGAAGCTTGAGAGTTCTGAGATGTGTGTGATCAAGACGGCAGACTGAGATTGTGGTGAGCAACGCATCAGACCGCTTGACCACACGGATAGTGTTTGCGGTCGATCCGAAAGCAAGGCTGGATGAAGGGGGTTATATGGTGCCTTGGGACGACATGTGCGGTTTGCAAGTGAAAATGGAAGGTGCGGGAGCTGTGCTGTTGCGAGGGGTGACGCGGCGCTGGTTAGTGGCTGGTGGTGCCGAAGGTGGAGGGCATGGGTTGGGATGGAAGTTGAGCTGTGGAGGGGCCAGCTGATGGGTGACTGTATGGTGTATTATACTTACACGCCTATCATACATCGTGTCTAGGTTGGCGGAGTGGCGTGAATCGACAACAGTTGGTAAATTTTATCCGTATTGAGTTTATGATCTGCTCACATCTTTCTCCGGGTACACCAAAACTCAACATTTCCCCGTCCCAACCCACGACCCAACTCTAATAGGCATAGGTACTCTCCCTCGCAGTAGCCTTACCCCTCGCCATCCTGTTCATCATGCCCGTCAACGGCCTCACCGACGCATCAACAAGACTCTTATACCAAGTCGAGCTCCCATCCTTCTCCGTAACCTTGATGCTCGTATCTCCCATTAGGATAGGCGGCGAATCCAAGTAGATCGACTCCCAAGCACCCGCGGGCACCTCAAAGGTCTCGTGCAGCGCCGTGATGTGGTTGTATCCCTTCTTGCGGAACGCGTGCAAGAAATCCCAGCCGTCGCGGTGCTCCTTGTCGTGCGCAAACTTGTGCAGTCCCTCGACGCTCTTGAAGTACATGACGACCAGGCCGGCGTTGTGGGTCGCGCGCTTGGTCTGCTTCCAGTTGGACATGCCCAAGAGGCCATACTCCTCCTTCTTCTCGTTCATGGCCGAGATCATGTTCATGAAATGGGTGTAGACTTCCTTACCGCCAGGGCAGGCGGGACCCAGCGGGTGGTTGTACGAGACGCCGAGGTGGAAGACGACGATGGGGCTGGAGCAGGGTGCGTTGGGGTAGCGACCGGTTTCCCACGAGGGAGGCTGGCCGCTGGTGAGGCCTTGGACGACACCTGTCATGAACGGGTTTTCGTTGGTCTTGTAGAAGAGCAGTTGGCCGATGGTCGAACCGATGGACTGGAGAACGAAGATCAAGGCGGGAACGACAGCATAACGGTAGGGCAGGATGGCGAAGAGGACGATCTGGGCGAGGGCGCCCATGGCCATCAGGGTGCGAAGTCTGAAGGCATCTTTGATAATAGTCTTTAAAAAACCTTAGTTCATGTTTTCAAAGTTCTCGGGACAATGGGCAAAGTGCTTACCTCCCTAGGCGGAGGAGATCCAAGCGGGCGCTGCTTGGTTGGGTTAAAGATGGGTCGGAAGTCTGGCTTCTCAATAGTGTCCCCCATCGTGGCAATGGTTGATGTTGATAATTTTGTAATGATAAAATGTACGGTTACTCAAAGCGTATGTACACAGTATTTCAGAAGAACAAAGGAAAAGGGAATGGGCTCGGTAAGAGGACAAGGGTCAGGATATATGGGATCATTCACAGGTGAATGAGCAGGGGACCTAGAGAAGATTTCTAGAACAAAGTGAACGTCACGTCGGTTGCGGGGAGCGCTGGGGCTGATCTTGCCAGAGTTGCTTGAATTTTACTGGATTATTTCTGGCTGAGGGGGTGAGACTGTTGCAGTCCGGATGGAGAGACCTCGGCCCATTCGGGGATACCCGTTGGTCTCTCGGACTCGGTTAGTACCAGACAGCAAATAGGCTGGCAATCATCATCATGAAGGTAAATAACATTTGAGAACTCCTGAAGACACGGAGTGGTGAACAAAAGAAAGATGACAAGCCTCCCTTCGCTTCTGTGATCTGGGCCTGTCCAGCAGCCGGGATCCGTCTGGGCGAAACGCATGACATGGCTCGGACATGGATCTCGGTGTGTTGCGTACACTAGACGTTGACGATGCCGGCTCTGAAATGTCGATAAATCGTCCTCAAAACTCATCAACCTGCATATCGCAGTTATTCCATATTGCCAACTGTGATTCCGAACTGATCAATTACGCGGCGTTGAGAAGCGAGGAGGCGTTGGGTTATGATGTATGTGCCGCAATCACGCAGTCCATGGCTTTTGAGTTCGGTGAGTGACAAGTGAGGTTATACTGCACATGATATTAGCCCATTTCACATGGGAAAACACCAACATACATAGTGTCTTGCCCGGTGAGGCTTTGCCCAAAGTGCACGCGAATCTTCGGGGTTAAGTGCTGGGGAGTGTACGTGTACATCGAGTCAACGATTATGTGATCAGATATTGAGTCCAAAGCAGCGAAAGAAGTCTTGGAAGGCCCAAATACAGCAAGGAAGGATCTGGATTTACACCGAGTGGTTGAAGTCCAAACGCGGAAGTTGGAAATGGCATCAATTTGCAAGAGCGAGAGGTTGAAGTGGAAGGACGGGAAACAAGGAAGCAGAGCCAAGAAGTTGAACCTCGGGGCTTCCCGTCGTCGCTGTCCCTGTTCGAGTCTTTCCTGCCCGGCACCCCGCTTCCATTTGCCTGCCTCCGCCCTCTGTTTTCCCCTCGACTTGTCACTGCCTGCCCCGCCTGTGCTTTCACGCGCCCGCCTGCCCGACCTCTGCTTGCCCCACCTGCGACTTCGTTGTGTCCCATTGCAGCCAACAGACATGTCCACCATCCATTTGTCCTTTCCTTCAACTTTTGAGATTGAACGTCAAAGGGAACAACGATCGCACCGAACTGTACATACCGTTTCAGTCAGACTTTCCGCTTCTTGGTTCGCCTTCACCATTCAAAAAAAATAAAAAAAGTACTTATACTTAGCTGTCCCTAACAGTACACGCGACCCAACCGCGACCAATCCACTCTGGCCCTACTATTACAATCATCTTTTCCAGAGGCCGCATTCCCTTTCGACATCTTTCAATTACATTTTCAACGTTGACCGTATACTACTGGAACCATGGAGTCCGAACACTTTGGAGGTCGTACTGACGACGATCTCTTCGCCGACGATTTCGAGCCTGTAGCGCCTGAAGAGCAGGTCGCGACCATCTCCAATGAAACTGGAGCGCCTGTCCAAGACACGAACATCACGAGACCTGTTGTTTCCACTGCCGCGGAACAACCTCATCCATCCGAGCCTGCGCCTGTTCAGAAGGCCGCCCCCACGCCTCGAGTACCCAGAGGACTTGCCAACTCGCGTCACGCCCCTGCCAATCGTGCTGAGAAGCAACCGCGCAACAACAATCGTCACCCTAGAGCCAACAACAGCGCGTCTCAGTCTCAACAGCAGCAGTCAACCTCCAACGCACCTCCCTCTGCCCCCAAAGAACTTCGCGAGAAAGAAGCCAAGGACAAGGAAGCTGGTCGCAACACGGCGAGCGTCTCGTCGGCAGCGAGAATCGGGTCCGGCGGGAATCCCCGCACCAAGCTTACTGAGGACGAACTGGCAGCCAAAATGGAGAAGATGCGTATTATGGCTGCCGAGAAAACTAAGCGTTTCGAACAAGCCCAGCGTGACGAAACTGAGCATGCCGCCGCTTACGCCAAGGGCATGGAAGAGGATAAGAAACGTCGTGCCGAACAAGCGGCCAAGAAGAAGGCTGCCGAGCAGGATCGCAAAAAGATGGAGGAGGAGCGGGAGAAGAACCGTGAGCGCAAGATGCGCGCTATGGGGGCTAAGGAGGGTGGCTCTTGGGACGAGGGCAAGGAGGAGCGCATGAGAGAGGAGGACCGAAGCGGCTATAGGGGTCATAGGGGGGTTGCAAACACAGCGTTCGCGCGAGATCTGGCTGACGGCAATGAGCAAGGAGACGGTTACCGTGGCGGACGTCGTGGTGGAAGAGGAGGATTCGGTGGCGGAAGAGGTCGCGGGGGAGGTGATGGCCATGGCGGCCGTACCCTTTTCGAGCCGGACCCGGAGAACGAGTCTGGTCAGCGTTTCTATCAGCGTGACAACTTCCGAAGCCGCGGCAGGGACTGGAAGGCGGACGGCCCAGCCGCTCCTCGTGCTGAACGCGCCGGGCCTGGGTCTGGTGCACCAAAGGCCGACAAACCAAAGTTGACCCCCGACGAGTTCCCTGCGCTCCCCGGCAGCAAATCTACCGCACCGCAAGTCAGCACAAGTACTCCCTTATCATTTGCTTCCTTGCCCCTCTCGCCTGCTGTGGGCAGATGGGATGATGAGGTGCAAGATAGTATCTGGAAGAACGCGGCACAAGCCAAGGAGGCGGCAAACGCGCAGGCGGAGTCCAAGGAAATCTAGAAACCTTCCTATGCGCAGCCAACCTTCGCTTCAACCATTCGCTCCAAACCCAATGCGTCCAAGAACGAGTCCCCGCAAGCCCCAGCGAATACGCAAGCTACGCCGAACGCAGAGAGCCCGTTGGCGAGCAATGAAAAGCCTTCTCATAACAACCCAAGTGTATTTCCAATGCAACACCGAAATGAATCTGATTCACAAAGAATAGTCAATGAAGAGCCGACATCGGAGCATAAACCGGCAAAGCGAGTCAAGTGGACGGGCTTTATCTCACGTCCAGCCCAAGTGGTGGCTGCTCACCTAGGTCTCATACCACCAATACCAGGCCAGTCACTGGCTGGCCTTCGGTCCCTCAAAAAATTAGAGGCAGAATTGGAAAGAAGTCTCGAGCAAAATGGAAGAAGACCCAGGAAGATACTAGAGGATTCTGCAAAGAGGACGACAGAAGAACATGGTGTCACTTCAGCTACAAATCAGGCAGTTGCTGCCCGTCAAATTTTCAAACGACCAACGCCAGATGCCACTCCAGCGCCACGCCAGCTACCGACCGCCCTCCAGTTTCTAGAACAGTTGAAGGAGGAGGAGGAGGAGCAAAGAGAACATGAAGAATATGATAGGCATCTCGCGAGAATGCAACATGCAATCGCAGAGAGTGCAATAAAAGAACAAATGAGCCACGCAGTATCGCTTAGGTTGCCACTTACAGAGCGCAACAAAGCAATGGTGGACATTCTACATGAAACAAGGGAGTACCTTGACAACAAACGAGTCGCTCGCCAATATCGGAACGGGGAAGAGATTGAGAAGTGGGTATCAGAATCCGGTATGACCAACATGCGCCAGTGGAGGGGTCCCAACATGCATAAGATGCAACATCAGCTGAGTACGTCGACGCTGGTCAGGACTAGGGGGCAGCGGATCTTCCTCGCCCAGGGGTGACGGATCCAATTTGTAAGGAGGGATCCTAAGACATTGAGCGACACGGGGGAGGCGTTCTGGACGCCCTCGGAGAGCTTCTGAGCAGAGGCAAGAGTGCGGCAGGCTCTCATGCCTCTAAGTCAGCCCAAAATGCACATTTTTATCGTTTCTTGTTCGAGGCGTTGATCCCAGCGCGACTTGGACGTAAAGATGGAAGCGTGGTGTTTGTTTCCGTGTTTGGCGGATTGGAAGACTTTTGATCATACGGGGTGTATTGCTTAGAGGACAGCGACTATGTAAACAGCGAAGAGACGAATTGATATCACCAGAACTTTAATCGGTATTACAAACTTTCCACAGTCAAATTATTACCGAATCGCGCCGCTTGAGTAAACGTGTAATTGCTGGTATCATCCATTCTACACCTATGTACTGCTCTCTCATGATATAACATGCTGTTTTCGAGATACGGTATGAAAACAAAGGCCATGCCGGGAGAAGTGCCGAGTCCCTCGCAAATTCCCAAGCTCGAATAGTGTAAAACGCCCCCAACGCCTTTTCAATGCACATACGACCGCCCGAGTCCGTCTCCTTTTGACGCGCTCTTGACCGACCCGTTTTGCTCTGTTGGATACCAACTGTTTCTTCGTTCGGTCATCCTACCACCCACCACGTCTACCACGACCACGATAACCACCACCGCCACCACCACTCCTAGGCCCACGGCCTCTACCCCAGTCATCGTGTCGGCCACCCGGACCCGTCGGCACACCCCCCATATCATCATCCCCCCCACCACCGCCGCCCATCGGCCTCTGGGGACCACGACCACGCATCTCCTTCGGGAACGCATCATATGTCTTCCGCATCTGCGCATACCCCAGATGCATCTTGCCAAAGAAGTGATCCGCCAATCTGCGATCATTATCCAACCTCGACAAATACGCCCCGCAAACATCGCACACCTGCAACTTCTGATGACCGCTGGGGCCACTCGTATCGCTCAGCGCCTTTAGCTCCCTCTCCTTCTCGCTCTTCTGCGCCTGCGCCTGTCTCACCCGGAAAAGCTCATCATACGCCCGTCCCACCTCGCCCAGCTCGCCCAGGATCTCCACCTCTAGGAGGCCTGTGGCAATCGTGGTGCCCAAGTCGGAAATGGCTTTCAGCAACACATTCGTCTGCCTGATCTCGTCGGGCGTCTTCTCCAGCCGCCGCTGCGCCGCGTCGATCCGTCGGTTGCACTCGTCAATGTACTTTTGTAGGTCGCGCATGTAGTCGTAGTCGAAACCGTACTTCTTCTTGTCTTGCTCTGGAAGCGATTCGTACTCGGCTTTTAGCGCCTCCGAGTGCACGCGCGAACAGGGACCGAGGTCTTGCTTGGTGTTGGTGAAGAGGTCGTGCGGGCAGGTGCCGACTAGGTAGGAGCGGCAGACTTTGGGGTCGGTGAGGGAGAGTTGTGCCGAGCGCGAGGAGATGCCGCCGCCCATTAGCTGCTCTATAAGGGAGGGATAGGGGGGTTAGTGGGATACACAATGGTATGGTGGTGGAGGGGAGAGATGGTAAAGGTGGGTGGAAGAGAAGACTTACCGAGCAGTTTTCTCTGTTCGGCCGCCATTGTTGGTGTTTGTTGTTGTTGTTGTTGTTGTTGTTGTTGATTAAGATTATTCGCGACGTGGTGATTCTAAGGTTGGTTTTCGGTTCGGTCCGAGGGAGAACGCGGGGTTTGTGCTTGCAGAAAGAGTTGTCACGGTTGATGGATGTTTTGTTGTTTGGAAGAAATTCCCAAGATTTTGGAAGTCGAATTGCAAGCGCAAAAGTCAGCCGCGCTGCAAGGCTGCTTGGTGAATGGAACATGATCCGCTGAAGCTGGGGAAGTCGACCCACTTTCACGCTCCCCTGCTGCCGCTATGATCCCTGTTCATCCACTGGAAATGTGCTGTCATCCACAATTTTACTGGGTCTTGTCCCGCTGTGACAGGGCGCGGCAGGCACTCCTCCAGCACCCGGACCTTAGCAACGGGGAGGCCCAAGTGAAAGTTGCGAACTGACAGCAACACCAACTGTCACCTTCACATCCTCCCGTTGCCTTTTCCCACACTTGCCATTTGTCTCCCGGAATTTGTTTTTTTGGCAGTTTGTGGTGGACATACATAAAGCAAATGGATAGACAACGGCGATAGACAGAACTGTCCAATACAATGCGTCCATCCTTTCCTTCCTTGTTACTCTCCTTACTTTCTCTTCTTTGCTTCTCGCCCTACGCTGCCATCGCGAATGCCTCCTCGGCCGCCGATTCCATTTCCACCTCCATTTCCGACTCCCGATCCGACTACCATGAACAGCTAATATTGCGCCCGCTGCCATTGTCCGCTCTTCTCGCCAGCTTCAACTTCCGCTCCAACACCTCGCTCTCTGCCTTTGAGGCGCACAACTTCCGTTTCTTCCCCCGATCGCTGGGACAGATTCTCCAGCATGCCGGCACTCGCGAGTTGCACTTGAGGTTCAGCCTGGGAAGATGGGATGCCGAGAGCTGGGGCGCCAGGCCGTGGAATGGCGCACGCGAGGGTGGAACAGGTGTTGAGATGTGGGCGTGGCTGGAGGCAGAGACAGACGAGGAGTATGTTTGTTCTATCACCAACACCACGGACTACGGACTTGGACAGAGACTAACTGTAGACAATCATGTAGGGCCGATCACAAATGGTTGACGCTTACCAACGCGCTGTCTGGCCTCTTCTGTGCCTCCCTCAACTTCATCGATAGCACCCGAACCACCCGTCCCGTCATGTCCTTCCAGCCCGAGGGCAACCACATCGATGCGAACGCGACGAACATGCACCTGCTATACGGAGTGCTGCCCCACGAAGTTGTCTGTACCGAGAACTTGACACCCTTCCTTAAGCTTCTTCCATGCAAGGGCAAAGCCGGTATCGCTTCACTGCTTGACGGACATAAGCTCTTCGACTCCTCATGGCAGACTATGGCCATCGATATCCGGCCTGTGTGCCCTGAAGACGGCGAGTGTGTGTTGCAGATCGAGCAGAGCATTGATATGGTCTTGGATGTTGACCGATCCAAGAGACCCAGGGGTATGTGTTCTAATATTTGAACGACATAGCAATGGACTTTCACTGACGAAACCGGCTTAGATAACCCGATTCCCAGGCCACCTCCCGCTCACGACATGAAGTGCAATACCTCGAAGCCGTACCACGCTCACGATACCTGCTTCCCTACCGATTCAGCCGCCAATCAAGACTGGTCGCTATCCCAAATCTTCGGCAGGCCCATTAAGGGAACCTGCCCATTGACCGACCCTACCGTATCTCCTGTCTGCATCCAAGTTCCCGATTCGCGCATTGTCTTCGCCTCCGAGGGCGCTATCGAGAAGAAGAACCCCGGTCAGACCTCGCGCTGCTTCGACTTCCCTGCTGAGAATGACTTCGAAGTCTTCCTTCCCGCCCCCGAGACGCAGGATGGATCCGTAATAGTCGATCAACACCTCGTCAAGCCCGAAACGCCCCTCCTCTACGCCGAACGCAGTTTCACCGGTCACGGCCAGGAACGCGGCGGCGTGCAGACCATCCTCCGTAACCCCAGTCCCGACCAGGAAGTCGAGTTCATCTACATGGAATCCCTCCCCTGGTTCATGCGCATCTACCTGCACACCATCTCGGCCCGCGTCGACGGACAACCGGGCAAGGCCGACTCTTTGATTCAGGAAGTCTACTACCGCCCCGCCGTCGACCGCGCTCGCGGAACCCAGCTCGAAGTCCGCATGACTGTACCGCCCGCTTCTACCGTTTTTCTTACGTACGACTTTGAGAAGTCCATCTTGCGGTATACCGAGTACCCGCCTGACGCGAATCGCGGGTTTGATGTGGCTGCTGCTGTCATCACTATTCTGAATAAGGACAAGAACGGTGGAAACTCGAGATTCGCGGCGTATAACCTGAGAACGACGACATTGCTGTGCAATCTGCCTACACCCGATTTCAGCATGCCGTATAATGTCATCATCTTCACGTCGACAGCTATTGCCCTTGCGTTTGGCGGCATGTTTAATATTCTCGTCAGACGATTTGTCGCGGCGAATGAGGGCCCGAAGAGCGGGTTGAAGAAGGGGGTGGACAAGTTAAAGGCGAAGTTGGCCGCTTTATTCAAGAAGAAGAGCAGTGCGGCTGCGGTTGCGATGACAGCAGAGAAGAAGACGGAGTGAAAATGTAATTGGACTGTTTGTGGATCTGTATAAGAAGGTCTCGGTATGGGCTATATAATGAAAATAAACCTGTAAGAGTCACTTCTGCTTCGACCCACGTGAAGGTAGTGGGGTTGACTTTGGGAACAGTCCATGTCTCCATGATCTTCCAGTACAACAGATCGGTGATTAATATGCGGTGCTACCTTTTCCAGCACCTGTGTTACGATACCAACAAATGCAAGGTTCTCTCATTATTTGTACCAATGATCTACTCCAAGAGACAATACCTCCAGCGACTATAGTATCGGTCCCTCGTGGCTTCAGCTCGTTCCAGAACCCTTCCGCTTACCCCCATGGTGACACTGCAGTTCCGTATCTCCAATACCATACGTTCCCAAGTAATGAATGGATGGCACCTTCCCTTCAGCTCGGCAATCGTTTGTGGTGGGATGATGGTATATATGTAGTGGCATCTGCCCTCGTGTTTGTTCTCTTCCCTTTCCGTTTGGTAACATATAGCCATCTACGGCCTGTTCACAACCTACAGAAGCCTCAAACTCCCCATCATTATCGACACATCCCGCCTGGACGAGCTATCTAACCCATATCACGAACAAAGAATGGACATCATAATAACAGGCGCCGGCCTCTCCGGTCTTTCCACCGCTCTATCCCTCCGGCGCGCGAATCCTTTGCACAGAATCACTATCCTCGAGCGTTCCTCTCATTACAATCACTCCACCTCTACCAATACCACCACCATCACCACCACCACCACCACCAAACCCCAACACCACTCCTCCCACGAGATCGGCGCAGCAATCAACGTCCCGCCCAACATCTCCCGCTTCCTCTGCCACCCTTCACCGGGCCGCGGATGGGGTCTAGACCCGGTAAAACAAAAATTTGTGAAGAGCGAAGGGGTGTTGGTCATGAACCCCATGACTATGGAACAGATTGGCGAAGGACTGGATCATAGTAGGAATGAAGAGGTTTATGGGGAAGGGGGGCGTTGTGGTATGCGCATCGGGTTGATTTGCATGGGGGGTTGTTGGGATTGGTTTTGGGTACTACTGAGGGGGATGAGAGTGAGGTTGAGATTGGCGATGGGAAGGAGATTGGCGATGATGATGGGGCCGGAAATGGGGATGGGAAGGAAGGGAAGAGGGAGAGGAAGGGGTGGGTGAGGATTGAGGGCGGAAAGGAAGTGATTGCGTATGTGAGTCTCGCGTTTATATACCTGTATGAACTCATCATTGCTTGTCTTTTCTAGACGTACATCTATACCGCGAGAGTCTCCCTCGAGCAAGAAACGAAAAAAAAAAAAGGGCAAGGAGAAGGGGATCACTAACACCAAATACCGAGTCGTACATAGGACCCCTCAACACCCTCAGTAACCCTCTCCAACAACACTGTCCTAGCCGCCGACCTCATCATCGCCGCCGACGGGGTGCACTCCCGCGCACCCGAGTCTGTCCTCGGCCACCCGAACCATGAGCCTCAGATGCTTCCGGACCCGAAGCTGAACACCTGCTATCGGTTCCTGATTCCCACGGCGGAAATTGCCAACGATCCAGAGACGATGTTCTTCCTAGATTCGGATAACAAGGAAGCAAATGTTTGTCGGCTTTGGCCGGATGTGTTGGGGAAGAAGAGGTTAATTTGTTATCGGTGTCGTGGGTGAGTGGAACTATTTGCTTTGCTTCATTATTTCGTGTATTGAAAATCAGTTGCTAACAAACAATTGCGCATGCGGCAGTGGAGAAATCCTCAACTTCGTCGTCATGCTTCGGGATGAGACGACCAATACCGATACTACGAAGCGAGAAGGTTCGGTGCCCAGTTAACCCCCTGCGATCAATCCTTCCCACCATGGAAATTCATTCACAATACCACCAGACTACCTGAGCTAACCTCTTTCTAAACAAAATAGACTGGCATGCCCCCATCTCCAAGTCCGAAGTCCTCTCCAAGCTCTCCGACTTCCACCCTGGAATCCTAGCAGTGATCAAGTACGTCTAGTCACGTCTAGTCTGGTCTATACCTGTCCTATCCAGTCTCATCCTGTCCTGTCCAGTCCTCCACTGGTAGAGAGGTACTCATATGGACGTGGACACATTCTCTGAGGCTAACAGTCAGTAACTGTCTCTACCTTATCTAGCAAAGCAACAGACGTCAAACGCTGGCCGCTCCTCTACCGCCCTCCCATCCCAACCTGGCATAAAGACCGACTGGTGCTTGTTGGGGACGCTGCTCATCCTATGTTACCTCGTTAGTAGTCTTCTTCTTTTGTTTTTCTCCCTTCATCTGCTCCCTTCATTTGCTCCCTCCACTTTACCCTTCAATTCTTTCCCTTAACACCGTAACTAACCTACCGTAACTAACAACCCCCATAATCTACACACACAGACCACGGCCAAGGCGGCGCCCAAGCCATCGAAGACGGTCTCGCCCTGGGCCTCGTGCTCAGCGACCTATCATCATCATCACCATGCTCCTCCTCCTCCTTCCCCTCCTCCCTGTTTGCAGCAAAAATCGAGCACCGACTAAACCTCTACGAAAAATCCGCCGTAACCGCGCCTCGGCCATCCAGGTGATGAGTAACGTTGGTTTCGACGAGCAGTCCGAAGCCGAAGCACCGAAAGAGTTGGAAGAATATCTGCGGGAGGAGGAGAGGGAGGAGGGGTCGCAGAAGCAGAAGAGGAAGGGGGTGGTGCCTAAAACGATGAAAGAGGTGGTTGAATTTGAGTATGGCCCGGATGTGGTGGAGAGGACGGTGAGGGTGATGAGGGAGGCCCAGGTGGTTGGGGGAAAGGAGGGGTGGAAGGTGCCGGAGGGGTTTTTCCCTGGGTTTTGAGAGAGGGCGAGAGGGCGAGAGGGGGTGGTTAGGTTGGGTTGGGGTCACGAAAGGAAGGCGCGATGACTTGACATGTCTATCTACCTTAGGTAGCTAGCACCCTACAACATCCGAAACACATGGAAATACACATACAAACGGGATATCAATTCTTATAGCTTTTAGGTGTAAAACATCATCGCGCAACCCCTCCTTTTATTGTTTCGCATCAGCATCAGCCCTCCCTTTAAGCAGAGCCAAACTTGGCAAGATACTCCTCATGAAGCTTCTTCTGCTTCTCCCACTCCTTCTTGAGCTTCTTGCTCTGGCTCTTGGGCACCTCGCTGCCGTCCGCCGCCAGCTTGGTAGGCAGACCGTCGGCGTCGAACTCGGAGTACTTGGCGTCGCTCTTGAACATCTCGGTGGGAGAAACCTTGGCCTTTTCCCACTTTTCTTGCTCGGCCTTTTCTTTGGCTTTGCGGGCTGTTTTGGGGGTTTATCAGTTAGCTTCGGTTTTGCAGTAGTGATGGTGGAAGTAGTGAAAGACATAATAAACTTACCCTCTTCCTTCTGTCTAGCCTTCTCAGCCAATAGCGCAGCCTTCTCCTCACGGGCCTGGATCAGCTTGGCAGCCGGCACGAACTTGACGAGACTAGGTCCGTCAACGCGGTCATCGAGCTGCACGCCGAGGTCGGTAAGGTCGTAGTCACGAATACGGTCGCTAAGCGCAAGGATCGCCTGCTTGACCTTGGGGTCGAGGGTAGCGCCCGAGGAAGCAATGGTGGTGCGCAACTCGTCGCGGAGCTTGGAGACAGCGCGGATGAAGGGAAGCGCAAGCTTCTCGGCGTCCTTTTCGCCGCTCTTCTCGAGCTCCGAGAACTCCGCTTCGGGGTTCTGCTGCTTGAGGAGGGACTTGATGGACTCGCCGGAGAGGTCAAGAGTGGCAACCTCCTGCTTGACCTGGTTGAAGACGGCGGCGTAGGGCTTGACGGCGGTCTGGGGGTCGACATTGGCCTTGTTGGAGGCGGTGGCGGAGGACCAGCCGAGACCCTCATATGGAGGCTGGGCGCTGGCATCGAGACCGAAGACACCGACAATCTTGGTAACCCAGCGGGCGACGGACTCGAGGGCTTGCATGTTGGGGTTGCCGGAGTTCATGTAGATGTTGGCGTTGCGGACAAGCTTGAGGAGGACCTGCATGGCGGTCGGGGTGTCGAAGGAGTTCCTGAGGGCAGCGTCGAGGTCCTTCTTGGCGGACTCAAAGTCCTCGAGCAGGCCCTTGGCGCCGACGTCTTCGGAGAGGGAGAGGTCCTTGAGGCCCGAGGAAGCGTCAACCTCGGATAGGCGAGCCTTGATGTTGGTGAAGAAGTTGTCGAGCGTGGTCTCCCAGTTATCGGCCTGCTTCCTCATGTCGGGGGAAATCTCAACGCCGTCGTTCCAGCGGCTGAGAAGGAAGACGATACGCATGTTGCGGGCGGTGTATGTGGAGGCGAGAGCGTCTTGTATCGTCTGGAAGTTCTTCAAGCTCTTGGACATCTTGCTTCCGGCAATGGAGAGATGACCCATGTGCTGTAAGTAATGTCAGTACTAACCCTGAACCAGAAAGATCACGGACAGAAGACTTACCAGGAAATACTTGACCCAAGTGTGCTCGCCCTTGCAGCAGTCGTGGAAGTAGGCCTCACTCTGAGCCAGCTCGTTGTCGTGATGGGGGAACGCAAGATCGATCCCACCAGAGTGGATATCCATCTGCTCACCAAGCTTGTCGGAAGCCATGACGGAGCACTCAATGTGCCAACCGGGGCGACCAGCACCCCAAGGGCTGGGCCAGTAAGGCTCACCAGGCTTAGACTTCTTCCAGAGGGCAAAGTCGCCAGAACGCTTCTTGCCTCCCAAAGCGGTCGAAAGAGAACCCTCTCCCTCCTCTTGCAGGGCAGTGTCGTTCTTGCTTTCGGGGCGAAGGCGAGCATAAGTGTTACCGGCCTTCTCGAAGGCGCCAATGTCGAAGTAAACGGAGCCGTCGGCCTCGTAGGCAAATCCCTTTTGAATAATCTGCTCAACGAAGGCGACGATTTGGGGAACGTATTCGGTGACGCGGGTGATGACATCGGGAGGAAGGACGTTCAAAGCCTCCATATCGTCAGCGAAGGCCTGCTCCATCGTCTTGGTGAGGTTGGTAAAGATGGTCTGGTCGCTAGTGTCGATGGTCTCCTTGTAGAGGGAATCGAGGTAGGGTAGGAGGACGTCCTCGGCGGCATCGAGACCGGAACCGTTCTTGAGTGCTTCGGCGGCAGCGTCCATGTTGTTGAGGTGCATCTTGACCTTGGCCTCGGCGTCACCGGGTTTTGTCTCGGGGACAAGGGGGCCACCGGCCAAGACGACACCGTAACCAGCCTCTTTCCGCTCCTGGTAGTTCTTCTCGTCTAGTGGAGCGGCATCTTCGGGCGCCAGAAGGGGAAGATTCTTGGTGTATGCCTGGAAGGCCTTAAAGATAAGATCGCGGATCTGCTCAGGAGTATAAGGCTTCTCCTTTTCCAACTCTAGGAGCCTCTTTCTCCTTGCCTTGATGATGATCTGGAAAAGGTCAGGTTGGTGCCCGTCTGTGGATGAGCAGAGTTTAAGCCTACCTTGTCATCGACATCTGTGTAGTTCATCTGTGGTGAAGTGTTAGCGTATTTTCATGGGGTCTGGTGTTTTATCTCAGTAAAACATACCACAAAGTTGACCTTGTAGTCGAAGTAGTGCATAAGGATGCGGCGAATAATATCTGTGGAGACATAGTTACGGGCATGACCCAAGTGGCTGAGGTCGTACTACGAAATGTTAACGGAAAGTCGAGTATAGAATTATAGTTCTCAGTACATACAACAGTCGGACCGCAGGCGTACCAGCTAATGGCACCCTCCTCCCTTGGTACAAACGGGATGGGGGGGCCCGGCTTAAGGGTGCTGTGGACGGCGATGGCGGCCATGATCAACGGCGACGATGTGAATGGGCGGCGGGGGTATGATGAGAACGAGGGGAGAGGACGAGCAAAAAGACGAATTGGTCTTGTACTAATAGCCGCGATAGTCCTGGTCGAAGGAATGAGGCCGCGTAGACGGGCAAAGGAGTGCATCCGGTGGTGGATTTATTTTTCAGCCCTATCAGATGTTGAGTCCAGAGTTAGTCAAAGGGTATTTTAGATCGAAGAGGTCAGCGTGGCCGTTCGGAACTATCCAGGTATGACTCCAACAACGTCGAGTGAGTATGGTACTGCTTGTACCCTGGAAATAGTCCCGGCATTGCTCAATGCCTAGTGTTCATATCTGAAAGAAAATGAATGAGTCAAGCCACACCTTTTAGTCTAACACCCTGGACTTATCTGTCACCTTTGGGTGCCAAAATCTTACTGTACGGCGCTGAAGAGTCCGAGTCGCAATTGAGAAAGATGGTGCAATCTTTCAAGAGACTTGGCGGGGCAACGATGTCCTTCACTCACAGTGAGACGTGAAGTTGGAGTCGAAGCGAGACAAAGCCGCAAATTGAAGAACGGAATCCCCACCTAACTGTGGCGCATCCGCAGTCTTTTGCGAATTCTAGACTGTCTCCAGCCACATCTGAGGAGCTATGACCACTGCAGGGAGAACGCAATGCGGGGGATCTCCGACCGGGTCGTCCCGTTTTCCTCCACTTTCACATTTCACATTTGGAGTTGAACTTGTATTACTTGACTTCAGGGTCCGGATTCAGTCTTCCATTCTGTTACCAGCCAAATATATGCTCATGGGATCTACCACCCAAGGACATTGCTCAACCTCCCTCCAACAACGCCCCGAATAAACAGAGGCTCACATGGCGTGAGACTGCTGAACTACCACTCACAGCACCCAGGGCCCAACAGCGCCCAACAAGCCGAATGCCCGAGTTACCGACAACGTCTAGCTATCCAGAGAACCGAGCTTCCTGATCACGGCAGCCGCCATATCCTTCTCATTCTCCAAGAACTCGATGCCGTATCTCTTAGCGACAATCTGGACGTTGCCCCTCTTGTTATAATCCCTGTGACAGCACACAATGGCCTTCTTGGTGGGCGCACAGAGCCCCAGTTCCAGCAGACTGACAGGCGCAAGTGTATCAGGTCCGTAGTAGATCAGGACTATGTCTGCCCTCTCCTGCATGTCCAGTTCCCATTCGACTTGCTCCCGGAAGGGTGCGAACGTTATCTCTTCCGGCCAGTCAGTCCAGTTGGGTGGGATCGGGTTGATGACTGTGATGGGAAGACGCGAGAGTTGTCTGGCCAAGTTGTCACGCCAGTCGGGCTCATCCCCCTTCTTGGTTGTGGTTCCGGCTAAGAAGACGGATTTCCTGCCAGTGAAGTCGGGACGCTCTGGGGCGCGAACCAGCTGTAAGGGGCCACTTTGCTGGGAAGTTTGATGTGCCATCTTGTTGGTAATATTTTTCCCAGTGGATGTTCAGTATGTCTGATATCGAGTGGAAGACAGTGTCTGATTCTGGGGAAGATAAATGCCAAGGCTGGAGATGTCAAGAAAAAGAAGATAACGGAATGAGCTGATGGTAACAGGAGAGAACAGGATGAGCCCAACCGATTTAAAGCGTGAAGGAAGGAAGAGAATAGAGGGAAAGCCTAGGAAGACGTCCAACAAGACAACAAAGACTAAAATTGAAGTCAATATAAGCTTTTTACGTAGGTTGGGGATGACTGAGGTGGCTGCCACGCTGGAGGGCAGTGGAGGCTGCCTCCAACCCGTTCCCGTGTCAGCACCGACCACCTGCTCCACCTATCGGTCGTGCTTCACTTCACGCGCACTTCACTGACTGCATGCCCTGCGTCTAGATCGTTTGGTGGGTTTGTTAGTGTTTAGGCGGAAACTCATGCTTTTCACCAACATTCTGTGAAGTAGACGGGGACACCTGCAGAGACCAACGTCAAATCGACCTGCCTGCGTCGCGTCAACTTGAACCAGACAATCGGGGGTTTTTCATCCACTTTATTTCTGCTTCCGTCTTGTGTTCCACTGGCGGCTTTTCCATTGTTCACTCTGGTTTTCTTCTTGTCATGCCATTTTTGCCGACTTCCGCCTCCCCTCCTTCGCGTCGGTCAAATGTGAACAACAACCACCATTCACCAGCAGCAAATACGAGAAGCACTAAAGAGAACATCAGCTTATCAACAGGTTCTCATGGCGACGACAACGATATCGGGCAGCGGCATCGCTCGCCGCGGAAAACGCGGGAACATGACGCGGCCACGGGAACATGATGCGGCAACGGCAACAAGTGGGAGGTTGAGTACATCTCATCCCAACAACGCGAAGCCATCACAAGGTTCAGCAGCAGCAAACCTTCACTCACCACCCAAACCCAAACTCAAACCTCTGTTGATGAAAAGAACCGGCCATAGTGGACCTTCTCCCCTTTCCGCAAACTCTCGCTCAAAATTATCCTCCTCTTCCTCAACCGATGTTCCCGCCAAGTCACTCAGGTCGGGATCCGTTGTGACGGCTAAAAGTGGGCATTCTGGAGCGGTTCATGCAAAGTCTGGACTCTCTGGAAAACATCGCGACGGAGACAAACCTGAATACCTCAACCTCAACCTCAACCTCATCCCGCACGCCTCTTTCTAGCATTCCAGCAGGAGTAACCAACAACCCACCCCGGTCAACCTCAACCTCTGCCTCAACATCGACTCAGAGTAACCACCAAAAATCAAAATCACAACCAAAAAAAGAGCCCGATTCAGACAGTATCCCCATGGGTGATATTGAGGACTCGGACCTAATAAAGGCCCAACTCGCCATGGACGCTTTGGGCGCGACTCGAGTGGCCCGCTCAAAGACCCAAGCACCGCCAAAACCGCCAACAACCGAAACCGATCCTGCTACCGAAGCCCTCGATACTAGCGCCTACAAGATCTGGAAGGATGAAGCCACGGGAAAGTTACTACCCACCTGCGGTGCACTCTTACCTCCCGGTTATGAACAGTCAGATCAGCCTGACCTTCCCTGGATTTGTCCCATCAGAACTTGTCGAGCCCTCTTACCTGGCCTCACTGGTCTAGGCAGACATTTTGGTGTAGTCCACCGTGCTTGTCGATTAAACGATAATCTGGATGGTACCTTGACCGACCTTGGAACATATGCTGATCCCACCCCCGGCAATGGTAGGAGGTTCGGCGGCATTCCCAGGTCCTGCATTATGGTATCCAAAAAGTACATGAGCCTCGCGGAATCACCAATGGTCGAGCCCAAGCCATACACGTACCATGCCCAAAACAACAACAAGGCCGCGCAGGAGCTCCCTAAACGCGAGCTTCGTCGACGATCGCAAATAGATGGAAGTGGAATTGGAACCATTCAAGTCCCAGCTATGAGTGACGACGAACTTAACCCCCAGGATGAGGTCAAGGGTGCTATTATTCCTTCCAGCGAGGGGCCTGCGGAGAAGATTTTGGTGAACTCAAAATCCGGACGTCCATACAACATGTGGCCTGGTCAGTTCTTCCCACCTTTACTCTTACTATCGAACTCGGCTAACTGTTAACAGACGAATCTGGGGAGTTGAAAGATTTAATGGGCACAGTATTGCCGGACAAATGGACCTTTTATACAGAACATCCTACCCACCAGTGGATATGCCCAGTCAGATCATGCCGGTGGCTATACAGCGCGAGGTCTCACCTTGCCAATCACTTCAAGATGAGATACTATGGTTGCCGGTTCAATGACAATCTGGACGGGACTTTTACCATTGTCAAGCGCCCTGCCAGTCTGCCACTCGAGCAACTTCGGATCGACTTTGGCAATAATCCACCCGCCGTAATATCGCGAGGACCAGATAATACTGAACCATTAGCGGAACCTCAGATGTCCCAAAACTATATCAATCGAAAGCTACGAGAACATCGCAGAGGGAAAAGCTCATCGGTCGCGGAGACTATCATCAAGGACGGCAGAGACTTACAAAAAAGGCACAACGCAGAACGTACCAACTCTCCAGCTGAAAACGCCCGCGTTATCGCTTCCAATGTGGGATTTAAGCATGCCACCGATGGCCGGCCTTATACCCATCTGTTGAATCCGGAAACTAATCAGTATCAAGTGACCCGAGGATTGATACCTGAAGGATACCAACTCGAACATGAAGCGCACCCCATTCGGCCTTGGATATGCCCCATTAGGTCGTGCAGACTCCTCAGCAGAACCCAAGCAGCTTATAGCAATCACTGGAACGTATACCATCCCAACGTGTGCGTAAACGACAACCAAGACGGAACCTTTAGCATCGTTGAAGGTCTCAGCGAGAACGGTGCCCGTGTTGTGTCTAGGGGCCCAATGGGATATGACGAGTCACCTTCGAGAGAGGCGCAGTTACCCATTAAGGAACGGGGGCGTGTTGTAAAGCCGGATGTTTCTACTGACGACGGTAGCGATCAACAAACTAAAGCTCTCGGCCAGGTACGCCAGAAGCGGAGTTTCAACAAGATATCAACAACACCGCCAGGACCAGAACCAGAAGAGGAACAAGCTGGAGACCCCGAAGGGCTGTGGCGATACATCATCTCCCAGACCGGAGGCGACTTTCCCGACATTGAGGAACCGGAACTGGAAATCCTCCTCGCTTTACCCCGTCGGCGGGATCTCAAGTTGAAGCGCCCCATTCCAGTAACTCACACCCTCACTTTCAAACAGCTTGCCTCAATAGCCGTGCAACTCACTGGGCGTGAAATGCCAAGCCGTGTACTGCGTGTCGGCGGCAAGCAGGGCCTTTCAGTTGTTGCGTCTCCATACTTCCCAGAGTCAGCGTTAAGCTGAGCAAATTGGTCTCTTCCAGTTGTTGCAATGCCTGTGCTAACTGTCTGTACGACAAGACGCACAATGCATGCAGTATCAAGCATATGACCAAATTTAAAGAGAAGCGTGTGGCAGACGTGGTTGCGTTTAGTGGTGATGGAGATGAAGCAAGAGATGAAGCAGGGCACGATGCCGAAGATGAAGCGGATGAGGAGGACGACGAGGAGGAAACTTACGAGTACGACGAGCAACTCGGTGCCACGGTCATTCGGCGATCAAAGAGGTTACCGAGTTTGCCTCATGCGGAAGAGAATGAGGCAGATATGGACGCAGAACTACCGCCGCCCCGGAAAGTCATCACTTTCAAAGACCCATCGCCAACTTACGCTTCGGTGGATGCCGCTGGAGCCGAAGAGGAACAGGAAGATGCCGAGTATCGCCGGGCCAGCAAACGTCTTCGGACGAGGGAACAAAGCGCCATAACGACCTCGATACAAGCCACTGCCACCGCTGCTCGGTCTCTTCTGACATCAGAAGAGGATTTGGTAACGGAAGACTGGGAACGAGGCTCAAGAGGGGTTCTCCCCAAACGGAGCCAGCCATCCGAAGGTAAGTCAAACCCCATATCCCCATCCTCACTTCTCCAGATCTGAAATACTAACAACCCTTTGTCTTATTAGACCTCGTCTACTCCTCCTCCTACCTCTCCACCAACCAAAACGTCCAAATCGGTAAATCAACCACGTTGACAACCCTCATCATCACCTCGGGCAGCACCCACCAGCTTCCCCTCGATCGGTCCCGCACCCAAATATGCACCCTCGTCAGCGGCAAGCTGAGGGTGACGATCAACAATGGCGAAGAGGAGTTTGTCGTTGGCCCACGTGGTGTGTTCAAGGTCAGCCCGGGGGCGACGTGCTTGCTGGAGAATTGGTGCTATATGGATGCGGCGGTGCATGTCACTGCTGTGGCTGATCAGTAGTTACTTCCAGTTGGCGCTCGGAAGAAGGGTGAACCGATAGGGTAAAATAATGGTAGGCATGTGACTAGGGACGCGATGCACGACGAGCCGTGAGATACAACAGGCAGGAGACAGGTGTTTTGTGCCTCCTGCCTTCTGCGGTCTCTGCATTCTGTGGTATGCTTTGTGCATGCATACCTAATTGGAGTTTTGCGAGTTGTTTTGGCGGGGATCGTGATAAACAACGTTATCGGAATTCAAGTATGTTTTATCGCCGCAAACGGTTTATTATCGCGGCGACGGGCGGGGAAATGGAAGGTCTCATAGGGAGAGGAGGGGACTCGGTAATGCAAGCGACTGGAATGGGCGATTTGTTTACATGAGACAATCCATTCAAAGGGAAGCCCGGATTTCAAAACATTCAAGTTCGCCATTCAGGAACCATTTAACATTCGCCAGGAACCAGGAACAGTTGCGATTGGCGGACCCAACCTCTTGGTTCGTTCTGGTTCGTTACATACTTCGTCCCATGTACATCATACATACAATACATACACACAACATAAACATCACATTCGACGACCCGTTAGGCCTCAACGCACCACGCATGGGTTTCCTGCATTCCAGTCCGACCGAACGGTAACCGAGCGCAGTTGTTTCCGGACCCCCGCTCTCGCTCTCCCTCTCTTGAGACTTGTTGTTGCAGGCGGTCGTCGCATGTTTATGATAAACCGAGAAAGCCGGGTCTGGATGCAGAGCCCACACCACCGATCCGGGTTTTATCTCTATCGGATGCAGTCGGCTGCTGCATGATGGGCATGAAATGGATGAATGAGGGGGAAGGAAGAGGGGAGAGATAGGACATGCATCTTCAAAAGGAATAAAAGGGTGATTTATTCCTCGATTTGGTAGGACTGATTCTTTTCTCTTTCAAAAGTCATTTGTGAACAATCAGTTCGTTGTTGAAATTGTTCTTGGTTTTCGAAAGTCTTTGATATTCAGCGATTCTATACCCAGCTTCATCCAGTCAGCATTTCAACTTCCATCCACTCAACATCGGTGTTACCGACTACAGAATATCTTGCCCTACGAGCTTATCTGCCCCTCCTCGCTGTCATACCACGGCTCGTCCTCAACTTCCAACCCATCCCAAAAGGCATCTATCTTCGTCACCAGACTACAACTACACAACAATACACTACACACTACCTTACTCGACATCGCCACTTTCCGATTCTTGCGAGTCAATCAGTCCTTCATTCACTCCATTACCTCCAGTCACGCCCACCGGCGACAACCAAGTCGATAACTCGACATCAGCCCTACCTACCTACCTACCTACCTACCGGGATTCACTCCTGATACCCCAACCCAACCCACGGCAGTCTGGAACAGATCAACAAGAACCATCTACCACACAACAGACAACAGACAATAGAGAACAGACAACAGACAGACAAAATGCAACCATTTCTCTCCGGAGGAACGACCCTCGCCCTCCTCCTCATCACTCTAACCCTCTTACTCTTTGCGGCAGCAGGGGATGAACATCCTTACGAACCATACCACCACAAATCTTCCGTTGGCAACAGCAACACTGAACGGTCAAGTGTAGAACTTGACACCCGACCACCGGTACAAGTTGAGGAGTTAGTTGTTCGGTTAGATGCTTTAAAGCAGACAGGCAACCTTCAGCGGGGGACATGGAAGAAGAAGAAGAGGAGGACAGAGGTTGTGAGAAAAGGAGGTGTCGGTTACGGTTTTGGTAAGTCCCCACGTGTACCCAGTCTTCCTTTCAAACCAGTTCATCTACCTACCTCTATCAAGAAAAAAGACTGACACCCATCCCAGTATCACATAGGTCAAACCCCCTATCATCACCATCACCATCACCATCGCCCACGTCGCTCACATCCCGCCTTCCATCCCGCCTTCCATCTCGCTTCTCCCGCTTCCGGCCGCGGAACCTACAGATATTGGCTGCGTTGTTGAGTCATCAGAGTTTACATACGACTCCTTTGTCAACACCTCTATCTCTCTCAATACTCAAATCAGACATGGAAGCCGCCGAAGGGAGTTGGGCACTTGGGGGTGGGGGTCTAAGGGGGTTAGGCTTGCCTTTGGCGAAGACAGTACGTAGGCAATCACTACAATGTCATGGTGGGAGGACATGGAGGGGGGATATCAAGTATATTACTAGAGGTACTGCTGGCGAGGAGGAACAACGGCAGTTGCGAGGTGGTGAATTGGAAGGTGACATAAGACGAGTGGAACCCAGGACAGCCAGGGTGTAGCAATAAAATCGGCATTGACTTTAATAATTATATCTTCTTTAATATTTAACTCAATCAAGGAAATATCATCCTCGTCCAACTCTTCTTCGAAGGATTCTTCTTCGTTATCGCCAGTCACTGAGAGGGTAGATAGTTGAGTTAAGAGCCTACTAGTATAGCGTGGAATTCGTTAACAACGACCGAGGATTTGGAAGAGCATGAAGGTGGTGATGCCAACTGCATGAGTTAGTTTGTTATCAAGCAGCAAGGTTTAAATGGCGAATGTTATTCTTAATTCTATGGATGTTTTCCAAGACATACAAAATAATTTCGGTGGACTCAAGTTCAACAATGCCGGATATGCATTTCACTTCTTTACTTCCTTCACGCTGGTGGTCCCTCTGTAGTGGTAGGTATCTATCTATTTTGATTGCTAGCTACTTAGTGATGACTGTTGATGGTCATTCACGAACATTCATAATTATCATCATGGCTCCGCTTGCTCAGAGCAAGCTTTGCTTCCCTTCGATTCCCATGGGAAATCCCCATCTCCTTTTTCATAATTTTAAATAAGCCATCATCCAGGCAAAAACAACATCTTCGCTTGCAACCGGGGGAACCGGACGAGTCCTGTCTTAAACCCCTCAAGCATCCATAATCCATCGCTTGCTACCAGGGGAACTGGACGAGTCCTGTCTTAAACCCCTCAAGCATCCATAATCCATCGCTTGCTACCAGGGGAACTGGACGGAACACCAATCCAGCGCTCCATTCCTTTTCCAAACCCCGGTAATTATAGTTTTAAACAACTTTTCATATCCATGCATCCAAAGCTTCACAGGGCTATCCAATACCCTTGATTCCATCCGACCCCCGGTTATTTTCGCAACTGAGGTATGGTCCTCGCCACATCAGCCCAGCTTGGGGCAGTAGGCAATGAAGGAACCTTCTTCCTAGTGGCCGTGCGACTATAACCACTGCCTACGGAGGGGGCAGTACTCGTCGAAGGAGCGAAACTGACAACACTAGCATCGTCTCGTATGTCACGTTCTTCCCTGTCTTCGTGATCTTCTCGACTTGCAACGCTTTCCGCTCTCTTGATATCCTCTTCATAACCCAAACCGAGACCGACACTCTCGACCTTGATGACTGTAGCAGCATCGTTGTAGTGAAATTCGGATATCGTCTCGTCAGGCTTCTTGGCAATTTCATCGGGAGAAGGACTCTTGATATTGGGAGTGTTTTCAACGGTCGTTGGCATGCTGAGGTCGGAATATAGCGATCTGCTCAAGCTAAGGGTCGAGCTGTTCATGCTGTTCTGAGTGCTATCGGCGGAAGATGTGTTGCGATTGTACCGAGGTGTGCTGGGAGTGCTGGACCTAATAGGTGTGGCAGGATTGACGGCTCGAGGTAAGCGGGAAGCTGAAGTGCTGGGACGCAATGGATAGTTGGCAGGAACAACCTCAAGCGTTGGACTTCTCTTGGGCCCAACGGCTGGAATTGGCGAGTTAAGCAAGTTAGCTGGACGAACGATGGATTCCCTTCGTATCGAGTCTCGACGGGTCGCACTCTGCGGTACCGGAATACTACTAGTACCGGTTGAGACGGCTTGAGAGTAACTTGGACGAGCATTGGGATCGACGATGGGGGTGGGCATCTTGATAAGAGTTTGTACGGCAGGGGCTGACGACGAAGTTGCTGGTAAAGGATGCGTTGGTGGTCTTGAGGGCATCTTCAAACCGCTCGGGGCAAGAACCGGCTTCGTCGATGCTGGTGCAGGAGTGGTGGTTCGGCGCGAGGCGATTGGAACTCCTTGCCTTTTACCAGTCTGGAGTTCCATCAACCGAACCTCAAGCCTCTTTCTTTCCCCAGACTCGTTTTCCAGCCTCTTTTCCAGCTGCTCACAGACTTGTTTGAACCTCTCAGCAACATGGGTTGTCTCATTTCTGATCCGAGCCTCGTATGTGGCATCCTTCGCTTCGAGTTCGGCTAGCCTCTTGGTGATCTTTTCGTGCTCGGCTAGTAGTCGCCTGCGGTCTTCCATGGCATGCTTCAGGCGCGAATCAAGTTTTTCAGTTAGGAACCGGCTGCTCTTCTTGCAGCAGGAAGCATGATAAACTTGGTCGATACCACCGAGCTCGACCAGCTCAAGGTCGGCTTCGTCTGCCGCGGGCCGCTCCGATGGTGTGGTGGACGACATCCTCCTGATCAGGTTGACTGTGTGCCTCGGACCCACCGTAGGCGCTCTGAAGTCCTTGTAATCCTGGGTGCCAACGCATACATTTCCAGGTTACCCAAGAATTGGTCGAGTAGAGCATCCCTCCCCTGTTCTGGTAGCTTGCCGGCAACCTGATCAAACTCGGCTATCTTGGTGCCATAGACAACCGTTGAAATGTTCAGCAACACCATACCGAGCGAGTACACATCAGCAGCCCGCATTGACCACTCATCACTAATGCGGCTGACTTCGGGTGCTCTCCACTTCGGGGTTCCCTGTTGCCCGAGAGTAAGAGTGTTTTCCCGGTCATGGACATCTCTTGCTATGCCGAAGTCCGCCAGGTAGACTCTTCCAGGGCTTAAGAGGATATTGCCCGGCTTGAGGTCCAGATGGCGCACGTCGGACTTGTGGAGATAAGCAAGTGCGCGGGTGAGGCAACCCATCATCTGGCGCATATATCTGAACAAGCAACGATTTCCGTATGACGGAATGTAAGGGTATTCGAGGGCGCCCAGGTCAGTAAGATCAAGTGTGGCCAGCCGAGAAAGGATTTCATCGCGATCGTCTTGGCCAGTTTGGAGAAGATGCAGGTCGTTAAACAGGTCATCCAGATTGCACACGGCGACAGGCCACAGCAAGAGGTACAGTTCAGGTACGTTGCGGTAGCAGTAGGAACCAATGAGCTTGACGATATGTTCATGTTCGACTTTTTCCATCACCTTGGCCTCCTGCCGTAGGTCTTCAAGTCGAATATGCCGTCGCTGGGGAATATGCTTGCGCGCCAATCGTATCGAGCGGTTCTTGATGGTGAGGTAGACTTTATCGACGACGCCATAGCTCCCGCGGCCCAGTTGGTTATTGGGGTTGTTCTTGAACTGGTCGTGATGCCGTTTCGCTTTTTCGAGGTGCTCGGATGTGGTGTCTGTGTGCTTTCCACTGTATAGAAGTTAGCTATGTGCCTGGATTATGGAAAGATACAAGGCTTGGAGAAGAAAGCAGAGAGGGGGGTGTAACGCACATTCCGGACCAGTGACCTGGTGATGACTCCCACTCCTTGATGATCTCTCTCTCGTGAGCCTCGAGTTCCTGGTGTGACAGTCGTTCGACTCGTCCCCAATGGGTGGTGGGTAGGGCTTTGCTCCAGGCGTTTCGTGACTCAGACCGCGACATGGCGGCGAATGGAGGGCAACCGGGGATCGCAAACGAGGACGGCAACCAAATAGGAAAATTCGAGGGCGGAGCGTCAGCAGTTTGTTGGCTGGGCTAGGAGTCACGACTCTGGCGGGGGGGTCCTGGGAAGAGGACTAGGGGTACGAGGAAAAAGAGACAATGGAAAGGGTATATTGGAGGACAGAAGTTGTGAAGCACCAAAAGAAGACGATGAAAAACCACGGTCACGATATCCAAAACTAAGCAAGAACCCGAAACGAAAGACTAAAACTTTTGGAGAAGGTCCCGTGGAGTGGAAAAGATGGCACCCAGCAGGTGGGATGAACATGGCAAATGCAAAGTGCAAGTGGATGCAGAACAGCGACGCAAACTGCAACTTTCCCAGTTGGGCATTGCACTTGCCGGGGATTTTGCAGGAGCGCATCCACCGCAGGCACCCGCAAAAACGGCAGTGTCGGTTAGTGTCAAAGTCTTTTTTCCTGTCCAAGTATAGTGCCGAGATACATGAACTGGTAACAAGGCGCCCTCCCATGGAACCAGTCAAGTGCCATTGGCCAGGAGATGGAACCTCACCTTCTCAAGTCCGACCTCAGAGCGGCTGAGCTAGCACTCTGCAGTGGTGAGCGTGGCACTGTTGAGAACGATGGCTGTTAAAAAGAGCTGTCCGTTATGTAATTGGATTTCAAGAAGCGGAACAAGCCATGCTCGCCATGATGTCTTGAAGATACGGATTCGAGGACATTGCTGCGGTTGACCAGATGTTGATCTGTTCTGTAGCTTGGACGGTACAAAAGCTGGCCTCGTAAGAATAAACAGCAAAAGGCATGTCGAGTGTTTTAAAGGAGAGAAAGAACAAGATAAAAAGGTCCCCGTCCGATGTTTGTTTTGATCCCGCCAACTCCAGTTGGGATGGGGCCCAACAGGGCTGAGCTGGGGCTGCGGTCACTCCCGAGCTCCACCGAGTGACGAACACCAAAGTGGAAACCGGCCCGGAGCGGGGAGGGGGGACGAACTTTAAACTCCGCCGGTCCGTCTTTGTCTTCCATCCGATTGCAAAGCGGAAGCTTAAATCAACAGCCGGTGCGGTCATGGAGTTCCTTGTTGGGTCCGCGCCGCCCAGATCCCGGTCTTATCGATGTTTTGGTCAGCGTCCCTGCTGACGACCTGACAAATCCGCAATTCCTGCCACCCCAAATTCGGAGCATGGTGGCTCCGAAGACCTTGATGTAGTTCATGGTTTTCGCCATCCGGCCAAACAGATATCTGAGGTACGCTGTGCGAATATACCATCATGGATCAAAATGCTGTTTGTCCTGTTCCCCGCGATTCCGATCATTGCTAACGTCGTGTCGTCGTTTAAGACCCTAACGGTTCGGGGTTCTTCAGCGGTCAGTTTGCATTTAAGGTTAAAGTCCTCGATACTTTATTTCAAGCTTTAATGCCTGCTAAGGCCAAGTACCCAGTACTTGGAACGGTCCACATTCCAGTGATCAGTAATCGCAAAAGGCCGGTCTTCAACGGTTACCTACTAAACCACATCGTCCTTGTCAACTGCCCCTGCATCTTATCAGATTCCACTCCACCAGCTTTCACATGCATCGTCAATCCTCAACTTGACAACTTCAGATGTTCAACAAAGCATACTGCTCGATCTGTGACTATACAAACCATTCTGGACGTTAGACTCTATTTGTCCGATTACGTACCCCTCATGCGTGTTTGTCCCCAGGCCGAGCTCCTTATTCTCAACCTGTGACAGCCGCAGCAAACATCAGCTCCAACACCAGGAACCCCAGGTCTTGGCGCTCCTTCCCCCCTTCAGCTCGCCCGTCTGACTTCAAAGGCATCTTTGTCATCTTCTACCGTTTTGTCCATTATCACTCACAGTCTCCCGCTTCTCTCCTCCTTCATCCCCCTTTTGAACCCAACAATCGTCGACTGTGATTTTCATGATGCGATATCCTGGAGGCGACCTAGCAATCCTCGGTGTCGAGACCTATCCCGACCCCCTCGTCCAGGCACCCGCTCGATCTCGATCAACTCGTCAATCACACCCGAACATTGCCATTCAACGATCTGAAGAGGGCGGTCCGCGGAAACGTCAAAGACTACAAGGGGCCGATGTAGGAACGCACGAGAAGGATGAAACTAAGCGGGCCAGAGGACGTCCACGGCTGGACGTCAGTGATGAGACCGCTGCTGACGTGAGTCGACAGTAAATCCGTAGGATGGAGCCGTGATGCTGATAGTCATGTAGCGTCGGCGAACCCAGATACGTCTAGCACAACGAGCATACCGGAATCGCAAGGAGACAGCAATACAAACATTGGAGAAGCAAGTCGAGAATCTACAAAAGGTCAACAAGGAGATGAACCATGCTTTCATGAAATTCCACGACTTTGCCGTGGCCAATGGTTTACTAGACAGCTCTTCGGAATTAGGCAGACAACTTCTTGCTACCAAGGAAAGGTTCATCACCATCATACAAGCTGGCGGTGACGACCTTGACGCAAATGACGACCTTGACGCAAATGACGACCTTGACGCAAATGACGACCATGAAGGAAGACGACGAGGAAGTACGAGTACAACTGACTCTATTGGAAGTGATCGCAGACGAAAGGGAACTACACAACCAAAGAGCCAAACAAATTCCCCAAAATATATTGTGACACCGTCGACTACGGAGTCGCCGGAACCACCACCACAGCTTTACCCAGGTCTGACCGTCACTCACGAGCCACTCTCGCAAAGCTACTTGACCCCTTCCCAGGACCCGGACTTGAGTCTCTCCATACCAACCACCAGCCAGACCACTGAGTTTCATTCAACCGCCACCAGCGCCCCTGCATCTCTCCCCAAGTCCTTCGACTTTACTACCATAGACTTCAACCTCGACTTCCTCTCCACGCCTCAACCACAACCTCCACAAATTCCCTCTCCCTCTCCCTACTCCTCCCTCCTCGCCCCCTTCTCCTATGCCTCCCACGAAATTACCTTCGGTCGCCGCTACCAGCGCTTCGCCATCGAGCGCGCCCACATGCTCGTCACCATGCCCAACCCGCCCATTGACAAGCTCAGCAAAGCCTTCGGCTTCTGCCTCCTCTTCGAATCACCCGACATGATCTTCCAGCGAACCCTCAGAGCCATCGCCAGAAGCGCCGGAGAGAGCCTCTACAACTGGCAGTACCCCTTTTACCACCTCGGCGGGGCCGGGACGCATTTACAAACCCCTGGAGGAACGCTAAACAGTGCCCTCACTTTTCACGCAGGCATGAAGATGTCCTTAAACCTGCAGACGGTCCCGGTCGGCAACCAAGGGACTATCGACATACTTAAGCCACAACCCGAGCTCACGGCGGGATTCGGCATGGGCCCGTTCTTGCCGAATGTTAATGATGCGAGGGATAAGTGGCTGGATAAGGAGACTATGGAGATGTTGATGCCGGGTTTTGACGGGACGTATTACGATTGCGACGAGGTGGAGTATTACTTTCATCAGAGAGGGGTGAAGATCCCCCCGGGGGCAGATACGTATACGGTGGAGATTTATCCAGCGCAGTTTGGTGCTGGTGGTATTCAAGGAGGAGGAGCGGGACATGGAGGATCAGGATCGTTGGAAGACCTAGACCTTGCCTGCTTGGATTCGGTTGTTCAGAACTGCATCCCAGGCGAAGAAGGATCACCGCCTTCTTCGATGCACTACAGTTCGAACTCGATTGTTAGCGATGATTTCCCACAATACCAACAACAACAACAACAACAAAACACCACCAACAACAACAACAACAACAAGCCAACAACAACAACAACAACAACAAACAACAACAACAACAACAACAACACTGGACTGCAACCTCTCTTGACAACAACAACAACAACAACAAAAACAACAACAACAACAACAACAACACTGGACTGCAACCTCTCTTGACAACAACAACAACAACAACAAAGCCCTCCACAACGACGGCAAACAAACCACTTACCCCCGGCTCTGGTGGCTCCTACAGCTCCTCCCTCTCACCACCACCATTAACAGCCTGCTCAGGAGCCCAAGACTGGACCTCTCGCTTCCTCGGCGTCCCGCACACACAGCAACAAGCAAACGATCCACATAGCTTCGATTTCTCCCCTGATGCCTCCATGTCACCAGACAATAACAACCAAAACAACATGTACATGTCCCCCAAAAGCCATCATAGTTCCTCCCACTCCTCCTCACGATCAGCCACGGGTTCCTCCTTTGATCAACCAGTTTCTTCCACCACCACTAGCTTTCCGTCACCACTACCGCCACCAAGACAACCACAACCACAACAAATGTGGAATCAACGAATGCTAGTCACCATAGACGTCAATCGGCTAGTGACAGAACTGGTGGAACGAGCCATCTGTCTGGGCAGGACGCCGGGGATTGGAGTGGAGGATATTAACACTGCTTTTGTGCCGCTGTGAGGTATTTACTTATTTATCTATGGGTTTCGGCCTGTTTTCTGTTCTATTTTCTTTGTGGGTTTGGTTTTGGTTTTTGGTTTCGGTTTTGTGTGGTCTGGAGTTACGGTACGGCTGAATTAGGTTGGGTTTGTTGCTTTTTTTTTCCTTTTCTTTAAGGGGGAACCACGGTCCGATCGTGTTTGTATGATATGGTGTAGATTTAGGGCGCGGTGAATGGAATGAATATCTGTACATCTCTGTATTAGAAACTGAGCGTAGTTAAAGGGTAATTGTATTCGTCCTTGAATACAGGTATGTGGTGAGGCGCCAATTCTCAGTTGTCACCGTTCGTGGTTTTGCAGTAATACTTGCTTACTATATAGTTCTAGTAAAGGGGACCAGCACGGGAAGAGCGAAGGAAAACAATATCAGGGCAAAAGAAGACGGCCCGATGAGCGTGAGACGAACAACGCGACAAAGAGGAAGGAAAGAAGAAATGGAAGGAACAAGAGACAGAGGAGAGGGCAAGATCAGGCCACACTAGGGCAGGAAGGAGCATGTTCACCCACAAAACAAAGGCCCACTGCAACGAATGCTCGCGGTGGTCATGTAGTCAGACAGACTCCTGGTAAATAACTGTCAACACCAAGAAGAAGGTAACCCCCAAAAGACACAAGCCATCCACCTACCTACCTATCTCTCACCCACCTGACCTCGGTCCTCCACACCAACAGAACAGAACAAAAGAAACGAAGCACCAAATAACAGTGTAAGAAAAGAAATAAAAAAGACTGTGGACGAACCGCGGATTGAACGCGGGACCTTCTGTATAAGCACGTCATGCCAAACAAAGCATTGCAAAACAGACGTTCTACCACTGAACTATACGCCCTTTGAGGTTTGTTGAGAGTTGGTGTTAAACGGAAAGGTTATAAGGGGAAGACGGGAGGGAAGGAGCTATGTAGAGAAGGGGAAGGAAGGAGGCAAGGAGTGAATGGAAGGTTTCGTGGACAGACAAACAAACATCTTGGCAACCTGGAAGTGGGGCTTGCACCGTCATCAATGGAAACGGGTAGATGCATTACGGTACTATCGAGAGATTGAGACAGACAGGTTCAGTTGGTTTATATCATTTCGTTCCAACCTAGTTTCTAAGTGTAGAGGTAAATAAGTAGAAGTACCTTAGGTGGTAGGTACTTTGTAAGATGAATCCTGTCTTCGCCCAACGCCGCCGCCGCCGTCTTGTTGTTCTTGTTGTTCTTGCTGATTATGTTAATGCTAACTAGCATAACTACTTAACGTCCGAGTACCTATCTAGGCAAGAGGCATTAGGTGGTGGTGTGGTGAGGGGGAGGGGGGAGAGGTTCCCTTGGGGTACATGATGCTTGAAGTAGGTGGTAGGCAGAAATGGCCATTCGGATGTCTTTCTGAAGAGTATCTTCTTTAGTTATCTCTCTACCTACGCAGGGAGCTCGTAGGGGTGATCGATGACCGGCCTTTCAAGTTCACTCATAAACATGATAAGGTAAAGAGAGTCCAGGAGGTCAGAGCGTCTCTCTCATATATTATAAGGCCGATGATTATCATCATTCATGAACAAGACATTGACGTGCGTATGTAAAGAAAGCCCGACGATTACCTAGTCTAGTCTACTACCATATGTATCAACCACTACCGAGTGAGTGCAGAGATATAAGAAGTGTATTGTACTTGATTAATAGTACTTATTGTGGCCCGGGAAGGGTAGATACACACCGGCTAGTCTTCTACCTCTACGCTTCGTACGCCTAAGAGCAGCAGCTGACATAAACAGTTTACCCCATGATGCTGTAAACGACAGAGATGCACGAGGCGTCAGAAACTTGGAGCCGTCAAAGACTTCTCCGACGTGCGGTGGTGACCAGACCCGTCGAATGATTCTCGGGCGGGTTTCCTCCCCCCTTTCTGCTCTCTCAGCATGGGATTCTTTAATCCTTTTAATCTCCGTCCACCTCGCCTTCTTTGCCTCCGACTGGTTTCTCCACATCTGATAATCCTTCTCCAGCGCCTTTTCGAGTTCCATCACCTCCCCGACCCATAGCACCGACTCATTCGCTGTCCATTCTTCTGCCATGCTCATCCCAAGCACACTCTTTACCTTCTCAGGAAGCCTGACTAGCGAACTCAACTTGGTCGACCGATCATCCCTCTGATCCATGACCAGCTCATACTTGAATCTCGAACACATGACCAGTTCGTCCAGCACGGCCTGTGCTAGAGCCTTGATTACTATCTCCTGTGACTCCGGAGTTGGTTCGGGCCACCAGGAAGGTGTCTTTCAAGGTGGGAATGTCTCGATTGAGAATTGCGAGGTACTGTGACCCTCCACCCACCTGTAAAGAAACCCTTCCCACAGGTCCATGGTGTATCTTCCGCGGCGCTGGCGCCACATAGCCTTGAGAGCAGGATTAATTCGGAATCCGAACCCGTCGTTGCAATTGCGCCGAGCTATGCCACGTCGCTCTGGCGCGCGAAAGCCTGGTCTTTAAAAAGGTAGCCGTTCGAAAATACGAGCGTTTTGCTGTCCAGGATGAGGCCTAGGGCTCGGGCGGCTGAGGCTGTGGTCTTGTTGGTGAGTTTGGTGGGAAGCCTAACGAACCGTTTATCGAAGGTGGTGCGTACGCTGGTAGCAAGCGGGTTCAGAGGGTCATCGCGCTTGGGGGGCTTTGTAACATCCCATTCGCCGCTGCAGTTGTGGTATGCGAAGAGCGCGCAGACGAGCAGGGACTGTATGCGAGCCTGGGCAAGGAGGGTAGCAGCGTCGTGTGGGGAAAATGAGTTCTTCTGGTGGCTGGGTTGCTTGGGGGCCGCCGTTGAGGGGGTTATTGAGGCAGTGGGCGGCGCTGTTGAGGTTGGGGCGGTATCAGTAGGAGAAGCAGTAGTAGCAGCAGCCGTGATAGGAGCAGCAATAGGCTGCTTTTAAAAGTCCTGCTCTGCAGAAGGTATTTCGGAGACCATTGCCGTAACCTTCTTGGGCCTTCCTCTCCTCTTGGGAACCTCAGAATCTGCCGCAAGCGTTCCGATTTCGCACTCCTCTTCGTGCCGTCTGGTCGAGGTGGAGAAGTACAAACGATCACTGGGTCGCTTCCAGATCTGATTCCGCCCAGTTGGGTGTATGGCCGTTGGCGGGAAAGTGTCGCGCGAAACACCGCCGTCGCCTGAAGCGCCGGTGGTTGGAGCTGAAGTTTTTGGAGCAGTCTCTTCCTCTGGAGGGGCTACCACCTTACGAGGCCTACCACGCTTCTTGGGAGCTTCTTCCTCGGTAGGGGCTACCACTTTTCGTGGCCTACCCTTTTTCTTTGGCGCTGTGGTTTCCGGCTCGGCGGAGGGTTCTGTTACCGGGGTCTCGAATACCACCTTCTTTGGCCTTCCTCTCTTCTTGGGCGCTGTAGGAGCGGGCGTTGGCTCTTCCTGGGGTTGTACCTCCGCTGGTTCCGGTTCCGGTTTCAATTCCTTTGCCTGGAGAATCACTGGTGTTTCTCCTGGGCTTGCTTTGGATTGCTCTGCCGATTCTGCTGGTACTGTTGGAGATTCTTTATCCTTCACATCCGGTACTGCTTGGACATCGGTCTTCTTGGGCTGGCGGTGGCTTTCAATGCCTGTGAGCCCCTTAGACGATCCTCCTGAGGCGCCTGGTCTTGGTTCTCCCTTTTCTCGGACTCCGGTTCAACCGCAGCCGTCGTGGAAGCAGCCAGTTCTTGAGGCTTTGCCTCTGCCATTTGTCGCGCTTCCTGCTCCATCTGCATCTTTTCCCTTTCTTTTCTCTCAGCCCTTTCCTTCTTCTTCCTCTCCCGAGTCTTAACCCTCCACTTCCGTAGCGACTCCCTCATCTTCGCTACCCTCCTCAACCTCCTCGCCTCCCTCCTCTCCGCTTTCACCGCCCTCCTCCTCTCTCTTTTTCTCTGAACCTTCTCCCTCTTTTTCCTGGTCTTCTTCTCCTTCGCGGCCAGCGCCCTCTCCTCTAAGACCAACTTCCACAGTGCCTTGCCCCTGGCAATCATCTCGTCCCACTCGCGCTTCTGCTTAAACTCGAGGTCTGTCATGGACAGCTTGACAGCGTGCGCATACGACCCATGGGTCTTCCGCACCCGCTTGGCCGACTGCTTGCTTTGTGTCCATCGCTGCCGACCTGAATTGTCAGTAGCATAATACTCCGGGTTGTCCCACGGCTGCGGCACCCCCTCCAGCATCTCCTCCACCATTTCGTCCCAGGCATCCTCCTGCTCAGCGTCGGCCAGTTCTTCAGTGACGAGCTCGTGGTACTTTTCGGCCCATCGCTGGCGTCGTTTGAACTTTTGTCGGAGAACGCGGCCGAGGTATTCGGATTGCGGCTTGCGCAGGCGCAGGAACGGGTGGCCGCCGAGCTCGTCGAGGGTAGGCAGCTTGCGGACGCCGCCGGATAGCTTCTCAAGCGGCAGCGGACGCACGGTAGGGACAAAGGTCGGTGGCCCCCTGCCGTCCGGGTTCGGGATCTTGGTCAGCAGAGGGACGGTGTCCGGCTTAGGCGCAAACCTGTTTGGTATCTCGGCCTCTTGGCGCTTCTTTTCGCGTATGGCGAGGACACGCTCGTTGTTTTCGCGCAGAAACTGGAGGACGTCGGCGTGGGCGGGCGAGGACTCGTCGCGCGCGAGGGTCAGCAGTTCAAGGAAACGGTAGCCTTTGTTAAGGGCCGAATTGACCAGGCGCAAGCTGATCTCGGAGCTGTTGCGTCGAAAGCCATTTCGAATGAGGGCGCGAATGGGGTTTTGCTTTTCGTCTAGGGCGGTAGCGACATCGTGGGGGAGAGGGACACGGTAGCCCGCGCGAAGAAGAGCTCTGAAGAGAGCTTTGCCTGTTTGGTGGACGAGCTTCAGTCAGGACCAGACGATGTGATAACGTGGTAGAAATTGTATCCCTTACAAGCGAAACGATGCCGCGAATCGCGGCCGGGCTTAATGAAAGCAGGCATTCATTTGTCGAGCCACGGGATCTAGGACCCTTTCAAAGGTTGTTATGTTGAAGTTTTGATTTTCTGTTTGAAAATGGAATTTGGGAGAGGTATACAAAGTGGAGACATCGGACCAGTGACATAATTGTTTTATCCAATCTCAAAGACAAACGCGCTGTCATGTGTGGCCGTTTACACTTTCCGACGACATGTACAAACTAACCCTGGTTTGTTTGGTAGTCTGGTACAAAAAACGCCCATTTCTACCCTCGAGCCACTGGGAAGAGGAAAAGCATTCGGGTTTTGAGCGGACCGATGCCGTAGGAACCGCCCTCTTATATCTTCCAGCCTTTGAAAGCCTGGAGAGCAGACGGACAGAGACATCAAGAGGCTTCTGTGGCGTGTTTTACCCTGGTCGCATAGTCAGTGTCCTCAAACGAAAACCCAAAGGAGGCCAATGAGGGCTCTGAATATCCCCTGTTTAACCCTAGTTCAAAGTACCAAACTAACAAACAAACCAGTCTTGTATTGTATAAAGACGAAATTCGCATTGGATTCCTTTGAGACAAAGGGTTCCCTCTATGTTTTTCTACTTGTACTTATGGCAGCCTTTGGAGTGCGTGGTTCGTTGCGCCCGGAGTCTACGGATTCGCATAATAACTAATGCCGGTACCACATCATGTGGGCAAAAACCGCCCTGGGCTTTCAGCATATTACAGCCTGGTCATTGATTCACGTAGTTGCCTGGACGGTCTCCTTTGTGGTAAAGCGTCATAACTTTGGTTTGCATACGAAACTGTCCAATGCTTCCCTAGCTCCCATAACGAAACCCCAAACACCAGAACATGATATGAACATCCGCCAGAATGTATTGAAAGACTGTTGCTTCTATCGTGATAACCGTGACGGTAACCGATAGATGTTTACTTGTACATGGGGTACTTGGAGCCCTCGGGAGGCTGCGGGAGCTTCTTGTGCTCTTCCATATACCTGCAATGCCGCATGGTTAGCGTCTTTCTGGTTTCCTTTGTGCACACTGTGGTGCTGCTTTGTTTTCCGGTTCGACGTACTTCCTAATAGCAATGAGGGCAGCCTCGAGGCTCAAGGGGTCCTCTTTCGGGCGGGGGTTCCTCGAGAGTTCGGCGGAGATGCGAGTCCAGTCGCGGAGGATGCCGACGTAGTTGGGGTCGACGCGGCCGTCGGTTTGGCTAACACCGGGGAGGTTGATCTGGCTAACGAAGTGGATAATGGGGGGCTCTTTAGGGTAGTTGGGGCCGCACTCCATCTTGAGTTCGTAGATGCGGTTCTCGTGGTGGCCCTATGTAGACCAATGTTAGTCGGGTGCGCCGGCCATGACGACGATGACGATGGCGGGAGTATCGTACGTGAGGGGGACCCCAGATGGTACCGGTCCAGTGGGTCATGAGGATATCCTCGGGATCTTCGAGGCCGTAGGAGCAGGCACCTATATTGGATGAAGCAAATTATCAGTATCATCGGACTCCATCATTCATGGCGCATCGCAAACGCAGGGAACCGGAAACGCACCTGCACCCATTCCCTTCTCGCCCTTCTCCAGCTCAGCGAGGAGCTTGAAGTTGCGGGGCACCTGAGCAACCGCCATTGTTTCGGATGCGTCTGTCTGGCGAGGGTTGATTTGGAAAAGATGTGTAACGAAGAAGGAAAATGGAAGTGGATTTGGAGACAAGCTCAAAGAAGAATGGCACACGAGCGGATCTCCTGTTTGCGCAACCGCCGATGAAAGTGGAAGGCAGAAAGAAAGAGTGATGCAAGGCGCGCACCGGAATGGATTCCCAGGCTGTTGGGCGCGGCCGTGGGCCCTGTCAGCGTGCTGCATCTGTCACTGTCAGGCCCCAGCAGGACGGCAGTGCGGGGACCAAATGCTACAAGGTGGGGTGTATAGTCGGGCGGTGAGTGATTCTGCCGGGTGTGTTAATTGCAATTACCTAATAGCAGGAGCTGCCCCCGAACTCCCTGGTCCGTGCCTTCCGTCTTTCAGCGGGCCGTGGACAGTGAACACGGAGCTTCAGTGACGGCGACCACTGAAGCCGTCCCGTCCCGGCGTATCAATGGCACATTCCGTCTGTCTTTATTTCAACAACACTTCATCGTTTTGATGATCGTGCAAAACCCGAATGTCCACCATCTTCTTGACCCAACTGGAAAGAACGAAAAGTGTTTTGGAAGACACGGTGTTTTGAGTGCCCACTACTTGGCCATTGTTTATTTCGAATTTAATGACCCCCCCTCTTTCCGCTAAAGCTTCATTTTCACCTTTAAGGACCACTTCAGCCATCAAGGTCACAAGGTCCATTTTCTAGATCACCGCCCGTTAGACTCAGCATCATCGGATCACCGCTTTCATACTATCGTTCAGTATCCTACGGCGACGCGCGTTCTTTTCGATATCAAAGACAGTCAACGCCCCTGACATCTTCCGTTCACTGAATCCAGTTTCTCAGGACTCTGGTGCTGGCAACCTGACTGTAGTTCTAGGTTCCGGAATGCGATCATGACCGCCCAATTAGTGGCATCCGAGCTTGCCAACCTTATCCAGGAAAGCAAGCGCAAAAACAATGACTTGCGCCAGGTCCGTATCTCCCTCTGCTTATTGTCTTATACGAAGGACCATTCGTTAACATCCATGGATACAGGCCGCTGAAAAGTCTCTGGAGGAGCTCAAAAGTCTAAAAGTGACATCGGAAGCCCAAATATCTGCCGGTGTGTGTTTGTTGTCCATTCTTGTCCTCGTCTCCATGGGCCCCATAATGCTTAGGGGATCATAACCACCGCAGATGTCTGACAGAAGCTTACACTCTTTTAGAACTCTCTCAACGCTCAAACTTTGTCAACCCCTTTATCATCGCCTGCGGTACCAAAAATGTCAAGTTCACGGGCATTGCCATCGTTTGTCTCCAGCGCCTCATTGCATCACGCGCCTTGCCCAGGTTTAAACTGAGCCAAGTCCTTGAGGCATTGCAACAGGCCACGTCAGCTGGATTAGATGTCCAACTCAAGATCCTCCAAGCTCTTCCATCTTTACTCTCCAACTACGCCGCCGAGGTCAAGGGCGAGCTTTTGGTCACCGCCCTCAATATCTGCTTCATTTTGCAGTCTAGTAAAAATGCCATTGTCAACAATGCCTCGGCGGCAACCCTCCAGCAGCTGGTAGTGTCAGTCTTTGACAAGGTGGTAGCTGAAGATGGTGAGTCACTCCTCCTACTCGATCAAAGACCAAATAATATGATAATTCTAACCACTGTTTGCAGGGGCTGGTGGCGAGGTTGAACACGTTGGGGAGGCTCCTACACAAGACGGGCCGGTACCAGTCCAGGCTGCGGCCATGGATGCATACAGGGTATTTACTTTCCCCCTTTTCCAGCACGGACCATCACGTACTGATCAAACAGGTCTTCAACGATATCTGCCTTCTGACAGAGAATCAACGTCCTGAGTATCTCCGATTCTCCGGCATGCCTCAGACGTTCGGTCTTGAGCTCATAGAATCAGTCTTGACCAACCATGCTGCCATCTTCACTACTCACCCAGAGCAGGCCGACATTTTGCGCACTCGGGTTATGCCCTTCATCATTAGTGCTCTTCGAGGTAAACCGAACTTTGCAACCAGTGTCCGTCTCGTCCGCATTTTGTTCACTTTACTCCGGCGTCATCTCACCGTTCTCCCTTCGGAGAGCGGAGATGCCCTCGACATCCTTACCCAGCTGTTGGATCAGGACACTGCATTGTGGAAGAGGTCTCTTTGTATGGAGGTTTTCAGAGGCATCTTCGCCGACCATACTCTGCTTCGGCGCATTTTCATGCTTTACGATGCCAAAGAGGGCGAGAAGAACATTCTCAAAAACCTGACAGCCACCTTTGTGCGCGTCAGCACCGAGAGGCCTGCTGTGATTGGTCTCGGGCTCCAGTCAACATTACCAGTCGCTAACCCATATGCGAACGCTGTGGCTTCTACAGACCAGGCCATGTTGGAGGCTAGTGGTGTTACAGGCATCATATCCGGTTCAGTCAGCTCAGATGGCCATAACACGGGCATCAGCACTCACTGGAGCACCATGCGTTCTCCCTGCATAGACCAGCTTGATAAGACGGACCCCCCAAGCATTCCAGAGTCATATGTGTATAGCCTCACCTTGGCCTGCATCACTTCCTTGTCAGAAGGTCTGGCAAAGTTCATATTGCCCCTTACCGTGCCTAGTGAGGGACGAAGGAAAAAGAGTGCCAAGCCAGAGGGCGGGCGAGACTCGCCTGCTCTAACTGCCGATGAGAGACCCAGTACACCCAGTGAAAGCTTGAAAAATCGGGAGCGATCAACCTCTTTCAAGCGGAACCCGCTTCCAGTCAATCCGTTGACGCTGGAGACTCACCCTTTGTATCCAGAGATCAAAGTCTGCGCCGCTTTCATCGACGAATGTTGGCCGGCAATTCTTGCCACATGTTCAACCTTCCTATACTCTGCACTGGACTCAGAGTACTACCATGGCCTGGTCAGGGCGTTTCAAAAATTCGCCCATGTGGCCGGATTGCTCCAGCTGACTACTCCGCGCGATGCCTTTCTGACCACGCTTGGTAAAGCGGCTGTACCGCCAAACGTCCTCACAGCTTGCCTCAATTCTACTTCCTCCAGAAGGGACACTCCAGCATCAGCAACTTCGGAGACGAGTAGCGGTCTGTTCAGCAACGCACGCGGCTTGCTTACCACTGAAAGTGCCTCGGCCCAGGCAGCTGAAAAACAAAAGGCAGCATTCAATAGACGTATCTCCCGCAACACTCAATACCCGGAATTTGTTGTGTCTTCGGGCACTTCTGAACCTTGGGATTGCTCTGGGCCCTACTTTGTCTTCTACTTGGAGGATTCTCTTGGAAACCTTACAGCAAGCAGACTTCGTCTTGTTTACCTCGGGCAAAGCCGCAGGAAGAACACCGCTGGCGGCTAAGGGGCCGGATCAACAAGCCGAACAGGAAGCCATCGTACTTCTGTCGAACTTCAACACCGAGATTCGAGCAGTAGAGACTGCTGCTTCCCGGCTTTTTGAGAGTACGGTTGACTTTCCCAATCCTGCTTTCGTGGAAATTGTAGAGGCAGTATGCGCTCTTCTCGTCAAGCATGTCGATAGTCTTTCTGAGCCCACGGGGCAAGCGCAACCGACACCTCCCCCGGGTCCCCTTCGTACCCCCACTTTTACGCACAAGAGGGTCCTCAGTATCACAACTTCTCCAGGGGCAGGTGCGAACCAAGAAGACCAGTTCGCTCTTGCCAAACTGGGAGATCTCGCTTCCATCAACATGGAGCGATTGCTCTCATATTCTCCAGAAGCATCGGGCTGGACGCCGTTGATTACCGAGCTGATCAACACACTTAGTTCATCCACTAATACTTCACCAGTCAGAGCCCGCGCCGCTGAAACGCTTGTGCGTATTCTCCTGGAGGCTGCTGGATCTGTCGCAACTCAGCAAGAAGACATTCGTGGCTCCATTCAGATTCGTATTCTCGAAGCATTCCACAACTCGCTATCATCCCTTCAGACCGATGGTCGGGAGGTGTCCCTTAGCAACCACGCCACCGACATGGACATCCACCGAATTGTACTCGAAGGCCTCAAAGGCTTGCTAGAGAACTGCGGCGAGAGTCTTGTTCAAGGATGGGACACCATCTTCGCCATAATCGATACAATCTTTGTCAAAGAAGACCTACTCCAAGATGCCCCATCTACCACAGCACCCCGACTCGTGACGCGCTCAGTCAAACTAATCAGGCCCTCCTTTGCTTCTCTGCAGCTAATATGCTCAGACTTCTTACCCTCGCTACCCAACCTTTGCTTTCTCAATCTTGTTGACACCTTATACAAGTTTTGCACTCAAGATGATGACCTCAATGTCGCATTGACTGTTAGTTACCTGCCCCCAGCCGAAATATCACGAAGCTAACACCAGTCAGACCGTCACATTCTTCTGGGCCATCTCGGACTTTCTTTCTGGCAAGAGCAAGGTCATGTCTCTTACGCAGGACATGGTCACTGACTCCGGTGATGAAGCGCTCCTCAAATTGGCTTCTGATCCCTCCCATCAAGACTCTGGCGGGGCGTTGTGGATGCTTCTTCTATTGAGACTCACCTCAGTTGCTACAGACCAGAGACTAGAGCTGAGAAACAGTGAGTGTTATGACGGTATTGGTATTGTGAGACTCGCTAACAGTCTTATCAGGTGCTGTGCAAACTCTACTCCGGATCATTTCTGCATATGGAGATAGTCTGAGCCCCGAGGCCTGGCTGATCTGCATCAGATCTGTGATCCTGAGGCTTCTTGCGTCGATAGAGGACGAGCTTCGGGCAGTTCATAAGTCTCCAGCTAAAGCGAACGACAGAGAGGGCTGGACCGATACAGCCAACGTCGTTATCCGGGGCGTTTCTGGCTTGTTTGCCTCATACCTCCAAGTACTTCTAGGTCATGAGGATTTCGCTATTACCTGGCAGCAGCTTCTAAGGCATTTTGCGAATATGCTGGATGTCCAGATACTCGACATCAACGCCTCAGTTTACAGTGCCGTCCGCGAAATCCTCAGGAGCTGTGCTGAACACGTTAAGCCGCGACTTGAGAAGGCCAGTTTGGACTTGACATGGGATCTCTGGTCCAGAGGCATTCCAGTTCCTGAAGATGGAAAGGACGATAAATCATCGGATAACCAAAAGTGCCTGTTGGTCTGGGTTGAAGCATTGCTGGAACTCTACGGCCTCATCAAAGATGATTTTGGCGTGGAGAGGATCCGACGGATGCTCACCCTGCTCAGGGACGCCATGCAACACGCCACCCCTGGAGCATACGCCAGCGACACCGAGTATGTCACGCCGTTGCAAGGTCGTATCCTTCAGGTGTTCTGCACAGTTCAAACAGACGTACCAGGAGTTCCATCCGCCATGATCACCCAGATTGCCGAGTTCGTCTCCCTGGCATTTGCCCAGGAGAACCCCGACAAACCGGCATCAGAAAAGCGCACATATGTCGCCATGTCCAAAGAGAGCATGTCCATCTTGCAGTCCCTGGTCATCAAGCACGCCGCTGAGACCGACATCTACGAAACCGGAGCGTTTGCCACGGCCCTCGCTGCTCTGGCCAAACCCATCATCCTCAAGTACAAATTCAGGATCGTCACCAAATCATCGCAGCCATGGAGGGAGGCGACCAAGACAGTCCTCGCTGTGCTCGAGGCAACACTCCCGCACATCCGCGCGATAGATAAGGCTCGATCGACCGTCCAGGAGATATGGCAGATCATCGTATCCATTGCCAACGGGATCATCAGCGCCGACTGTTCCATTGCGCCCACCGGCATGGACATCATGGACGACCAGAAGTTCGACATCTCTTCATTCCACAAGCTGAGAGAGCTCATTATCCCGGCCCTCGGCGCTGAGGTTATTCTTGATAAGACAAGGAAAGCCTACGCCGAGGGTCTTTTCCGGACATCCATCATCCACGCGCCCGCACCTGCCGAAGCTCTGATCATCTACGGCTCCGAGGACCATGATCACGATCACGACAACGCCAACAGTACTGCCAACGGAAACGGAAATGACACGGTAGTAGACCTCGACCTCCTCTACAAACAACGGCGCGGCCGCACCATCGACCCCCCGCCTACTCAGCGCAGCGCCATGGCAGAAGTTTGTCTCGACGAACTCTTTGCTCTGGTCGCCATCCAAGAGGAAGAAGAGGAGGAAGAAAACACCAACACCAACACCCCCAAACCAGATTCCGCATCAGCAGACTCTCAATCTCAATCTCAAGACAATACCACCATAACTAAACCCGAATCAACCCACCCCCTCCACGTGCACCTAGCCCTAACCGCCGCGCCCTACTTAATCCTCCGCTGCGCCTTGTCAATCAGGTCTTACGTCGCGGATCAACCTCTCCGGGGCCGCATGCTGCAGCCTCTTTCTCAGCGGAAAGAACTGTACCGGATTTTGAGAGGATTAGTAGATTTAAGGTCGGAGCCAGACGCGATCCCGGATACGCCGAATGTGGATAGCGAGACCAAGAAGCATCTGTTGAGACTTTATCCGTTGCTGGTGAGCATGGTTAAGGTTGCGGGGACGTGTGGGGATGATAGGGTGCTGAAAATGGTGGGGGAGGCGTTGGATGTTGTTGGCAGGGAGTTGGGGTGTAAGTGAGGAGTGGAGGCATATTTTTGGGTTTGAGGCAGGGAGAGGAGAGTAGGAATGGAGGAGAGGAAGAAGATGGAAAGGGGGGAAGATAAGGAGGAGATGGGTGAAGGAAAAGGGGTTGGTGGAAGGATGATAGATGGGATCAGTTATGGATGTGGGAGACAGAGGGGTAATCGATGTGAAATGGGATTTTCCAGCCCACCGGGAAAAGCTGTCGGTAATGAGTAGAGATACTGTACGCAGTAGATAGTTTACGCGCAAGTAGTGCTTGGTAGTAGTAGAGCGGAGAGGGTTTAATCAAGTTACGTTAGTTAGTTTTTCAAGTTCAAGTCCCCTTTATCTTTCTACAGACCTCGTCAAGAATTCAGCTCGCAGTGTGATTATAATCAACATATTCAGTTCGTCCATTGCTAAAACGCCATGCATGCTATGAGTGGTTCATATCGCGCCTTGCTCTTCTTCTTCTTCCTCTTCAGTCTTCTTCTAATACGTACAAATGTTACTATTTGGGCTCTTCTTCTTTCCAGCAACCTCTCTTTCTTTAACCAGCACACACAGGGGAAAGGGAGGGAGGAGGGAGGAGGGGTGAGTAATAACACAACAACTACAAAATAGGGTTTAGAGAACAGAAGAGAACCTTCAGTTAGGATAGATTTTTCTCTTCTTTCCCTTCACCTCTCAACTCGACTCGGCTTGGCTCGGTTCGGCTGATATCAGCTCAGCCCAACCAGTAAATATTTGGTTCATGCCTAGGCCATTGAGTTTCCTCTTCCTCTTCTTGCTTCTTCTTCTGCGCATCCTTCATCGCATCCTTCTTCTTCTCGCTGCCGCGGATCTAGCGCTGCTCAGTAGCCTGATCGAACCCCTTGACGATATCATCCACCGGCGACTCCTTAACAGAAGCTCCCGCGGGAAGGGTCTTCTGCTGCTGCTGTTGCTGCTCGCCCTGCTGCTCACCCTGCTGCTGAACAAGCTGCTTCGCCATAGCCTTGGCCTGCGCATCGCCCACCTTGCCATACACGCTTAGCGCAGTAGCAATCATGCCGCCGATATCGCCCACGTTTCCGGGAACCACCACGGCGGTGCCCTCCTTGGCCAGTTTGCCAAACGCATCCACGTACTTCTCCGCCACGCTCAAAGACACGGCATTCTGCGCCGAACCTTGGCCCTGCTCAATCGCCCTGGCAACAGCCTCGATCCCGCCCGCCGTCGCCAGCGCCTTGAGGCGGATCGCCTCCGCCTCACCGCTGGCGCGGTTGATCTGCTCGGCCTTCATGGCTTCCGAGGCAAGAATGACGGATTGCTTCTTACCCTCGGCGATGTTGATGGCGCTCTGGCGCTGACCTTCGGACTCGAGAATCTCGGCGCGCTTGGAGCGCTCGGCCGTCACTTGGCGGTGCATGGCTTCTACCACCGGCTTGGGCGCGTGGATGTCGCGGATCTCGTAGCGGAGGCAGGTCACACCCCAGGCTTGGGCGGCTTCGTTGATGGCGGCCGTAATGTTGGTGTTGAGCGCGGCGCGCTCTTTGAGCACGTGGTCGAGAGATAGTTGGCCGATCTCGGAGCGCATGGTTGTTTGGGCGAGTTGGGAGATGGCGTATTCGGCGTCTTCGACGCCGTAGCTGTTTTGAGGAAAAGGTTAGTTTGGTTGGGACAAGAGGGTGGGAGGAGAACGGGAGATGGTCGGAAAAAAGTAGGGGGAGTACGGCGAGAAACAGGGTAAGTGAAGAAAGGAAGGAAAGGAAAGAAAAGAAAGCGCACCTCGCCTTATAAGCATCAAACACCCTCGTGTACAACACACCATCGAGCTCGAGCGTGACGTTGTCGGCCGTAATGGCGCTCTGGCTGGGGATCTCGAGGGCGACTTCCTTGAGCGACTTGACATAGGCGATGCGGTCGATGAAGGGGATCAGGATCGCCAAACCGGGCTGCAGGATCCTATTGAACTTGCCCATGCGTTCGACGATCCAGGCTGTCTGCTGAGGCACGAAGCGGATGATGGTGTTGGCCGGTAGCGAGGGCTTCTGGAAGTAGGTCGGGATGCCGCCACCGCCGCCGAAGCCGCCCGAGGGGATGGCATTGTTGCTGGTAGTGTGGAATTTGGCTGCTGCTGAGCTTGTAGCCGTCGAGGAAGAAGCTGAAGCTGTTGTGCGACGGGTGGACGAGAGGGTAGAGAGGGATCGCGCCGAGGTAGAGGAGAGGAGTCTTTGCTGGTGTCGCGCGAGGGGCACAAGGGCCCTTTGTGTTGTCGCTGCTGTCATGGTCATGGCTGTTTATGTGTGTGCGGATGTCGACCACAAGCACTTGCCGGTTGCTGTCGTCGGCTTCGGTGTCGTGGGTTTTGTTGGTGTTTGGTGTTGAGTCTGGCCGTTGGAGGCTCTTGTGAAGCTCCAGTGGGTGTGCGGGCAGCTGTGCAGTCGGTGCGGGTAGGTACGGGGGTACCTACGTCAGAAAGCGGATTGCCTGAAGGAGCTTGGGGCATGAGATCCACTTAAGCTACGGACAAAATGAGACTAGGCCAATCAGAAGCTCCACAGCTTTGTGCAAGCCAACAGCCCCACATCTTTAGGCTTATGAGGTTAGTATAAGAGTTGTGAACTTTGTTGGTTTGTCTCTGCCGTCTGCACAAGACAACAACTTATACCTTAACTGAACATCACACCACGACCACTTTTTATCCTTCTGTCTCCCTTCCATGCCTCCCACCATCACTTCAATGCTCATACTGCCCTTTTTATCGTTCAATGTCATCCATGGCGCAAGCAGCAATAGACGTCAGATCAACGGTTGACCCTCAATTTTTGTGCAACGAAGGATTCGTACACTCCCTGCCAACCCTTTCGCAGGGTAATTCCACTGGCGGATGGCTCATCTCCTGTGGTCTGTCTCACAAGTACCACGAAGTGCTGCTTACCGGCTTTCGAAATGCTGCCTCCCGGCAGAGATATGAAGTGGCCCCGTTAAGAGCCTCGCGCGATAAACTCGGATCCTGACACCGCCGCCACAACGATAAGCTAGGCCTGGACACGGCAGGTTACGCAGGGGCACGGCAGGCTGTTTGGGGACCCCCAAGCCTCCGACCGAATATAGAAAGCCCTATTCACCAGCTCGAATGTCATACTTACCAGGCTCAGCAAAGTTCGCCCTCCAGATTTTCTCCGATTATTTACATGAAGTCTGCCTCCATGGCCCGTGTTAGTCAACCCCGGGGCCTGATCCAGTTCTCGATGCAGGTCAGGTAATGTCACTGGTCTTCTTTACTATTGGTATCATAATATGCCTAGAACGGTCTCTCAGGATTTATCAAGGGGGTCATCCCTCTTGATTCCGTGTTCCTCCTTCATGTCTTTTTATATGGACTGTCAGTTTCCGACCCCCACTCAATTTGCCTACACTTGCTCTTCGTAATGCGCATATACCATCATGGCCAACAACGTCGAACTCAACCACCTTATCAGGGCCAAGTCGTCAACGAGGAGGGCTCGGCTTTCGTTCCGTTATCCGAAACAACCAGTTGTATGGGAGCTTCAATTGAGGATGGGTCTCGAAAAGGACTGAACGGTTCAGGTTCAGCTGTGGTCTATGAAGAGTTACTATCCGAATGGCCTCAGGGTCCCCAAAAAATTGCACCTAAGGGCTATACATGGTGGATAGGTACAATAGGCGATGTCATCCTGACCATTACGCCAGTGGCCTTCTTTGGTAACTCCAATGTCTTCCAGATTGAAACCTCTCTTTTGCTGACGCCATGTTACAGTCATGGCTGCTCTTGCAATACAGCTAGAGCGCCAACCAATGGACCACGACACTCGAGGTCACGACCTCATTGAGGCCCTCAAGCTCGCCCCCACCATCTATCCCATCGTCTTCGCAGCCGTAGCAGGTCGCTTTTACAAGACACTTGCATTATGGAGTGTCACGAGATCTCGAGGTGTCTCCGTTGGCGCCTTGGAACAAATGTTGGGGAGCCAGAGCTTTGCGGGAAGTCTTTTCCGCTTGTTTAGTGTCCGATCGCACGTTGGTGTCGGTCTCATAATTATCCTCACATGGGCTCTCTCCCCTCTTGGCGGCCAGAGCTCTTCGCGCTTGCTCTTCAAGACTGTCGAGATCTCGGACTCCGAGGTAATCGCGTACTACTCATCAACAGACTCGCTTTCGTCAATGAACTCGGCAAGCGGCGACCAGGTGACATCCACAGGTGCGAACTCGCTCTTCACTTCCAGTCTTATGGCAGGTGAGGAACAGAGGCGGTCCATGGCAGACCTTTGGGGGCGGCCCAGGATCCCTCGCCTCCAGGACCCATCGACCGATAACTGGCAAACAGTTCACCAAGCGGACATGACAGAAGCGGACTATGCCTTTTTGATCGGTATCAAGGTCCTGGGGCTGCCTAATCTCAACTCGACCACCTCGTACAGCTTGGCGGCTGAGGCATCCTACAATGACCTCGACTGTAACTTTGTGATACGTACCCTTCCGTCCAACAAGACGCCTGCTTACATACCGGAAAATAGATGGACCATTCCGAGCCTGTATCGCGACATCGTGAATGGTACTAACAAAACCCAAATTTGGCTTCCCGGTTCAGGTTCCCCCGGCAGCTTCTTTCTGATTTCAGACTTCCTGGCGCCAGAGCGCCAGGCTGGTGGACACCTTCATCTTCTCTTTGGCTCCCACGAAGGGGAACACAACTACACTCTGTATAATTGCACTGTCAGAAACGTCCCACTCGAGCTCGACATCGCCTGCTCATCACCGTTCGGATGCGGTGTCCAGCGATATCGGCGCTCTAAAGCGCCGCAATGGAACGAAGGCGACGTCCATTCGCCCTTCACCTTAGCCATACCGGTTATCGCCAACGTCCTCCGGCATTTTCCCACCGCAACGGGCGTTCTGGAGAGCGGATCCCCTCGATACCAAACTACCATAGACAACTACCTCCGGGGCGTTACCCAATTCCCGTTCAAGGTCCATTACCTGAGCCCCTGGCCCACCAACATCACCGACGAAGCCTTTTCCCGGCGTCTCACCCTCTTATTTAATACGTACTACTACGCCTCCCTCGACCCTTTCACCGCCACAGACTCCAGCTACGCCAAGTATCCCGGAGAAGACGACGATATCAGGTCCCAGCCCGTATACCCGGACTCGAGCAATGGGCATTTTGGTGGTTCAACAATGGTCATGGTGGCCGACGCTAAGGAGATCACCCGCCGCGAGCTCTACGGGCTGAACCGTCACTGGGTCGCCATCCTCTTGCTCTGCACTACCGTGCTGGAGACTCTCGCGCTTGTCGGCCTGTTTCTGCGACTGACCACGCCGGCGCCGGATATCTTTGACTATGGCGCCAGTTTGACGCGCGAGAATCCGTTCGTGCCGGTGCCCAATGGTGGGTCGGCCATCGGCGGGGCGGAAAGGGCGAGGATGTTGAGGAAGATGAGAGTTAAGATGGCGGATGTAAAGCCGGACGAGCAAGTTGGGTATGTGGCGCTTGTGGGAACGACGGGAGAGTTGGATCAGGGGGTTAAGGCGCATGGGGAGGTGATTCCTACTAGGGCTTTGAGTCGGTGGAGGCGGTATTGGTAGTTTCGAGTTACAAAAACCTCTTCGTTTCTTCGGCGCGGTTGAGGTGCTGGGTTTCTACCGTCCGATATCACGTCTATCCTCTTGCTTTGCTATGTAATTCAACCCTACCTACCTACATGCAGGTGTTGTGTCTACCATGACGCCAGCGTCTAAGATTCTCATCACCGTATCGTCCAGCCCGTCCACCCACTGCAAAATATCCTTCATCCTCTTAAAGACCTTTTCCTTCCTCGCCAAGCGTGTCAACTCCCTAAACCTGCCCGTCTTCGCCCTGTTATTCCTCTCCTCCTCCTCAAAATACTTGTTTTCGTCCGCATCCGTCCACGTATCAATGATCGCATCCAGCTTTGCGTCCCACGTCGCCCTTTGCCCACTCTTCCCACCAATGACGACACAGTATTTGGACTTGCGGATTTCTTGCCCGATGACGTTGTCCGCTAATAAGACAAGTTTTATCATTTCGCGCATGGTGTCCATTGCTTGGATCTTGGTTGAGGTGGTGGAGGTGGGGGACTGGGCTGCTGATAGGACGGAGAGGAAGGTGTCGATTTCGTCGTCTACCGCCGTTGCTGCGCTGCGCTGCGCTTCTCTTCGGTTGAAAGGGGGTAGTGCGCGGTATTGAGCAGATGAGAGGTGGAGAGGGGGTATTGGGCGAAGTTGGGGGTGGCGGCGGCGGCCATGATGGGCTGTGGGTTGGTTCTTTTCTTTTGTGTTGGCTTAGAGGCGTGGTCTTTTATTTTTGGGCGAGGCGCGGGATGGATATGGGTGTAGCTTGAATGGATGGGAGGGAGGTGTTTCTGGGTTTGAAGTTGTTGAAGTAAGGTAAGGGGAGGGGTTGAGAGACTTGATGAGAGTTTGAGTGAAAGCGGCGAAGTTGAATATTCTACCTAGGTAAGTTGAAGAGGTAGTGACAAGACTGTGTGAATTTGCTGGTTTTATTTTTTCCCTTCCATTCGAGGTCCTCTGGCTGTTTGGTTCAATTTCGGTTTGCAGACTATCCGCAGTTATCACACATGCTCACTACCTAGTTACCTGGTATTTGGCAGATGAAAGACTCGGTTCGGAAGGAACGGTGAGGAAAGGCTTATTGATTGAGATTGATGCAATCATGCAAGGCACTACTCAGCAGTAAAATTTGGCGAGCCTTCCCAATTCCTTTGCTGGTTTGAAAAAGAAGGTGCACTGCCGTCCAGATATATCCGACCATGACCAATCAGAGCATCAACTCCCTTCACATTCATCCCAACCTCATATCCTGCCCTCTAAACCGTGACACCCCGACATTCCCGACGCTTCACAAATTCCTCGCAGCAGGATACCTCACACAAACCGGGCACATACCCGACATATCCAGTATCCTATCCAGCTCTCTGCATCGCCTCTCCGGACACATCGCTCTTCTTCTTCTTCGTCTTCTCAGACTTGTTGTTCCTGCTGTTCCTGCTGTTCCTGCTGTTCCTGCTGTTCTGCCGGTTCTCGCGGTTCTCGCTCTCCCGAGCCTCCTTCTCGCGCGAATGCAGGGCCGAAACCGCACCGTGATGTAGTGCCAGCAGTCGTATTGGCCTTTTTGGATTATGCACATTTTTTCAAGACTAGCCTGGAATGAAGTGGCATTGGTTGGGTTTGTTGCGTTGAATTTTTGGTGTGGTCAAGTTTGTTCTGGACAAGGAGTCTTCTAGGGGAATTTATATCCCAGCATCCTCTAACAATCTAGGTATGCTTCATGGTTATCCATCCGCTCTTCCATGGTTTCTGTTGATGCCCGAAAGCAATAATACACAGATACACAGACAGTCTGTTCACTTGGCTGCGGGCTTTGAGGCTAGGGTAAATTTTGGTTAGCGAGTGTATTGAATGCGTCATGGAGTTTGCGGGCGCTGTGCTTGAACTGGAGATCTGACCTTGATACATAGGTGGTGTCTTCACAGAGTCAATTCAAAGAAGCACCTGCGTCGGTCCTCGGACAGGAACGTCTATGCTTCACGCAGAGTTTATAGTGAAGTTTCCACGTCTTGGTCACGATAACAATTCCGCACTTATGTAAGTCAGATAGCAGGGAGGCAAGTGGAAGGCAGAAGCCATCCGGGAAAAAATCTTCAATATTTGCCCTGACCTGACGGCCAACGTCCACGGTATACAAATACCATCCCAACGGCTCAACCAATGAAATAATCCAAAGGCCGGGAATGACAGACTTGAAACATGACTCTAGCTGGTAGAGGTACCCAAGCAGCCAAACAAGCACATCGTTCCAATTAAGCTCTCCATCAACAATGGTAATGACTGACAATGAACATCAAGACAAATTTATTTTTAAAAAAAAGAAAATACACCTCCAAAGGAGGGAGGAAAAAGCAGAGAAACAGAAAGGGAGAAAAGAAGACCATATGGAGCAAGCCCCTCATGACAACAATCCTCCGGACTCCTGACCCGTGGAATGGATTCTGCAATTGTAGAGTAAAATCTCAATGGTGACACTGCTGTGCAGGGCAGCTTATACAGCATCAGGTTCAAGGACAGTATCTGACTCCGGGACAGTACTGGGGTCAGGGAGAGCATTAGCTGCTTCCATCTGCCGTTGGAGTTGCTGTCTGAACCTGGGGATGAGGTCATCTATAGGTATAAGAGAAGAGCGCAGGTTAGCATATTTGAGAGTACAGTTGAGTCAGAACTCAGAGGTAATGGGTGAACTAGGAGAATAATCGCTCATATCAAATCGCGAGCACCCAGATACAAGTGTTGATAGGTAGGTGGGTAGGTAGGTAGGTAGGTAGGTAGGTAGTGGAGAGAGTGGTAGAACATGAGATGGTTGGTTGAGTAGGTACTTACGCTCTTGGGCTTGTTCACGTCGTGTTCTTACCAGTCGCGGCCACTCTGCGTGCTCACGCACCTCGACATAGTCCTGCAGGGGCTCTTCCTGAACGTTTCCAGCCTCCAATGGATCCTCCGCAAAGTCGAATGCTTCATCACCCCTTCTTGTCAGGTCTGTGCTTTTCCGAGAAATCTTGAACATGAGTTTGAACTTTCCCACGCGCTTCGGCGCTAGAATGGGACCATCGAGCCAGATCCATTGGGTATCGCCATTGAAGTCTGAGTCTTCCTCCTCGAGCCAGTGAATAAGTAGTTCCTCCGAGTGTGCAGGTAGAACCTCCTGCTCCGGGTTGTCGTGGACGTGATAGTCTCGCCAGTATATTGCAATGTCATATCTGTCTGGGTCAGGCCGTTGCAGCTCTGGGAATCCAATCTGCGGTTTAAATTCAGTAAAATCAAGCTGCACTAGGATTGACTGTGTGAAGGATGCTTCTGCCAGATACAGGATCTTCCAAGGACCTTGGACAGTGTAAATCCCGGGCATTGGCGGCCCTTTCGGCGTGGAACCCCCAGGCTTGCATTCTCTTTCGAGCCTGGCCCGCGCGATGCGTCCACTATTGTCTTCTGTCTCCAGCATGGGTTTTGTCCCTACACCCCGAGACAACATGATGATATTTGGAGCTGAGCTGTGCGTGGAGTTTGAAGGTAAGGATTGGTGTGTGGTCCGGAGAATCGAAACCTTCTTGACAAATATGAGGTAGGTAGGGAAGGAACTGCAGTAAATCTGTTGCTTACTTCGATAGCGGTTGTGAAGCCTACTCGTCAGGTTAGAAGCATCCCTCCCCCCAGCTCCGCTGGGGAGGGTCAGGGATGTTATAATGCGACCGACTTTGATTTACTTCCCGTATTGAAAAACGTGCTAACATAGGGTTACTAATACTGCAATGTTTTGCAGCTTCCTGTGACCTGAAATATATTTAGATTATGGTGAGGAAGCAAAGTTTTAGCATATTTGGTGTGTATTTAGGGGTAATCGCAACTCTTGCCGGTCACATTGTAACATCCCTGACCCCCAGCTTCGCTGGGGGGAGGGATGCCTCTAAACCTGACGAGTAGAGGAAGGATCGAAGCGTGACTTGGGAGGAGGACTCACTCAAGCTGACCAGACTTTTATACCATTTTGCCACAAAGACAGAACGGGATCTCAATCATCATGTGTATAGTATAGGTAGATATATTGTCCATAGGTGTTGGTTCTCATTTCTCAACACCACTTGCTCAAACAGCCGCCAGACGACATAGGCAATGGCATCTTCATCAACGCGCAACCTGTGATTGTGATTGTCGTGGTTCGGGTTTGGGTTCGTGTTCCGCTCACAACTGCTCGAGTGACATGGACACGGATAGTTGGTGATGTGAAGGTCGCCATGCCCAACAGCATCTTCCTGTTAGGCGGCCTAGTTCCGTAGTTGCCAAGTGGAAAAAGGCTTCTTCAGTGCAACTGATAAACGTCAAGCAGGCAATAAATCTTCAGGAGCAGTGACCAGAGGCTAACGGGTTGGGCATTTAATTCCCGTTGTGTGCTTCCCGCGGTGAGAATACATCGATCTTAACCGGAAGCAGCCTGGGAAGGCCAACATCGTCTCGAGGTATCCCACGTCTTGAGAGAGCCGAACACATAGTGTGATCGTTGCAAGGTATTGACCATGGTGTGTGGCTTGTAAGCAGTCCCTCTCATACATACCTCCAGGCAACTTGTGTTGGGGCGGAAAGGGGGAAGGTATTCTCTTTGTCTTAACCTACACGCGGCTCGTTGGCCCATTATCATATCCTCAAAGGAAATCCTCGAATGGCAGGCTGCTACCAACAGGTCAATATACTTTAGCACTTAATCGGTATTGGATGAAAGAGATACTGAACTTAGTGTTCGTTCCAAAAGAAATCCGCGTAAGGCATCCCATCTTTGTGGCCGAAGGCGGTTCGGTGATGTTAAGTATAGAAAGTCCTTGGCTCGTGATTCGTCGCAATGAGCCCCATCAGTTTGGGGCCAACAACAATGTAAACTGGAAACAAAGGCAATACCTACACTTTGACGATTGGAGAGTGCGGGTTATTGCACTTCTCAACCCTCATTTCACGTCATCATTGATGTGGAGACAGTTTCGTCGTCAAGGGGTTTTTGATCAAGAGCTGAAAGCGAATCAAGCGCCAAGGGGACATAGGATTTGAAACCAGACAACAAGCGCCTCCTAGGTAGAGGCTAGTAAGGTTTCATGGTTTCAGTGGCGATGTGTCGTGGAATGAACTCAAAGTGTCCTCGTCGAACTGGTTGTTGGGATTGTCGGGCATAAATAAGATGCTATGCTAACACAGAGAGCGCAGATTTTACGGTAGCGAAAATACTGCACTGACTGAGCCGAAGTCGACCGGTTGTATGCCAAGCCAACCTTCACCCAACGCATGTGTACGAGGGCTACCGTAAAACACGGGAAGCTGGCAACATGAACAAGTCAACAACTCCACTTGGACACTGCTGGTGGTTTGATCTCGAGTTCCTTCGCACAAAGGACTGATATTCGTCCTCAGGCTTTTGGCAAAAGAATGGAAGAAGACAGTTGTAGTCCTGACGACGGGAGTGCTGTATAAGACCGGTGAGAGTCGAAACTGTTGCATCATTCCGATTGGCTGAAGATACAATAAGTGATTGCTCACCCTGGGGCAACCAACACAATGGTGTCGGTACCGGGGAGCCCGGCCAGAAGCGCCTCCTCCATCCCTGTACCATAAACACCATCATTTTGCAATCTGAAACTGTGGCCTCAGAACTGGTTCGCCAAAGCGCGATGATGTCCAGAAGACTCCAACACCTCAATCCTCGATCGAGAGATGTTGGCAAAAATTCCTAGATACACAACTGTTGGAGGCTGGAAAAGGCGACAACGGCCAAAGGGTTGATTGGTGTTGTCTAACGGAAGAGGAGAAGCGGAAACCAGGGCGGCCTAAATACCCGGAAGGAGTCCCGGTGAATGGGCAAGCCAGTGGATGGCAGCCCAGGGCATGGACTTCCAACAACCCCGGGCGTGGATAAAACGAGGTTTTTGGATGCCCTGTGGTGAGGTAAATGAGATGTAGCCTTATCTGATCTTGCGCTGATCCCGTCGCTGCAATGCCAGTGCAATAACACGCCGCCCCCAGCTCAAATATGCGCCACCAAGCCGAACTTCGTCAACCACAGCTTCGATGTCCGTTTGTTCGTGGGCTACCGGCAGGAACCTTGCCGTCAACGAATGATATTTCCATGTTTTCTCTCGATCGAGAACGCTGGAAATATACTTGATTTTAATCCGTCTTGCGTCAAAAGAAGTACTTGCAGCCATAGCCAGATAACCGCGTCCGTCTAGGTACCTCTACTTCCTCAACCAAAACTTGTCCCTCCATGGCTTTAGTCTGCCCAGGGAGTGGTACTAACACTTGTGGCCAGGACCAGCCCGGAGGGCACGACTTTGATATAGGTATAACTCGGCTCCGCAGCTTATACCACGGGTAATCAGTCATCTTCTTGATATGTTCTTGCTTTAATGATTGTTCTTCCTCGTTCTCTTTCCAATCGATAGCGGATTCCCTTGTCGCTCGCCTTGGAAATTCGTGTTCACGCCGTTTTTGAGATCCTCTCTCAAGTTGTTGATGTGCAATGGCTTTCCATTTCCGTTTGCAAAAGGGACTCAATCAGTGGTCATGACCGCCGCCGTCGTGGGCCTGCCCCTCACATTCACCACCCGGAAACGCACACCTGCACGCGATTCTCACTTTCTTTTGGCCACTCCCTACAGCGTACCGGCTCTGCAAGTACATATTGAGCCTGAGAGTGCAGGTCGTTCGTGTCCCGAAAACCGCAGCCCCGTCTCCGTCTCCAGCTACATCATCGCCGCTAGAAGTTATTACACCTACCATTGGAATGGCTCAGCAAGCTGAAGGACATGGACCGCCTCCACCCTCCTACTGCGAGGCCACGGGTCCTGCTGAGCCATGATCTCGACTTCCGGACAGGATATGGTGAGCTCGGGACGATGGCAAAGAGACCACGAGGTGTTTGAAGAGAAAGAACAAAATAAATAGAGACAGCGAAGAGTTCACGGCAATACTCGGACAGTACAACGGATACGGCTTTTTTTAACTTTTTTTTTTACCCTACGATGCCTTCGACACGGCTCAAACCAACCAACACAAGAACTACCGGTAGTACACTGCAGCCCAGGCGAATATTGCAACGGACGAAGTATTTGTTTAGGTAGAATAAAACACTCGTTGCCCAAATCCCACTGATTCTGAGAGTCCGTATGGCCTCGTCGTTGTTGACATGTGTAGGTAGGTGTAAATGAGTGACACTCAAGACCAGCTGGATCTCAGACCTAGAACCCTAACTTGTATTCTTCCTCCAAATACAAACACACAGGTAACTATCTACGAAACCTCCTCAGTCCTACCATTTGAAGACGATTGTTTCCGTTCTTCCAGTTCTTTTTACCGTCTTCCGCTTTGAGTCCTGCTCGATACCTACGTTGCTTCCCAGTAACCCAGTTGCTATAAGCCCTACCCAAGTTACAGCACTAATTCACCGCCCTACACCTCCTGAGAAACAGAAGGCTGATAACCGCAACGCATATCGAAAGCCGACATACCCGGCTCGGGTAGGGTAATGTAGAGGTTTCTTTTAGGCACCGATCGTCTTTAGCCAGCCGAACTCCTCAATTAGACCTCTACCTCTGAGGTATGTCAGCAATGCTTCGTGGGTAGCATCCATAATTGAGCAAATGGAATTAGCCTAATCCAGAAGGGAAGAAACCTAGGTAAGATGAAGTGGTCCATATAAACTATAGCGGAAGTTATAGGGGTGTGGTGAACGGTAAAGCGTTGGCTCGAAGGAAGTAAGCCGGGACTAAGCCGCGCATTGAAGGGAAGGAGCAGTACAGATACGGCTTACTTCCTTCGAGCCAGCACTTTACCGTTCACCACACCCCCCTAAGTTCCGCAAAAAGAACTGAGTGGATTGTAGAAGATTGATGATGTTTCAAATAGTTGAGGTCTGCGCCAAAGCCGGAACATCACGTCAGGGCACTCACGCATATTCTGACCGTCCTTCGTGAATTGATCACTGTCCACTGTGACCGACGAATGACTGCCTTCACTGTCGTCCATGAGTTGCACGTGGTCGATAGGTCTAGACCAATACCTCACGCAGGTGTCGAAGTACAGCTTTACGGTCGCGGCGTCTGCGATTGTGACGAACAACCTGAACCCGTAGGCCTTTCTGTCCTCGCCGGCAGGGGCTTTGAGATCAGAAATGATAAGGTGCTGGATCTTGTTATCGATTTCGGTCGTTGGCTTGTGGACTCGAGCCGGGAGCTCCGGGGGAATGTCACAGTCTGCTATGAACAAGAACCGATACCCAGTTTGAAGCTGCGTTTGCTGTGCCTTCGGCATAGAAGCACAAGGGTCGATAGCTAGCCATCGGACCATGAGGTTGTAAGGGCCTACGTTGTTGGAGTCATCGCAATCAAAGACCAGAGTAATTGGCCACAGGTCTGCCTCTGGGAGCGCGCGAAGCGGAGGCCCATCTCCTGGTAGCATGGGTACTTGTGGATGTCACGCTGATCTCCGGGCTGTGGGCCCGAATTCTGGGAAAGGAGCCATTGATTCCGGGACATGGTTACTGTGGACGAATTGCAGAAACCATGCGAAGACGTTGTGGCTGGTGCGACAGAGAAAACCAAGGCCGCGTCGGCGTCGACTGTCGAAATCTATGTTGGTCAGGGATGGTGCCGTTGAATGCTTCAGGCGGAAGGGCAGTGCAAAGTAGGATATGATGGCGAAAGATGAAAACTTGAGGCAGTATTCTCTTGCTAGGAGGCTTTATGTCGGTGTTTCTGATTGCAGGCCAAACGCTTATGGGAGGGGACTGAAGGTAATTGGAATTTGCTTCCTTGAAGAGATCATAAATCAGCGCTTGTCCAAGGCATAAATAACTGCTGTCCCCTCAGATAAGAAACTGTGGCAACATGTTTGTTGCTCGCCGTTGTCGTAGTACTTTCGGAGTGTTCCTTGGTCCCCATGTCATATTTTGCCGTCATGGCCTATTACTGTCTTGTTGAGCTGTTGGGTTGGTCTTGAGCGTTGAAGGCTATTTGTGCTCGTATCGCGTATCTGCCCTAGGTAACATTTTACACATATGCCCGGGCAAAGATGTTTTTGGTGGTTGGAGGTGAGAGAGTTTCTTTGTCGCAGGTGACATGCGCTCGTTGGTCCATCATTACGCCGCCAACGAACGAAAATTCATAACCTGTTAAAATCGCCTACCGCGTTAGTAACTTCAGGTGACCACTTTCAGTTTTTTGTCAAGTTACCTACAATGCTTCCGCGCGGTTAGAAATTGCCATAAGGCGTAAAGAATGACTGGAGCCAGACTTGGGACCAACGACGATGTAAAACTTGAACAAAGGCAGTAGCCGCCGCACTGCCATCGCCTCAAAAAAGCTCACAATGAGCGTGGTATTATGCCTCTCCCCAACACGAACATAGGATAGCACCTCTGCAGAACGAATGTCGTTGTGAAGTAAGGCCCGAAAAGGTATTACACGCCGGAGAAACGAATCGCAGCGGTCAAATTGCCTGTGACCGAAGTGGAAACGAAGAGAAGGAAAGCGACGAAGAGAACCATTAAGCCACAATCTCAAATCAACCGACGGAGAGATATCGCGTGTTTGTTGGGTGAGGGCGGGGAGCGGTTGTTTGGGGAAAGAACTATGGCGAACTTGGGTGTTGCCGAAAACCTGGGTCTTGGAACCTTGGGTCTCAAAACTTGGGAAGGAACTACCATCCTGACTTGTCAAAGGAAGGGGAATGAGATGGAAGCCTAACGTAGAGCTCACTAATACACCAGTGGTTACAGGTACCGACAGCCTGGAATATTAATGCAACATCCACGAGAGTTCACGATAAGCTAGAATTCGGGACTGAGCAAACAAGCATTATATTCTATCCTACAATGAGTGTGATAGTCTCTGTACAGAAGCCTACTGTAACTACTTGTTCCTAGAGGTAATGACTGTAATAAGATGGAAACTTCCATAGTCTCCCTCGTCCCCGCTCCTGTGCCCTTGCGTAGGGAATGAAAAAAAAAAAAAAAAAAAAAAAAAGGAAAATATCATAACCGCTCCATCAGCCGGTTTTGCCGAGTCTAGCAAGGCGGGCCACACAAATTTCCGTACCCGTAACCAAGTCCTAAGTGTCTGCGTCCGTGCGTGCGGCCTGATCACCTCGAGTCCTGTCTGCCTCGGGGTCGGAGACGATATATGTTCTGTCTCTTCGTCCCCTTCAGGCTCGGCTTTGCCTCCACCACGGGCTTTGCCTCCCCAGCCGGCTTTGCGTCCTCGGAAACCATGATTACCTGGACGGAAGCAAGACGGAAGTTATTCAGTTCCTCTGTCTTATTGTTCTTCTGGAGATCCTCGATTGCCTCAATGTCGACCTTAGCGTCGGCCAGGCCCAGGATGAACGGTGGAGTTTGTTCATCCACGACGGCGGGGACATCGATGTACTGAAAGGCCGGCACCTCCTGCTTGAAGAAGGCAATTTCGAACTTTCCCAGCGCAGCCTCGGTGCCGCCGTATTTGGGATCGTTAAACCCCGCCGTTTCTTCGACCGCGTCCCAAACCTTCACAATAAATAACTTGACTTAGTTGTAGGACAACTGCAAGAACACATCCTCAGCATACGCCTTGTTGTTGCCCTTGTCCAGGCGGCTGACGTGGTGACACAACACCTGGTAGGTGTAGCCAAGGCGAAACACGAGGTGGGCGTATTTTGACTTGCTGAAGAACAACTTCGTTTCCTCCGTTGTAATTTTTCCCTACGGAAAGAGCCAAAGGAAGAGCGAGGAATGAGCGGCAAACTCCTTTTCGTCGCGCACAACGAGCTTCTTCATGACGTCGGCCCAACTTCCTAAGGGAAAGAAGTCTTTGCCTTCCCACATTTTTCATTGTGCCAGAACTCCAATGTGCTGAAATTGATCGGGGTAGCAGCATCGGTAGGTTTGATCGACGACATTGTGTGATCTTGGGTCTTGAGGCTTTGTGTGCCTGATGGCAAATATGATACCGTGACGAGATCTGTAGGAGTCTGATAACTCAGTGATGGGTTGTATGAAGCAGATGATATGCTGGTTGGTGGGCTGTCGAATTCAGAATCTAAGATCTGCGGGAGAACAGCAACAATTATATAGCTGATTTCAGACCTCTCCGTTGCGGAAGTGTCGTTGGTAGCCCATCCATCATGTCGTAAACTCGCGCTTCGGTACTGCTTGCAGAGTCGATAGAAGACAAAGGGTCCCATACCTAGAATGGAAGAGCAGCGCCAACATGAAGATAGAATCATTAGCTGGTGTTGCGGTTGCGAGCACGGGAACTGTTGTTGAAAGCCTGGAGATTGTTGGTCCAAGTTGCCAACAAGCCGTGGCGGTAAGGCCAAAATAGGCAGCCAGGAGCAGGCTGACAATGAAGACTTGCACAGCGCGAGCATGACGATCCTGCGACATGGCTTTGATGAACGGCGTGTCGCCCTATCTTGTCAGCAGTATCCTGAAAACATCATACCGAATCTCGGCTCTCGTGGACATATCCCCGTTGCCATGCGGCGCAAACGTTAGCGCCTGGGTTGAATTTCTTTAACAGAAAGACACACCCGCGCATCTCTTCAACAACTTGTGACAGACCTCCCAACGAGTCGACTTCGCTTTGTTGGTTCCATAATCGTTGGGAAGAGAAAGACCCGACTGTAAAATCTGTGATGTGGCTTTGACGAGATTCCTGAAAGATTTTCAAGATGTCGGGATGTTGGTGTAGGATGCAGTGGCGTCTTGGACGACGAGACGAGGCTCTTTGTACGGAGATACGGGATAGAGTGGCCCTGGAATGTTTGTTAGTTCGGTACAGAACTTGTTCGGGCTGGATATGACGCTGTTTGTACCAAGCTAACAACCGTATGAGGCCAATGGTATGCAATATGGCTTTTGTGCCATCAACCCCTGGTCCCAACACCTCAGCAGTCAGGGTCTCGCATCCAACAACCCGGGATGCCATCCATTAGAATGATAATCATGCACCCTCTTGATCGTTGCTGGGCGTGGAAACTTACCGATACGCCAGCAAGAATTGCCGTCATTACTCAGCAGATGCTCTAACCGCTGGGGTTCCATTCCAGAGACAGGCGCTTGTCGTGAGATGTATTTTGTGGTTTGTGGATTTCTTCGGGCTGACAAAATATAGGAGCCGGCCCGGGTCGGGAGTCGTCAATTGCGGATCCGGATCCGGGACGCCAAGACGGCAGCAGTTGATCGGATCATCGGGCCACCGGTACAGTGGATCATCTTGTCGCCGGCCGGATCTGGCGACTCTGCCACGTCAGTAAGCACACATTGATCGCTGCGAAGAAACGGGATACAAGGACGGGAGCTGGTACGATTCCTTCAAGCTTCACCCTGTCGTCGGGAGTAAGAAACCGATACTGATTGGCATCTGCCCCGGACGCGGCCGTATGGTGATATTAAGTTAAGGTCGTAGTGCCACTGTCCACAGGCACGGCGGCGGTGCTGTCAACACCCGCCGCCACACGCTAGATTTGAGCGGTGTAGTCTGTGTTTGGACTTTGTGAAACTTTGTCGCCGCTTCCCGTCCCTTGGGAATGGAATGCGGTCCACGCGGGTCAGTTGTGCGACGTGAGCAGGTGCATTCAACCGGAACGTGCTTGACATGGGTTGGACCGCGAAGGGACCCAATTTGACGTGGAGGGGCGCGGCGCGAATGATGCGCACGTAAGTGAATAAACCCGCTTGCTTCGCCAGGCATGGGACGGCTCTGTCTGTGGTTGTGATTGATGGACCGTCGTGCATTCCTTGGGTCGTCCAATGTAGTGTACAGATGATCGTTGCAGTGCCTTACTAAGGCTCCTGCAAGGGAAGTCGGGAACCGGCGAGAGAAGGGAGAGAAAAAGGCGAGAGGCTCGCTCCACGGACTGAGATGGGGGACTCCGACTGATTATCTCTCCCTCCTCTCCAAACTTCCTCCCCACTTCTCCCGGCTGTTGTTGTTCTTGACCAGAGTTTCTCTTGTCTCCGGAGAGCCCACCATATTCTCCCGTTAAAACAACAGACATCTGCCTGCCTTCCTTCTCATCTGAACCCCGTCTCGTCCCATCAACACAATGGGGTCCTCCTACCGCACCGAAGATAACGGCAAGATCTCGGATCTTCCCCAGTTGCACCGCTACATCACGGGCCACAACGCCGAAGGAAAGGCCATTGTCCACAGTCAGAACGACTTTGAGTGGAAGTCCTACGCCGAAGGCGAACTCGCCTTCAGCGTCGCCTACACAACCTCCGAATTCCCCGCCAACCTCAACAAGGACGCCGACGTGGCGGAGCACACGCGGGTGCTGGAGTCGGGAAACCTCGGGCTGGTCAATCCGCGCGGAACCGTTTTCCGGTGCGTCGACTTTGCACCTGGCTACGCATGCGGAATGCACCGAACGCAAAGTCTCGACTACGGCATCGTGCTGGAGGGCGAGGTGGACATGGTGCTCGACAGCGGGGAGGTACATCCATTGAAGCGGGGCGATGTTGCGATCCAACGGGCGACTCAACACCAATGGGTCAACAAGAGCAAGACGGAGTGGGCGCGCATGATGTTTGTCTTGCAGGATTGCCAGCCACTGGTTGTCGGTGGTCAGGAGTACAAGGAGGACTTGGGCACCAATTCGGGCTTGCCGCCTAGCGGAAACTGATTCTGTTTGTGAAAGGCGACTGAGGTGGGAAAGAGTACGATGTTGTTCAAAGCAGTTGTTTGGGTGCTGTATATCGTGTTTTTGTTGATGTTCCAGGATGGAAGTCGAAGGAGAAATGAAATGTCGCGAACGGGTACCGCAATTGTTTGTTTACTGGGTAATACGCTGTTAGCGGGTGGTAGTATGCAAATGAAAAGTCCAGTTTTTGAGTGTTCATTAGCGGCAAGATCGGACTGTGGTTTGAAACCAACGAGCAAGTACCTCCCTGTGACGTCACCCACCCCTGTACTACACCACAGCCTACACGTACTGTTACAGTGTGTGATTCCATTCCCGTCCCTTTTCCTTAAACAACAAAAATTCTTAAAATCCGACACCTCCTATATACAAAGCCACCCACCTTGTGCGAGACGATAGACGCACATAATGGATAGTCCAAAACGATCGGAACCTCTACAACTACAAGTCAATCGTGAAACACAGCGAGAATCGACGGCACCACCCCACCATGTACTCCCTACGAGTGCCTTTCCAGCACGCCTGAAACCAAGCTCGGGATGGTCCTCTTATTTGAGCTATCTCCCATCATGGGATCCATCACCTGGCACGTCACGTCCTACGAACAACGCTGACACCAAGAGCGTAGCCGGCTTTCGGAATCCCTGGCCGAGCTGGTATAGACCAACAAAGTTCCAAGTCTGGGATCATCTTGGCTGGGGAGAGGATGAAGATCTATGCGTCGCCCTAGCCGCTTCACACCTACCTGACTCTGCTGTCACAGACAAGCTTCCAGAGAAGAACAAGCGACCACGCTTCAGCGACGTTAAGGACTGGCCTGATTCAGATGGTGCGAAAGCTGCACGGTTATTGCGCATCCAGAACCCCGATTTCTCTTTCGATTCCTCGACATCACCACATGCCAAAGTAACATGGCTAGGCCACGCCGGCGTCTTGGTTCAGTTACCGCCCCTCGATACCTCGAAAGGGTCTCGACCTATCCGCTGTCTCTTTGACCCCATATTCTCGATGCGATGCTCACCCAGTCAGAGAGCAGGACCCATCCGTGCTTATCCACCCCCATGCCGCGTCCAAGACCTGCCTCCGATCGATGCCGTCATGATCAGTCACAATCATTTTGACCATTTGGACTATGATACCATCATGGCCATCTGGGAGAGTAGCAAGGAAACCGTTCGTTTCTTCGTACCCTTGGGAAACCGTTCATGGTTCGTCGACTGTGGTATATCCGAGGAGCGAGTGACCGAGATGGACTGGTGGGATTCAGCTACTCTTTCTTTACGCCGAGAAGTGAGCTCTCCAGCTCAAAGTCTTGAGGTCTGGTGTACACCGGCTCAGCACAGCAGTGGAAGGGGAGGTAATGACGCAAACTGCACCCTCTGGTCAAGCTGGTATCTTCGCCGTCGGGATGCCAACGGTAGCACATACCGCATATTCTTTGCCGGAGACACGGGCTATCAGTTTCATGGTTCCCCAGATTGGCCTCCCAGTCCACCATCGGCAAACAACAAACAAAGGCCGAACACCCAGCCGAGTGATGATACGGAATACCCTCCATGTCCTGCTTTTGCCGAAATTGGGGACAGACTTGGGCCTCCAAACCTACTACTGCTCCCAGTCGCAGTTGGGTCAACGTACTCCTACCTCCGCAGCTTCGTTCCTTTACCAGACTGGATCAGCCCCTTCCCACGACACAGCGCGGGCATTACAGCGGGCATACACATGCCACCATGGGATGCGGTCCGCGTGTTTAAGCACATGACAGAGCTCCCGAATAAGGATGCGACCAGTGAAGGCGTAGGTGGGAGCTCAGATCAGGGGAAATTCTCGAACCCACACCCGCCGGTGGCGATAGCCATGCACTGGGGTACCTTTGTGACAGAAGGTGTTGAGGTTCTCAAGACTCTTGGGCAGCTCGAATGGGCTTGTCAGCAGCAGGGTGTGCACTTTGCCAGGTCTTTGCCCGTGCTAGGTAAAGAGAATGCACCTGTATTCGTTGCATTGAATCACGGACAATCCCTAGAGCCTTGATAATTAGGTAGTAGGTAGTCTGGAGTTTCTCCTCTTGCGAACAGCTGCTGTATTCCGATTCCACCACACTGCAGTTTGTCAACCCCTGTCTTCCATCATAAGGAAACAAACCCATGGTCCACCTTGACAAATTCCCAAGACGTCTTTTGCGTATGTATCGAATTCGCCGCGAGAAAGCTCTGATGCCCGTTCTCGAAAGCGGGGGTAGTCAGGGTACTAAAATTGAACCCAACCGGCATAAGACATACAGGCCTCCTCGGAAGGTCCACTCTCTTGAGCAGCGCATATCCCTCCTCCTCGTCTTTCTTTTTCCTGACACAGAACTGTTCAAGCACCGCAAACTCGGTGGAGCTCGCTTGGATAGCGACCGACTCCGACGTCTTGGTAGGCACGGCGCTGTTAAGCCACCGCCCTGTTGCTGCATTGCGAAAACCAAGCCAGCCGTCCGACTCCTGGCAATGCCAGTGCCAGTTGCAGATGCCCGCAAACGTCTTGGCTTGGGCCGAGTTGAGAACAGGCGGGTTGGGAAGTAGTTCGAGGGGAGTCGCCAGACGCAGGTGCTTCCCGACGATGATGAGCGCCTTGTTCTCGCCCCCGGACTTGTGGACTATGATGTAGGTCGAGCCAGGGCCGGGAGCGCAGTCTCGGATGATGTAGGGGATGTTGTTGCTGCGATGAAACGAGGATATCGATGAGGACGTTGGTGTCCTGAGATGTATCGTGGATGAGTCTGAGGTCATGGAGACGCTGTCGTCGGGGTCGATAGCGATGTCTTTTTCGTCGGGTTGGGAAAGGTCTGGTGTGGAAGCCATGATCCCAAATGCCATGACTCACGATATCTTTTGTCTGTCTTTGGTGAAAGATTGGTGGGCGAAAGGAAAAGTTTGTTTTAGAAGGTGAAAAGAAGAAGAAAGAGGCTGGAAAAGAACTTGAACGGCTTGTGAACGACTTGAACGAACTGAAGAACTATTGATATCAGAATGACGAGAAGAGGGGTTTCGCGATTTCGTTTGTTCTGCATATGGCGAATGCACGTCGGAGGCCCGATCAGTGACTGGTGACTGGTGAGGGGGAGGTCCACGACGGCAAACCTATTATGGGTTTGCGCGTTATGGGTAAACGAAACGCGACCAATCGATGAAGACTCCTGGAGAAATCGTACATATGTACAATCATGAAAAGAGCAGTCGTCGACGACATGCGGACTCCCGAAGCTGTGTTTGGCCGAGGCCGGCTTGGCGCTCAGACGAAATGGGTGTGCTGTTAACGTGTTATCTTGAGTGCTGCAAGATCAGCAGTGGATTTGATAGGGGACCATCTCATTGCTTTTACCACGTACTGATTTGTACAACTGAAGTGAGGATCGAAACTGCATTTTCTTCAGTCAGCGGGCACCGGATCTGTATCGAGGTAGCCTCTCCTTTTCCATTATACGATTTCCGGGTAAGAACTGTGCTGGGGAAAACGTTGGTGTCGTACATACAACGTCAAGCGGCCTGGCTTTGCTGCTTTTTGACGACCCGAATAGGTAAACGGCGACCTTGTTTCAGATAAAACGACCCTCTCTGACCACCTGTAGTTGGGACAAACTATTTCTATCAAGCACGTCTGCCACGCCTATATGTAGCAGGTGCACGGGGGATGCCCTACGCAGGCCGATATGGCACCGGGTAGAGGTAGTTGCGATGGGCTCACTCCTCCTGGGCATTAGATAACCCAACACATAGGGCCTGCTGGGTTCCGTGGACTTCTCCCTCTTCCGCTCCTCAATTGGGACGACATTTATGGCCAGGCATTGCCTTTATTACAGCCCCGCGTTGTCATTCCGCGCCAGTTTGTGTAAGTCATATCAGTCCGCAGTTGTCCTCTTCGTTGCGTCGCTTTTGAGTATAGTTGAGTCTCTGCTGGGTTATTGGTCGACTTTTTAGATTTTTAGGATGTTTCGGGCATATTCCAGGTTGCCGACCTTTTTTTTGTCGTCTACCAGCTTTGGAAAACGCTGTTTCAGATCGCAAGATGCCGTTCAAGGTGTGATTAGGGATGCGCTCCCTATCCCGTTGGCGATGGCTCCAAGAACGATCGCTAAAAATGGGACTCTCGGCCAATCGGAAAACCCTCACAGCTTAGTCCTCAGTCTCATATACCCTACATGAGATTTTGCTGAAGAAACGTGGGATCGCCATCCGGAGAAACCCCGTACCTGAATGAACACGCCCACCAAGATCCCTACACTTCAACACATCCCCGAATCATCAGGCGAGAACACCAGCATCGCAGTCCCAACAATACTGAAAGAGCAGTTGAGTAGGAGAAAGCGTATTATCACTGGCCAGTATTAGGCCTTTTTCTTGTGCAGAGTGCGGGTTTGACGACTGGAACTGCGGCTAACTGGCATTATCAGATACTTGCCTCCAAGCAACCGTTGAGCCACCATATTAAGCGATCTCGGATGTACCTACCAACCATCCATCATTCTCGACCAACCTGCCGCTATCTTCCTGTGGGACCAAGATTGCGGTGGACTGCAACACGGTGTTCAGCGTCACAATGGATGCCGGATTCTGAGTTGATGCCCCGTAGCTTATGGCTCAAAGTCCATGGAATTACTCCCGGCATCTTTGTGCTTACCAGTCTACCATAGAACTTTGGATGTACCTACCTTACCAACCATTCTCATCCTCGACCAACTTGCCGCGGTCTCCCTGTGAGAAGGATGCCACAATGAAAACGAGCCGCCCATCAACGTCATCAAGAATCTCGAATTCTCAGTTGGTGTCTCTGGTGTAAGCCTGGACTCCTCTATCCTTTGAGCAGCTTGTCCTGTTGACGCCCTCAACCGTCTAACTGCTACATGGCACCACGTCCAACCAGCCGTCTCCATCGTACTCCTGAGGAAAGAGAACTGCTGGTTTCAACATCAGCAACGGCACGCGAATCGCGATGTTGGTCTTTGGCCATGCTGTTTTCAGCTGTATTTGTCATGAAGCGCCTGTTTAGACAGAAGCGTCTGTCGACATGATGAAATTCACGTCTTGCTGTTGCGACTGACAAAGACAGATATGGCTGAAGTCTGGAAATGTCTTCCCCAACATTCACAACCAACACAAATGGAAAACAACGAGCCGCTGTTGATTGAAAGAAAGTATAGCACACGGGCAAACTATCGTGGTGGAGGTGGTGCAAATGAGGCGGCTCACTGTTTCGGAAGGAGACATCACTATTGTTCATCTTCTGGAGGATACACCCAACATCTTCCTGACAAGGCGAGGTGGCCATCCAACGTAACGCATTTTCATGGTAACTAATGGGACTTAAATACGCCTTCTCTTCCAGTCCCTATCGTCTTCAAAATCCCCAGACCATCAACCCCTACACACCCCACCGACTGGCAAATACTCTGTAAGAACACTACCATTCACAATTTGCTAGTTGATTTGGCACGTACATCACTCTTTACGTTCACTCCAACAGCCTAGACTATCCGAGTCCTTGGTATTTTCAGTCAAGTCACCGCAGCCATGGCAACGAGAATCGTTACAGTGCAACCTGAAATCGGGCCCCCGGCACCAGCACGCGCCGATGATCAGCATCTGAAGTTTACCCGTTTCCACGAACACGGAGCACCCAAGAAGGCGACTCCGGGTCAGCTTTTGTGGCCGGTCGTCCTGACGATTCAGCGTGAGGACCCGACCAAACGTGTCGATTTTGAAGTTGATGTCACATGGATCGCCGTGTCAGACTCGGGGACTGCAATGCCGCAGGTGCAACCCCAGGAAGTTGAAGGTGTCGTTGTCAAAAAGATCCTGGACCATGATCTGCCGCCAACGTGCCGGCTTGGCCACGGTACAACCGCGCAGGAATACAGATTTCCTCCCGGGACGACTCTCAACGACTCTCCGATAGTGCATGTCGTCATCCAAAACCTCAAGGCGCCCAGAAACGATGTGTATCCGCGTCAGGCGGATGCGGCTCCGACGTTCAGGCTGTTCATTCGGCTTTATGATGTCGTCCAGGATCAACAAGGACGGATGGTCCGGAACGTCTTTTTCAATACATGCCTTCGCTGTTCAGACAGCACTTTCTGGGGGACGCTCGCCGTTGGCGCTGGCACCCACACTCTGCTGCAGTATCCAGGGAATGCCTTCCCCCCCCCGTTCCGCGGTCCCAACGACACCGTTGATGATTCCCAGCCGCCCAAGTTGAAGATGAGTACGTACCTTCTACCTAATAATTTCCATACTTTGGTTCATCTTTCCGCGTTTTCCATAATTAGCAGTATGCTTCTGGGAAGCAACTCATTCGTAGTTCTAATCAATACTGACCAAGCTACTTGAACAGGCCCCTGGCACGCATGGTTTCTGGTGCACTTAAAAGCGGCGGAAAAGATCGGAGACTATGAAAAGGAACTTTAGACCCGGACCTACAGGGCCTGGCAACTCTACATGTATCGCTCCCAACACCCATCCAGGCTTGCGTTCGAGGTCAAGATATCTCCGCAACAGGTTAAGCCGGTGAGAGAGTTGGTACGTGGAAAAAGGTGGCATCATGGGCATTAACTTCCTGGCAGAGTTAGGTCTAGCTAGGTCTATGGAAACGGAAGACAACGCAATCGAGCTAGATTAGAAGCGAGAATTTTGGAGAAACGGGGAGAAAGGAGAGAAGGAACCGGAAGGCAACACAAGCGCAAGGATCTCGTATTGTTTTTTTTTTTTCCTTTGGCAGGGAGGATGGATGCCATTCAAGGGGAACCCCTTTTTTTTATCTTTTTTTTTTATTGAGATCTAGCTAATCTCGAGTGCCGCTCATTTACACCGAACCGACACAAGGATTTGGAATTTCTTTCATTCAACGTCCATCTAGTAGCGTGAATGTAATTAATAGAGTGACTGTGACCAGTATGTTGGGTTCGAGACTTCCAGATCCTGTCTTCGCTGTAGAGGTAGGTACAAAGAAAGCAATATACAACGGTGGAAATTACCAAACCCAAGGAGAATCCAACAACACCTTATGTAGTAGGTAGGTATCAATACTCTTGTAGAAAAGGATACTTGTATGTCAATGCTGAACAGCTATTTGGGTAGTATACATCTTAGATGAATACTCTTGGTTTCTTGTGTCGAATTATTTCCTTTCCGGATAAATCAACGAATTTCGTTGGGGCAGTGGGCTCAGGTGAAACAGTGGTGAGCTTTGCAATAAGCTTGAGAATCTGAAAGACGACAGGAGCTTGGTTAGCGCCGTGCTTGACTTGTTGATGTGAGAAAAAGCAGCGGAAATTGCATGGATGATGGAGGTAGCTTACAAGCTCGCAGTCTTCTCTCAGGGACGCAAGACCTTCATCGTTGACAAGCTTTGCGCTGTCAAATTTAGGCACGGGTAAGAAGTTCCCCGGAGCGCGTTTTTGGCACGCATGTGGGCCATGAGTTGCCAGGGTGATGGTCGTGCTCATTCTGAGAAACATGAGACTGGAGAGAGAGACGAGTATGGATCTCAGGATATCGGATCGTACATGACCGGTCCCGGCTCCCTTCAGCCCAGCGCAAGCCTCCTTGTTGAACCCAAGGACGCAGTTGAAGAGAGATTCCAACTGAAGCCGCTGAACGTTGATCAACTGGTTATACGCGCTCCATTGTGCCGGACCAAAATCCAAGTCTATATCCCGACTAATGATTTCATCTAGCAAGCTTGTGGAGCAGACCGGAAGACTGAACTGGCGAAGCACGCTTTCTGCATCGTCGACGACTTTGGCGTGGAGATGGCCGGATCCGGTATTCGAGGCTTGCTTCGTTTCGGACGTCATTTTGGAAGATGGAAACCGCGAAGCAATGTTTGAAGACAGAGAGAACGAATAATGTACCTAGTGAAGTGTGATTTTAGGAGAAAGGTTGTGCAGCGAGGAGGACCGACAGGAGAGCTGAAGAAGAGTTGATGTCAACCACAGCAAGAGATAATTTTTATACGTCCGAGCCTTGTATCCCTCCTGGTCTATGACCTTTCCCATGAATGGCTTGCATCAGTGGCACTGCCCATCAAAGGTAGTAGGCGTCTAAAAGATGAGTGTCACCGACGTCTGCTGTCCATGGGATGGTTTCGGGTGTTGGGTTGGTGTTCAATTGCAGCGCCCCACCGTCTGCTTCCCATTATGGGTAGCTTGTGTGATATCATTGGTCAGATGCGCTAGCACATTGCATTTCCGCATGTTCGTGGTTTCGTAAGGCACAAGAGGTTGGCGAAGAAGGGAAGTGCATTCTTGACCTTTTCTCTGCATACTCTGTCTCCCATCTTCCTCTTTCCAGATCACATAATTTTCCGCTACTCTAATCCTTTTCTCCTGCGAACTGTCCTCCGAATGTGACAGATGTGCAATGCCCTGGAAGTTCTCATCGTCTAGCGGGTACCAAGGCCTCTTCGGGCTTCGGGGAAGGGGATTCGGTGAACTTGGTGATAAGATGGAGAATCTGGGTTGCGTGCTTGTCAGGATTGATGTCCGGGAGGGATGAAGGATGCCCGTTGAGCTGGAGGGTAACAGATTGACTTACCACTTCGCAATCGGCTTTGAGGTTTGTAATGCCTTCGTTCGCCACAAGCTGCGCCGCCAGTTCTTTGTTTCCCTCGTGCCGGGCATAGTTGTATGTACCAAGTGTTGCCATCGTGATTGTCGTACTTGTCCTGACGAAGATCAGGCTAGCTAATGACAGCAGTATTGATTTGAGTAATACTGCTCGGCGGCCCCAGCGTAACGAGTAGACTTCCCAGCCTTCGCAGGATTTCTCGTCGAGGCCATGGATGGTGTCAAATAGTGTTTTTAGCTGGAAACAATGTACGTTGGTCATTTGATGGTAGGTACTCCACTCCACCGGAGCAGTTTTCACTCTCGTTAGCCTGTCGGCAATCTTTTGCATTAGGTCGGCGGACACGGTTGGAGTGTTGAACTGCCGCATTATCTTCTCTGTGTCGTCGAGGATCTGAGCATGAACCTGATTGGACACAGTGTCCCCGGTTTTAGGGCCATGTTGACGAGAGACTTGAGGGGGTGCAGCTGAGGAATTGACGCAGAGGCATAAGCAACAACTGGTGGTTGGTGTTAAATGTTGTCGAGTTAAGAGGAAACGACCAAAATGTCTGTGTTGCTGAATACGGAGAATATCGTCAGATGAGTTGAAGGGAACGCAAAGAGGAAGTTTTTGAAGAAACACGAAAATTTGACAAGACGGTTATTATATTAGAGTGGAGATTCCTGTGGCGGAAAGGAGCGTAATTGAGCCTCAAAGGCTGTTTCCATTTGAAAGTCATGCCGTTCCGATTGTCGATACGTGGCCAAGCATCTGTGCTGAGGGCCCCTACCCGTCAGTTTGCTCTGTTGTTATCCTTCCGTGCCTGCCCTGGGTCTCCCTTCTATCCTGAATTGCAAACGACCACTTTTGGTTGATTGGATCATGATGGGCCTCATGCTTGAGCACCACTCCCCTAAAGTTCAATGATCTCTTTGCCGATCCATCCTCACGATTCATTCATACCATGGAACTTTCAGTTATACAAAAACATGATATTCCAAGACGCTAATACCAGCATGAACAAAACCAAACGCCTTGCCAGTTGACAACAGCTCATCCATATTTTACAATTCCCCATATGCACATTACGAACAAGTAAAATCATGAATAACTCCCCCACCGCCCTACATCCCACCCATAAGCAAGCCTAAACCCGCGCATTAATCTTCTCATCCCTCTCCACCTGCGGCTGCATCTCTCCGCTCCCATTCCCATACCTGCCCAACCCATCGGACCCCTTCTTCTCCATAGCATGACTAGGCCGTCCACTGCTTCCAACATGAGTCCTATCATCATCAGAGTGCAACGCGTTGTTGTTGTTGTGATGATGGAAGTACTCATCATCGCGCTCCATTCTCGTGATGTAACCAGGCGGCATCCACTTGCGTGAGTTCCACGGCTTGATGCCCGGCTCGCTGTACATGAGGTCGACGTTCTCGAGACTGAGGGAGACGGACTCGTAGAGGAAGAACCAAACGAGTGCAGCGCCAAGGAGGTTGGTGCCGGCGAAGACGTAGCCGTAGGAGTAGCCGATGCCATCGGTGGCCAGGGGGGTGAGGAAGGAGATCATGACTGGAGGAATTTAGAGTTAGAAAAAAGAAGAATTTGGGAAAAGGGTGAGAGGAGGGACGACTTACAGTTTCCAAGCCAGTTACCAGCCGTGGCAAGCGAAGCCTGCTTGGCGCGAGTGCGCAGAGGGAAGGTCTCGCCGATGACGACCCACGCGATGGGACCCCAAGTGCAAGCAAAGGAAGCGATGAACAGCGCAGCGGCGACTATCATGACGATGCCCGAAGTCTTGTTGTTCTCCGGTTCAAGAGCGGTGCCCATGGAAGCGAACACGGCCAACCAGACCGCTTGCCAAATGGCACCGATAAAGAGCGGCCATCTGCGTCCGAAGCGCTCGACGACCCAGAGACCGAAAACCGTACAGACGACGTTGACAGCGCCGAGAATGAGCTGCGTCTGGATGGGATCGTCGATACCGGCGGACTCGAAGATGGTGGCGCCGTAGTAGAAGAAGTAGTTGATGCCGGTCCACTGCTGCAGGAAGTGGATGCCGATACCCAGGAATGTGCGGTAGACCTGCTTGGGAACACCGTTCTTCTTCGGGATGAAACATTCCTTCCAGGTGCCCACGGCCGCAGTCCGTTCCTTCTCCAAATTCTCGCGCATCTCATTCATGTCATCCTCCACCAGCTCATTGTGTGGATCATGCTTCATGCCTCTCAACCTGGCCATCGACATGCGCGCTCCCTCCCAGTTATCCCTACCCGCCAACCATCTCGGGCTTTCGGGGACCAACAAGACACCCAGACCAAGCGGGATAGAGAAGAAAATACCCAAGCCGATGACAATACGCCAGGAAGCATCCTGCTCCTGGATCTCTCGCACGCCGTAGTTGACGATGTTGGCGATCAGAATGCCCATAGTAATGAGCAACTGATATGAAGCGACGACGGCGCCGCGAATCTCGCGCGGGGAGCACTCGGACTGGAACATGGGCACGCCGACGGAGAGGTTGCCGACGCCGAGACCGGCAGCGAAGCGGCCCATCATCATGTGCACCCATGAGTTCATGGCGGTGATTTGGATGATGTTGCCGATGATGAATAGGCCCACGCCAAAGGTTAGTGATTTGCGGCGGCCCCACCAGTCAGCAGTGCTGTGAGTGGGTGGTCAGAACGGTTCACTGATTGAGTGTTTGCTTTGGCGATGAGGAAACTCACTATGATGCAGTCAAAGCTCCGATAAGTGTGCCGATACTCATAAGTGATACTACCAGTGACTGGATGATAGACGTGAAGTTCTTGATTCCATCGTCGCCCATGGTCTGACCGAACCTGTTCCTGAAATCGGTGAACAGGAGCATGCCCGAGATCTGGCCGGTGTCATAACCGAATAGGAAGCCTCCTATCGCGGTGACGGCACCGAGAAGGATGGCTTCAACACCGATGTCGGCGCCATTGACCTTGATTGACCTAGTAATTGATGAGTGTCAGTCAGTAATTGTTCAGTGAAATCTCCCGGTCAACTGTATGTGAGCTTACTTCTTCCCCAGAACCATGATGGGCTCTTCCTGATGAGGATGATGGGGTTATACACTGCCTGGTAGTATAATACTCTTTAATGGATCGATCACCTCGGTGGTAGCCAAGGTTAAAGTGTAAGCCAAACAATTCACACATAAGAGAGAAAATGTGAAAGTTGAATGGCGTGAAAACAGTGAGAAAGGGGTCTCCATCGTGCGGGTTCCTGATCGACTATATGAAGAACTTTCTTTCGCGGGGGAATCGACTCCTGGAGAACCTGCCATCGATCATCGTCATATCCACATTGCCCAGCTGCCCAGTCGGTCCTTTCTTCTAGCTTACTGTTTCTCTTCAGAAACATCGCACTTGTGAGGTTGATCAATCCATATGATGTCACAGTCGGTCCTATAGGCCCTGGTCATAACAAAGCCGCAACTAGGGTCCCTTTCCTCTTTGGGCATGGTTCTTACCACTGTGTGGTATGCCGTTGACCGGCTTGGCTGTCGTTGGTTGAAATTTTTTCCTTAGGTAAGGGGATAAGGAAACAAGAGATTGGCGTCCCGTCCCATAAAGCGCAGCATACAGTACATACGCCGCGCAGTCTGCAAGAAGAATACTGTAACACCCCATGGGGAATTTCCTTTGTGGAAAAGATGGAGAGGTGGAAATACCCCAGAAAAAAAAAAAACATGGAACGGCTCGTGGCTCTGTCGTTTCTTCATTCCATGCGGCGCGGCGTCTGGGGCGTCCAATCATGCCTGCTAAGGCTGCTGGTTGTGACGTAACATGGCGCTGTCTTGGGTTTGGAGAATCCGGGGAGCTGTTTTTTCCGCCTCTCGGCGTCTGTCATTGTAGGCTGGTTGGCTGTCCAGACAATCAATTCAACTCGATATTGGAAGTCTGTATGTAAAGAAGGGTCAGTGAATGGAAGAAGGCGAAGAGAATATGCATTGAAGCCAGTACATCTTTTGGTCATGCGACCCTTTTCCGCAATCATCGGCGATGGTTGGGTGGTAAGCGGTGACGATGATGATGATGTTGGCGTCAAATTGACGAGTCCCTGCATGAGCTGTCAGGCTGTCCAAGTTGCAAAGGGTCCAGGCTGTTCCCGCTTTGGGTTGGACGAGATTTTGACTGCTTTCAAAATATGGGCGTCTGGTTGTCAAGTGCGTTCAACGTACTGATCGCATCTCAGGGTGATGAAGAAGGAAGGTTGGCACCTCGGGAGCGAGCGATGATCGGGAAAATGATTGATCGGACGGATGCTTGTTTGGTTGAAGAGGAAAAGGCTCGCCAGACAAGTTAGAATAACCAAGTCTTTCAAAGGAAAATAGAGGTTGGATGCACATTCCAAACATTACAAAGTGCAATTGGCGACAAAACGAGAATAAACGGAAGGAAGTGATGCATCGTCGCTGCCAGCGATGTCGGCAGTCGGGTTGTTCAAGCGCACCCACGGACCATGACCCCACTATTTGGATGACAGTTATAATCCCTAAAGCAGTACCAATATTCCAACAAATGGCAGCTTACGCTGCCCGGCTAGCTCAATCGGTAGAGCGTGAGACTCTTAATCTCAAGGTTGTGGGTTCGACCCCCACGTCGGGCTCAATTCCCGCGTTTCCAAACGTCCTCTCTTTTTCGTTTCCAAACGTCCTCTCTTTTTACGATTTTGCACTTCATCGCTTTTTGAAGTCCATGCCCTTTTTGCGGGTTCTTTTCCTTTTCACCTCTTAATTTTGTTTGTCATCCGGCGATCGCAGTCGAAATCAAAATGTCAACACACTTCGGCACGAGTGCGGCGTATAAACCCATTCCTCCGTAGAGTCATCGGCGAGAAAGTCCGAGCCGAATGCCTTGCTAACCTAACCACTCGGACTCTCCTTCGAGATGTCAGAAAAAGCATCAGGAAACCCACCACAGACTATGCCGAGAAACATGAAGAATAAACTTGCTAACACAATCCATCACCGGCTCACTTCCGCCACCTGAATGAAGTTCTGCTCTTGCTGGAAAAAATGGCCCATCACTATCATCATCCCCAACAATGCTCTATACTCATGAACGTTCTCTTCACACTCCTCTTCGCATCCCTATCCTCCTCCCTTACCCCCAACGACAACCAAAACCATGCCACCCTCCTCCCCTTACCAAACCACATAATAACCCAATTCCCCAACCCCACCTGGCTAGAAAACATCGCTGTGCGATCAAATGGGGACCTTCTCACGGAATCTGCTCCCACAGCCAGCTTGCACCTCGTTTCCAACCTGGACCTAAATCACCATTCCTATTCTTCCAAGAGCAACGGCAGCGGTTCAACAACCAAAAGGAAAACCACCCATACCACCGCCAGCAACAGCAACAGCGACGCACACGAAACAACCCCGAAAATCAAGTCCATAACCCAGCTCACCCAAGCCCTCCTCCCCAACGGCGTAACCTCCCTACCTCCACCCGGTAACCCCAACACCGTCCTAATAGCCGATTCCTTCGCCGGCCTAGTCTGGTGTCTCGACATCCCATACGGGTGACTATGAAGTAGCCGTCAAGGTACCAGAGATGAGTGATATCCCCGCCAATACTTCCTCCGGCCTCTCCGGCTCCGGGGTGGTAGTAGGTGTAAATGGAATCAAGGTGTACCAAGGATATTTGTACCAGACGAATAGCGCTGCTGCGTGCCAGGATTGATCGGAACGGGTATCATGCGGAGAACGGTACTGCGGCTGTTGAGTTGGTAACATTTTGCTATTGATTCGGACGGGGTGGTGTGGGTGGCGACGAATTCGGGAATAAGTTTTTCGCTGTTGACATCAAGGGGAAAAGGTGACGTTGGTCCGCGGTGGAGAGACGGAGTTGACGTTTGCTGGGGACACGGCTGCTGCTTTTGGGAGAGGCGCGAGTGATCGGGGGATGCTATATGGGATTACGTGCGGTGGAGTGCGGACGCCGATTAATGAAACGGTTTCCGAGGAGAGGAACGTGGTTGCTGTTCATACTAGTGGTTTTCGGATGTAATTTGATGTGACACTGGATATAGTATGCGAAAAGAAGTATGTATATATGTAAATGAGAAGAGAGAAAATTACGCAGATCTAAGCGAAAGCCACTTTGATGACCTCGATATGGTTGTTGTTCGTAAAAGACACAACCAGTGTCTGGCCAGTGGGATCCAGGTACGGGTGCTGAACTCCAGCATAGACCAAGCCGCCTTTGATGGGTTCGCTCTTGTATACCTGGACATCCGGGGTCCATGGACCTTCGAGAGAGGTGGCCGTTCGCAAGTATACCTTGCCATCACCTGGATCAAATCTCGACGTTAGATATGGACACGGCATGGCCAACGTCCGGAGATGGGGAAAACTCACCAAAAGAAGACAAATGAGCCAGCACATAACACTGATAATACTCATTCCAAGCCACCTGTCCCTGACCAACCGCCCACCACACCGCCGTCTCCGCATCAAACTTGGTGAGAACCTCTGACTTCCATCCCTGCTGCCGACCCCAGAAGTACTCGTACTTGTCCAGATCGAAAGCGTCTTCTGCCTTGACCCTGGCAAGGTAGGCGTAGCCGGCGCCCGGCCATCCAGAAACGGAGTTCGGCGGGCCGCCCCAGATGTAAATGTGCTCCGAGCGTTCGTCGCGGTAGGCGCACTGGTCGCCGTATTTGGCGGTGGTGTTGGAATCCCACCAGAACCCTCTGTCGCCAAAGCGTTTTGTGACAGTGGGAGTGTCGTTGATAACCTCGACCTTGGCGACGCCGGCACCTACGAGGCCGCCGGTTTCGTTGCCGTTCTGTTGCGCTGTTAGTTAATGATGTTTTGTCTGAGATAAGCTTGCGGAGCCGAGGGTTACATACCACAAGGTAGTAAAGCGCAGCCGTAGCGTTCTCGGCATCCGTCTCGCAAAGACTCGTGCCGCCGAACCCGTACTGGTTCGTCTCGTCCCATTCCTCGTTGAACGGGATCAACTGATTCTGATGCGGAACGGGAGAGTCGTCGTTCAGGTTGAGATCGACCACCGTCAAGGGGTCATCAGTCAACAGGGAGACCGAGTCCCGAACCATGCCATGAAATCCGGGAGTGTCCTCCAGGAAGTTGGAAATCCCTGGGGCGCACCACATGGTGTCGCCAAAAACGGCATACCATTTCCCAGCAATCTCTCCGGTGAAGCCTAGATCGCGGTAACTGGCGCTGTTGTTGGCGACCTGGAAACCGAGTCTTTCGACGTTGCAGACATTGAGAGGAGACTCGCCCTCTGGTTGCGTGTTATCGATGTCGGGATGGTACGGCGGATGCTGATGGTGCCAGCTCGGGCTGCCGGGACCGGGGGGAGCTACCATACATTGTGCCGGGCGTGTTAGCAGCAAGATCAATGTAGCGACAAAGACCAGCGAAGTGTAGTGGTGGTGGAAAACATAAACAAGCATCTGATTTTCGTATCATTGGTCTCGTCGAAAGACGAAGTAGAAAATAACATGTAACATGGGTAAAAGCATCCATTCTTAAATCGTCGCCTGGTTTGGGTAGAAGGCGGATTTGGCCACTGATATGGTCATTGTCAAGCCATCCCATCCATGAGGGCGGGTTCATCGGAATCCAACTCGAACCACGACCAACAAAGAAAACTTGGCGGCTATTAACGAGTCAAGTATGTCCAACCATCTCGGCCAGACAGCGGTTTCGGTTGACAACGAAGGCATGCATGGCTTGCCGCCGAAGCTAAGTAACGAATGAAGCAACGAGGATGTATGTTGTTGGCCGGATAGGAAGTTACAGGAAAGACGTGTAAGTGTAAGTAGGGGTTGGCACTGAATGGGTGGCAATGGACCCTGAAGCAGCAGCTCAGGAACATGAAACGGAACGAACACGTCTGAAACGAAACCGAAGGTGCCGAAGAGGGTAAAGAAGAAACATGAGGAAGGGGATGGAGAGATGAGAATCAATGTTTTGAAATCGTTCGGTTCAGAAAGTAAGAATTGTAACATGTACCTTCACCACTTTGCATCTCACCTCCTTCATGCTCTTCTGATGGAGGAGGATGAGGATGTTCAGGAGCGGTCTCAAGGGACCTGCTGTTGTCATCCCCATCTCCCTGAAGAACCTTTTGCGATTCGTCCCTGATTTTTTGAAAGAAGCTTTTCATTGTGACTTGCAAATGAAAAAGATGATATAATGTGATAGATAAGTCAAGAGAAATCAATCAGGCGTCGAGAAAGACCAGCAGCAAACGTCAATAAAAAAAGGAATCGGTGTTTGTTGGTAAAAAGTAAAGGTAACACGACGGTCTTCCACTTGCAAGTCTTGCCATGGCTTTATAAACCCACCCGACGTTCGTTTGATCAACTCTGATCGTCGTTAGGTCCGTGGTGCGTGGGCGGGAGGGGAAGTCAAACTCGGCGATATGCATCCCAAAACTTCAGATTGTCAAGGCAGACGGAGCTGAAGTCTTGGGACGTCTTGGAAGCGATCCTCAATTCCTCAAACAAGATGTCACGGGCGGAGAAAACCCCGCCAATTCTCCACGGTCGGTCGGGTACGCGGCTGCAGACGGCACCCGACTGCACGCACGGAATATGCCGAGGCATGTGCAAGGTGGAAGCCACGGGCAGCGGTTTTGCGGGGAGAGATAAGATAAGAGTAGGTACGTACCATTTTAAACCAAAGCTCCACATTTGACGAACCGCCAAACGCTTATCGGCTTCCTTTATCAGAAACAACTAAGCGCCCCTCTGCGGGCTCGAAGAAAGGGACCATCGAAGACAACAAGTCAACACTGCGACGTCCCCCTCACCGTATTACAAATCATCTTTGAAGACAGTTTGGATATAACTTTGGAGGAATCTGAACCTTGATGACCACCGGTTGAGCGAATAAAACACAAACCGCAACGATGGAATACAAACCACAACCCTCCACCACCCATGTCCACGTCCAACCGCGGCTCATCATCCACGGCGGCGCCGGCAACATCACCCCTGCCAGCCTAGGGCCAGAACTATACGCAGCCTACCGCTCCTCCCTCCTAACCATCGTCTCCAAAGCGCACACCTATCTGACGACGCCTCAATCCAACTCTGCGTCCAAGTCCTCAAAACTCCCATCATCCCTCGAAGCCGCCACCTACGCCGTCACTCTCCTCGAAAACAACGCGCTCTTCAACTCCGGCCACGGCGCCGTCTTCACCCGCGATGGCATCAACGAGCTCGAAGCTTCCGTGATGGTCAGTCGCGGGCAGGCCAAGCGGGGCGTGGGCGTGACGGGGTTGCGCCACGTTCGGAACCCGATTCTTTTGGCGAGAAAAGTTTTGGAGCATGGGAGGGATGATCTGCTTGGTCTTGGCAAAAATCTGGATAACGATGGGGAACCCGATGTCCCCTCGGCGCAAGGCCATACGCTGATACACGGCCCGACGGCGGAAAAGTTGGCGAAGCAGTATGGCTTGGAAATGGTGAAGCCGAGCTACTTCTTTACGCAGAAGCGGTGGGATGAACATGTTCGGGCGTTGGAGAGAGAGAAGGAGCAAAAACAAGAAGGCCTTGATAATGCTGGTGTTTCGGCCACTTGGAGCATGGACGAGTATCTCCCGCAGGGTACGGTCGGTGCAGTCGCACTGGATGAGGAAGGCGTGATTTGCGTGGCGACGAGCACGGGCGGCATGACCAATAAGTTGACGGGCAGGATTGGTGATACACCTGTTGTCGGCGCTGGGTTCTGGGCTGAGGAGTGGACGGAGGCGGGCGATCCGACTTCTCCCCACAAGAATGGGTCACGAAATCCATTGTATAGTCCGGGACCGACGGTGGTTCTGTCGGATGCGCTGAAGGGCCTGATTGCAGATTGTCTGCCTTCGCCGTTTTTGTATACCCCTGCCCATCCAGGCTCGTCTGGCCAGTTGACCACTACCCGGTCTATTGGCGTTTCTGGAACAGGCAATGGTGATTCGTATCTTCGCATTGCTGCTGCGAGAACTGTCGGCGCCATTGCCCGATATTCTACCCTTCCTTCAGCCGTGGCCCTGACCAAAGTTGCTGGGCCGTCTGGAGAGCTTCAGAAGAGCGCCGAGGGTCGATGGGGTAAGACTGGCGAAGGCGAAGGTGGCATTATCGGACTGGAATCGGTGGTCGTTCGGGACGCAAATGGTAATGTCGTCGAGACTCGGTCTGAGATCCTTCAGGACTATAACTGCGGTGGCATGTTTCGGGCTTGGATAGATGAGGAAGGCGTCGCATATGCTCGTATCTTTCGCAAGGATCAGGATATCCCAAGTTCGTATATCGGCGAAGATAAACCTGAAGATCCGCGGGTATGGAGTGGAGAAAAGATCTGGAGAGACTGGTTAGATGGTTCCCCTTTGCCTTGAGACACATTAGCCGGTAACACGTTAGCAAAGCGAATGTTCTGTCTTCCAAAAAAGAGAAAATATTATTCGGATGGCTGTTCTTCCGCGCTGAGGCAAAGCATCCACGCTGGCCCCCTTATTTGGCAAGCGTAACCAACAAACCCGTTTCTATGTTACATGGAACGCCGCGACCCAAAATGCTGACTGTCATGAAATGCGTAGACAAATACACAGCCTAGCCCAAACCGAGACGGGCCAGGTGGGAGAAAGGAGTTGAGAGAGATGATAGTCGACAATCTTTGTGCATCCTAAATCGAAACTTTTTAAATGACCGCTGTATTGTATTTAAGCAAGGACTTTTTCGTTGGACGGGGGTGGCGCAGGAGCCTAGTAGTGAAAGAGAGTGCGAGTTAGCGACCACTTGTTTTCGTCTCAACAACCCTCCCAAGCATACCTCTAGCTTCGTGGCGCCCGCAAGCATCTTCTGGAAACCAATACCGACACCCTCAATAACAGCCAGGAGAACAGCGCAGCCGATAGCACCGTTACGGGCCGCCTTGTAACCACCACGAATCGCCAACGCGCCACCAGTGAAGAAACCGGCGATGATGGAGTTCCACGGGTCCTCCTTGTGGTTCCTTAGCCCCTTGATACCGCAGTCGAATGTGCTGAAAAGACCACCCCAGACACCTAATCATTGTCAGTTAGTATCGGTACCGTGGCAAGTGCCGGATGATCTGAGTGTGTAAGGCGAGGTTGTTGACTAACCGAAGTTACCGCCGAGCGCAGGGGCGCGCATCTTGATGGCAGTGATGGCGCCGATTCTCCTCTCGCCGTAAGGGCTGTTACGGAAGCCCTTGATACCGTGCCAGATCGTACCACCGATAGCCTATATGGTTGGCGAACATTGTGTGTCAGTAACTGACTCCATACAACAGCAAGCAGTCAACAAGGTTGAGAGGCGACGGCGACAACAACGAGGGGTTTAGGCCAACCACACTCGACAGTGTGTCATCGTGTTTGTTGGTAGCCCACATGGTGGAAAAACAGAGCGCAAAATAGAGGAAGAACATACACCCATGGCGAAGGCACCACCGAAATCGTTGAGGATAACCCACGGGCAAGGGTCGCGAGTGTGATCCATCTTGGCGGATGGTTTATGGGGGTTATGGGGATCGCGAGTTAAGCGGGGATCGAGTGGTCTCTCGGAGAGGTGTAAATATGTCGCAGTCGAGTTCTAATTCGGAGTGCGACAATGAGCTGAAGGAGGTCGTCGAGGGGAGCAAGGCGACGGTCGGTGGTGGTGGTGGTGGTGGAGGACGGGTGGTGGGAGTCGGCGGGGAGCAAAGCGGATGCGGATGGATGGATTTGTGGTTAAGGATACGGGCGCGGAGTTCGGAGCAGACGTTTGGTGATGATCTCAGAAGCCAAAGAAAATTATGACCGCCTTGCAGGGGTCGGTTCCGGGCAGGCCCACCGAACGTGCTGTGCCAAGACCCGGCTTTCTTGGCCCGAGCGTCTGTTGTTTCAGTGTCACTTCGGGCGGGCGGTACCTTGGCGATACATCGAAACTCTCTCCGCTACACTTTGCACCAGTACGTTGTGATATTGACGAGTCAAACCGGCAATGGCCTGTGATGGCCTCATTGGTCGCCGACTATGGGGTCATGTTCCCGATATGACTTGCATCAAGTACGAGTTGCGGAGTGCTAGCGACCCTTCTCGAAGACATTCTGCGGTGTCCTCCTAACATCATCCTGTCTCATACTTTGGTACCTTCGGGTACCTTCCATCCACTGTCTCATTTCACTTTCACTTCTCTTCGCCCTGCTTTCTTCAGCCGATTCCGAACCATGAAGTGACGACAAACATCACGGCGATCACTTGCCTATATTTTACCTCAGCCGCTCTTGGTGTTTCGACCTCGAACGCTCTCAAGGGCTCTCTAGACCCAAAGAAACAAGATGCCTCGTCGGCAAAGAGCCTCTGCGGCCAACAGAAAACAGGTACAGCGTGACAGCAGCATTGCACGACATATGCGATCTCGACGCGTCTCATCACCATCCGATGTCGCTTCATCCCATACAACATCGCGAGATAACTGAGCCATTTTTTCGACCAATACTCAAAACCTGGATACTGGGCTGTAGCGTGATTCGAACTCGAATTGGAAAGGTCCCTTGGTCCCCCTTTTGTTGTGCTTGTGATACCCAACCTCAAAACAACCTACATCGGACAGGCTCAACTTTGCTGTTCCACGACATAGCAAAGACCAAAGGACTGGGCTGGATCCCGCGGTTGTCATGCAAAATATTCGTACAAAGCCGTCGCCCTCTGCAACTGATGGTATTGAAGCTCGCCCAGACACACAAACTGTGGCGTCAGATCCTATGACCCAAGCCAGGATGTACGTCCATTGTCCCCATGGGGGTAGAGCGGAGTATTATAAGAGAAGCCATTGCCAATCCATGCCAACCCGTTCCTTTTGATGGTTCATTGTTTCACCTACTCGTGTGACTCAGCTGAGCTTTTGACAATAACGAGGCTGTAAGGTCTAGTTGGCTGTTGGCTATCCGAACGAAAAGCGGTGAGATGCTTCCGTCCTTCTTCTTTCGACCCATCCGATCTGGTTTATGGGAGGGATGCGACTATCCTATCCTACCGCTGGACTTATATATCCCTTAAATATGCGATGGTGTCGTTACCCCTTGATCTCGCGTCATCGTTTGGCATACCATGAGCACTTTCCGCCCAAGTGATTAGAGACAGACACAAGCAAACATGCCAGATATTTGCTATTGCGACATGGGCGAGCATCCAGAAGCGAAGCAGCCCAATGGAAGCAGTGGTATTCTGCATATACCATGCTCGCCCAATTCCTCCACTTCTTCCTTGACAGCAACTACTCAAGAGGAGCCATCTCGGATCCCCATTATTCCCAGAAACTTTGTTTGGAGACTCCAAGGCGGACGACGTGCCAGCACATCCACCAACTCGACGGAGCCCGATCAAGAAGACGCCATGGCTGCAGTGGATGTAGTCGCGATGGATGGGCCCATCAATGGTGTCCTTCGTGACTCGTTCGACCCCTGGAATCGACACAACCATCGACGGCAAAAGGGAGGCGGAAAGTGGAGTGCCACCGGCCAAGACGCTGACGATGATGAAGTCTGCAAAGGCTGCATCAAAATATCGAGGGCGAGGGCATCAACAGCACTTCGTGACAGGAAGAGGGCAGGTTCACAAGGTGAGTTGGTCCTGTTTACTTACATATATCTTTTGTCAATGTTGACCGGCATACCCCATGAAATATTTACTGCCCCCATCATCCCGTCCCTTACCTATTTGCAGATATATGAACCCCGATCCAAACAAAGCCCCCCTGAACCCCCACGCCCTACCGATGAGGCTCTATATATGCTACCCTTTCCCAGCACCAGTCAAACATGCTGATGGGTTGTCATCCGTTGCATCGAACATTCCCTGGCGCGGGATACCCTTTTTGCTCTTTGTCATCGGAACCTCTTGTCACCCAATGCCACGTTCCCGTTTGCATTAGGGCTGAAGTCGGCTTCTTCCATCCAAGTGGAGTTTTGGACCATGATGCAAATCCAATCACGCCTGTTGACATGGCAACCATAAGGGAGGAGTACTCCCAAGGCAATGGTTTCCCTTTGGCCGTGGGCGGATGAAATGTTTGCTTTTTGTGTGCCGACTGTGATATAGGGTTCTTTGTCTTGTGTTGGTTGAAGCTCCAAGTGGATGGAATGGATGCAGATGTTGGAGGACAGTCAGTCTTTGAGCATCAAGCCGAAGAAGGAAGCATCAAGCCGACTGGCGGATCCTGCTGCTGGACGTGGGGCATGCTGGCTCCAGTGGCTGCCACAGGGCTCAGGGGTCCTACACGCCCCTGAAAGAGGAGCCTAGACCCCAGATGGTGGGGCCGAAGGGCGGACCTTCCGTCAATGTCACAATGGCCTCCAGAATGTCGTCAGCCAAAAAGACCCCATTCATTCCACGTCGGCATCGGTCTCCAATTCCCGACTTTCCTGCATGCATGAATGACATTTCATAGAACGGACATTGGCATTTTTATTATTCCTACCGTACTTGGATATAATTCCTCTCTTTCAAACCATCCCTCTTTGCTAACCTCCTCCCTCGGCCATTGCTCGTCCAGAATCATCCTCGACCTTACCGACTGCGGCGCGTCCGAATCCGAATCCCGCCAATCCCACAAAGCAAACCCCCACCACGGTCACAGTCACGGTCACAATGCCCGGAACACTACAACATTCCGATCTTGACGATGGCGGCCCCAAGGCTGTCCCCGATCAGTTGCAGGAATTGAAGCACGACGGCTCAGTCCTCTCCATCGCGGTGTCCGGCGACTACATCTTCACCGGCACCAGCAAGGGTCAGATCGTTGTCTGGTCCCTCAGCACCTACCAGCTCGTCCAGACCATCCAAGCCCACAAGCGAAGCGTCCTCTGCCTCTTCCTCTCTCAAGACGGCAAATACCTCTTCTCAACCGCCTGCGAGCCAATAATCAACGTGTGGTGCCCCAAGACATTCACGCGACTCTACGAGATCTACAGTACCTACGACGTCGGCGATGTCTTCAGCGTCGTCTACTCCCCCCAACACGAGACGGTATACTTTGGCACACAGACACAGTACATACAATGGGTCGGCTTGAAGGACGAGGACAGAAAGGTCTCACACGACTCAGCCAACCACCCGGACAGGCGACAGCACAAGTTTTTTGATTCCCGCGCTGTTGGCGGCACATCCACCCCTCGACGCACTGAGGATTACTACTCCCTAATACCCAGGGCCGAGACCGTGCTCGAAGTCGATCCATATGCCATTGAGAAATACGCACACTACGGCTGGGTCTTTTGCATGCAGATTGCAAAGGGCCCAACCGTTCTGGTGGATGATGATGAGGAAGTTCTTGTCTCCGGTGGCGGTGACGGCACCATCAAGCTATGGAGACTCAGCGACAAGGGTCCCGGATACCATGAAGACGAGGATACCAAGGGCAGCATTCAGGAGCTGATGGTGCTTGGCGAGGATGATGCCGAGTCCGTCATGTCTTTGTTTGTCGATGGGTCCTTCCTTTATGCCGGCAAGCTACGCGGTATCATTGAGCTATGGGACTTGGACACCAAGCAGAGGTTGAGAGTTATCCATGCTCATACTGGTAACATCAATGCCGTTGGATTGAGGTTCGGTCTCCTTTGGAGTGCCTCTACTGACGGATTTGCTGCTGTAAGCATTCTTGTCATTCCTGATATTCTTCCTCTTACACCAACCAGATTCTGACATCTCGCAGAAACACAGCGCAGCCCACACTGCCGACGAGTCCAACGGCACTTCCCAAGACGTCAGCCAGCGATATCAGTGCCTCAGCCGATGGAAGGCACACGATGCCAAGATTCTCTCAGCAGCTGCCGCCACATACCAGAACCACCAACTGTTCATCACCGGAGCCAATGATAACACGGTCCGGATATGGCATGTTAACAGCGCGCCTGCGGAAACCGAAGAAACGGAAGGTGAGCACGAGGATATGATGATCCGCTCCCTTCGCCAATTCGTCTCGTACAAGACCGTTTCGTCACGACCAGAGTTCACGGAGGATTGCCGTAAAGGCGCCACTTTTCTTGGATCCTTGTTCAAGCGACTGGGAGCTCAAGTAGAAATGCTCAGCTCCGACGGCCCCCATAACCCAGTTGTCTTTGCAAAGTTCAGCGGCAAGCTCGAACCTGCCGAGAAGCGGAAGAGGGTTCTGTTTTACGGCCACTACGATGTGGTCCCTGCAGATATGGCCGGCGAGAACTGGAAGACCGATCCATTCAAGCTTGTTGGACAGAATGGCTATCTATACGGCCGTGGCGTCAGTGACAACAAAGGCCCCATTATCGCCGCTCTTTACGCCGTCTCCGACCTGTTGCAAGCCAAGGCTCTGGATTCCGACATCATCTTCCTGATTGAAGGCGAAGAAGAGTCCGGATCCCGAGGGTTCGAAGAGACCATCCACAAGCATAAGGATCTCATCGGCCACATCGATTACGTCCTCCTAGCCAACAGTTACTGGCTTGACGACGAGGTACCCTGCCTAACCTATGGTCTCCGCGGTGTCCTGCACGCCACCGTTTGCGTCGACTCTAAGCACCCCGATCTGCACTCCGGCGTAGACGGAAGCAACATGATCTCCGAGCCCCTGACCGACCTGACCCTCTTGCTCGGCAAGCTCAAGGGCCCCAAGAACAAGGTCAACATCCCCGGCTTCTACGACGGGATCCTGCCCATAACCGAGGAGGAAGAGCTGCGCTACGACGACATCGCCAGCATCCTCATCAAGCGCAACGCCACCGCGGGACCTGTCGACGCGCTCAAGCGGAGCCTGATGGCTCGCTGGCGCGAACCCAACCTGACCATCCACCGATATAACGTATCCGGTCCCGATGGCAGTTTGATCAGCAGCCATGCTACCGCCAACGTCAGTATTCGTCTGGTGCCAGGGCAGGAGGTAGAGGAAGTCATCTCCAAGCTCAAATCCTTCCTTAAGGCTGAGTACGAGCAGTTCGATAGCGAAAACACCCTCACCGTGCGGATTGACAACAAGGCTGAGCCGTGGTTGGGTGTTCCGGGTAATTACATCTTCCGTACACTCGAGGAAGCCGTGATGAGGGCGTGGGGTTCCTCCTCGACCTCAACCCCACCATCCTCCTCTTCCCCTTCAGACACCGAGTCGTCGTCCTCAGACAATGAAAAGGCCAACGGCGTAACACTCCCACCAAACGCCACAAATGGCGAAACCACCCCCACAGGCGCCGCCGCCCCCAAGACCAGAAAGCCGCTGTATATCCGCGAAGGAGGATCCATCCCGCCCATCAGGTTCCTGGAGAAGGAGTTCAATGCTCCTGCTGCGCATTTACCTTGTGGACAGGCGAGCGACTCGGCGCATTTGCATAATGAGCGGTTGAGGCTGGTGAACCTGCAGAAGAGCAGAGAGATTTTTACGACGGTTTTTAGGAAGTTGTAGTTCGGGTATGCTGTTATAGATAGGATGGTGCGGATGCATGGGATAAACTACGAGATATAAAGGGATAGGATTGGCGTGACGGGAAAGGATGGAGCTTATAGAGAATATGGTTTTATTGTTCGGATTCTTTCTAAGGGGTCTTGCATGGTTATTCAACCGTTGTTGACAAAGGGTGTCGTGTGAAAGTCGTTCTTGTTCGCTTTGGTAAATTCAGCGATTACTGTCATGGCGATAGAGCTTTCTCTTTGGTAGACGAGTAATTGTATTATCAGACCAACCATCAACTGCCTGTGTTACCGTATAAGAAGTCGAACCACGCTTGTCGTTTCCGTTCCCAAACATCTCACCCGCACTTAATAGTCCCTGAAGCGTTGCCCTGGGGAGGGTGACATTCATCCCGAAGAGGTTAGAAAGGTTGGATTAGGCCTCGGACTCAGCCACCGATTTAACCGTTCGGATCCGGACGTCGTTGGTTTAAGGTTCTAGAGCCATGGCTCGCGTATCTTGGAGCTTTGTAGGCAGCAACATAGGGTTTAATAACTGTTGCGCTTCAATAATACGAAGCCGAGCCCCCCGTTATCTCCTGCCGTTGCTTGAGGTCTTGAGGGGTTTGACTCCTCAGTACCCTCGCTCGCCGTGCACATGATCTTGCACATCTTCTGTCGTTTCTATCTCATCTAGCCCAGACGAGTGGGATTTCTCTCGAGACTACGCCAAACACTCGCTCTGCAAACATTGACCAAAGCGCCGTGCCATATACTATCAAGCGCTAACACAACTTGTCGCTCCGAGCCTTCATTCGATCGGCAAAACGCACTGAACTGCCCACGACGAGACATTCACTTCCTGTCATCATCAACCACCACCGCCGATTTTCGCTCGTTCTTTACCCGTGTCAGATCAGGACAAAGGACACCATCAACAACTTCGACCCAAATGATCAACACCGACCGTACATACCACCCACCATCACGATGTCCATTTTCCTCTCATCTCAGGCATCTTTGCCAACAACAGCAGCAGCTTTGCCCGCGGCATCATCAACATGGACCTCTCTCATCCGCTCCGAGCCCTCCCTCGAGTTCAACCCATCATCCTTTCCTGACACCTACCTCTCCGAATACTTCCTCCCAGCAACCGATACCCTTTTCCCCGCCACCCCCGTTCTCAGCCTCACCACCTCTTCCACTACAACACCAACACAAACCTGCGACGCCGCATGCCAAGAAGAACAACGCCGCCAAGATGAAGAAGACTACAACGAGAAACTCGACGACTATAACCGCAGAACCGGCACGGCATACGCGCTGGTCATCGCTTTACCTATTGGTATTGTGTTTTTGTTGGTCTTTTGTTGTGTGTGGATGTGTTGCTGCCGGAGTCGGAGTAGGAAGAGGAGGCTGGGGGAGGAGACTCAGGAGGGGAGGGTGAGGGGGGAGATTCTTGGGGGGGAGGGACAAGGAGCTGGACGGGGGGAGGGTTGATGGGAGAAGGGGTGAACTCGAAGGAGGGAGGAAGAACGACTAAAGAGGATGGAGTTAGTGTTGGTAGTGTTGGTGGGGAGACTTTGGTTGAGGGACATGGAGCTGCTGGGAAACCACAAAAAGGGAATGCGAACGGTGAGTTGGGGAATAGAGGGACTGGTGCTGGGATTTGAGCGTGGGTACTTGGGTAAAAGGGGAAGTTTCGTGGTTCAAAATGGGGGTATGAAAACGACGTGATGTTTTATGTTTAATGTCTAATGGTTATGCAAGAAGTTGCAAGGCGCAGCAAGCAAGGGTTGAATTGACAGGAGGGTGGATGTTAATGATGACAAGAGATTGCGGGTTTTCTCTCATATGGCAGTTCACCAGTTTATTCCAGTCCGCTCTGACACCTTTGTTGGTATTCAAGTTACAGCCCAATGGTTGTGTGTCATCCTCTTGCATTGGATGTAGCGTGAAGCTGAACTCGTTTTGTGACTCCCATATAGGCTTATGTGCTGCACTCGCGATAGGCGCGCATTTGACCCTGGGGGGTTGCACTGGTCTTTGAGCGCGGAGCGAAATTGTCGTGATGTTTGTATGCATTTTGACGACGTAAAGATGTTCTAGAAATTGGACACTTGGTCTTGAAGTTGATGGCCACGGGCAGACAACCGCGGATGGCCAACACATTGCAGACGATTGAGGAAATTCCCCGTCACAGCCAATATGAAAAAGACAAACAGACTGTTTCTTCAACAAAGTCACTTTGGCGGAGTGGTTAACGCGCTGCCCTGCTATTCGCAAGAAAGCAAGTTTAGGCAGTTCCCTCGGGAGCACAGGTTCGAATCCTGTAGGTGACGCACTTCTTTTTCCTTTTTTCCACATGTTTATTTTATTTTCTTCTTTTTGCATTCCTTTTGCTTTTGCTTCTGCATCTCTTCGTATGGATATATCTTGCCATTGTTGTCGCCAGTGTTGTCGTCTTTTAAGCCAACTTCACGCTGCGTCTTACTTTTTTCCTCTTGTTCTTTTTCTTTTCACATCTACACTATCCCTCATTCATGCACGCCTACTGACACTGGAGCAACAGGTGACGGTTCGCTTTTTGAGTTCCCTTGACGAGCAAACTTCTTCGATAACAACAGCCCAATTGGTGGCGCGACGAAGGGTTTGAACCGTAAGCCACGAGTTTGGATACGCGTCGTTTGGACGTGGCCAACCTGACGGATAAGGTGAGATGAAAGGTGAGATGAGTTGTTCAGCAGGTACGACGGAAGCCGTGAAAATTCTGCAATGGCGAATCCAGGCAATGCCGGCCGAGGTCGACTGCCATGCGGCTTGTAGGGAAGGAACGTGGGAGTTCGGCACCTTGTGCATCGTCTCGCACCTGCCCCTCTCAAGTCCCTGCGACTTTCAACCCCAATATTCCGTTCCTGGCTCTTCGGAAATGGAGGACTTGGCTCGATAATTGCATCTTTCGATCCCCAACAGACAAATCCCGACATTTGCAACCTTTTATTCCCATCTGCCCTTTCCCCAAGCAACACTTCCAGTGTCGTGATCATAAGAATTCAACCGAGTCTCGCTGTCCAAAGTCCGCACCTCAACATAAGTCACGATGTCTCCTTTTCTTGAGCTAACTAAACAAGAAAAAATACGGCAGGAGACGTGAATCTAAAGCGGCGTCGAGGAACTGAACTTGGCCTGATGACCACAATTAACTTTGAACTCCATATGGCTTGAAACCCTCATCTGAACATCTGACAACCGAGACTACATCATACGGATTTCAAAAGCTCAGCAAACACTCCAGTGTTCTAACTCGCCGGGGCGACATAGCTCCAATTTGCACTAGCAATGTCCGCTGCAACTCTCGAGCAAAGTTGGCGAAGACACTCCAATATAACTCTTTGTTGCGACTCTCAATTCATCTCAATGAGATCTTATGGTGGTGTTCACGAGCCAAAGACACAGTGACAATGCGCCATTGAGGTGCTTATTCGAAGACTCATGGGCTTCGAAGCCGAAGAAACAATGACTCGGCACTCAACAAAGAACCGAACAGAAGAATTCCATTGTGAATAAATTTAACTTCGAACAATGGAAGCCTAGCTCTTGCTCCACGTTACTCGCGATGTCCTCGGGACGTGATAGCTTCGACAAAGGATACATCGCGGTTGTATAAAGCTATCTTACAATCCGACTCCCATGCTAACATGAAACCCTCTGTTCAGAGAATAACCAGCTTGAGCTGACACCTACCTATCTTGGCAGACATAGCCAGAACCCGGTTACAAACCAACCTAACAGAGCATATCAACAAACCACACAGCGGTCTCCAAGACAACAGAAGAAACACAACCAAAATGGATCAAGAAAACGAGACCTTCTTCCCCAACATTCGACGCTACCTCTCCCTCTCCCCCGCGCAGCAAAGATCCGCCAAGAAGCCCAACCCCGTCTGCTCCATCTGCCTCGCCAACCCGCTCAAATGCTACCCGCTCAACAACCACGGGCCGAACGCCACCGTTGACAAGGAAGGTAACGACCTCGAGTGCATGGCCATCCTCTACTGCGGCCACGTGGTCGGCTACGACTGCTTGGAGGACTACATGTCAACCTGCTACAACAACTTCTCGCGCTCGCAGGACGAGAAGGACCTGCCGCGCTGCCCCAGCTGTCGCGAGTCGCTGATCAAAGATTGCGAAAAGCCCTACTTCGCCAATGACGATGATCAGCAGCCATACTACTTCATGATCCCCTTTGTCATTGCGCCCTCCGCGCCGCCCATCCCCGGCGGCCCCCCCGATGCACGCGAGAATTACACTTATGGCAATCCCGTGCAGTTCAACATTCTCGACCAGGGCCACATGCACGCGATCGCCTTCAGCTATAACAAGTGGCAGGACATCCCGCTCACCAAGGCGGAGGGCGGCCTGCTGCCCGCTAGCTGTCAGTGCTGCGATCCGGCGCTGTACCGGCACGCTTACGCGGCGTACGAGGCGCAGCAGACGGCGCTGCTGGGCCTGAGGCCGATGGTGATGAATAACACGCTGTATGCGACAAAGGGCGCGCCGCGGCTCGTGCCGGGTCCGAGGCCGTCTGTGTTTGCGTCGCCCCCCAATAGGCCGACTCACAACATCTGGAAGCTGGGGTTTTGCGTGGTGGCGAGGGTGCCGATGGAGGATGGGACGGAGGATTGGGCCCAGGTGCGCATGCGCGTCGGGGATAGGATCATGTATCAGGCGGCTTTGAGCGATGGGACCCCTGTGGAAATCCCGCTGGAGCCGAGGTGTTTGGGTCCGCCGCAGTTTGGACCGATGAGGTTTGGAAGACATCCGAGGGTGTTGCAGGGAGCGATGAGGGCAGGGCCAAACTAATTGGGGCACATTATCACTTTGGATTTCAGTGAATCCAAGGGACAATAACACTCGCTTATTTTATCCTTCTTGTTCTTCAGGAGTTATTGGATACCTATATCTAAGCATTGCGCTGTAAAGATGGAGATCGATAAATAGACTTTATATACCTACATGTACTATTATGCTCAGCGACCAAACTGATTGGTGCAATCCGAGGGGGCATTCTGCTTTGTCAATCGTCCGTTATTTGTGTTTTGTGAATATGTGAAATAAACTGGCACTTGGACAAGTGATGAATGTTTTCCCGGTTGAGTGCCTTTCCGCCGCTGAAAGAGTCAAGAATTCATCAACAGATCAGCCTCATGGAAATTCATATAAACCTGACCACCAGAGTAGTTACTGCCTACTACCCTTTATCCTTAGAGACATGGCTCCAGGTGAGGCTGATATGCAGCTTCCCAATCAAGATTTCCTTGAGCGTTATATCTTTTCTTTGTCTGTTCCCCACCTCCCCTTTGCGTCATTGCTACTTCAACTTCAACCATCCCAGACATACTCTACACACACACACGCACAAAGCCTTCGCGGCTTCCTTATAAACCAATAGATGGGGGTGGGGGAACGATCCCGTCAGGTAACCAGTAAGGAAATTCCCCCTCAGCTCCGGGACAACCAAGTTTATCATCAACCACGTGAATATGCTGGTCTGTGTCTCAATCGTTAGCCCACTGGCATTCACTTTTTCCCCTAATTCCAACTCAATGAGACAATATGATGGCGGAAATAGGGAAGACCAAAAAAAGAGAAACCACTATTTCTAGGTAGGTACTTGACTTACCCAAATCAACTTGCGTCTCCTTTTCTACCTTATCCCCCCCAGCCTGCTGACACATGCATTTCATATATTTTTTTGCTGGGTTTTCCACACCTGAAGGCATAAAGCAGTCCCTGCAGGTCTTGGAGAAATCCCCCTTGCCGTCGGTTACAGGGAAAAGATCGCCGTTGATGTTGGCGTAGCATGGATTAAGATTCAACAGGGAGTATTTTTGTTGACCATTTTGATTTGAGCCACAGACCCCCGACATGACGGGTGATCCGTTGTCGGTGTGTTTTTTTAGGCCGGTGTCTGGAAGGGGGGGGGACTCTTATTAGTAGGAGGTATCATATATACGCCGAGCAAGAAACCCTGAGAGTAGTATATACTGGCGCTCAGCGAGATATTTGGAGAGAATATGGAGAAACAAAGCATCGCCACCTCTGATGAAGACTTACTAGGTTGACAAAGGTTATAATACCCTCCTTCAACACTGCCGCCGTCCCTGGCCACAATGAGTGGAGGAATAGACGCTTCCCTTCCCACCAGTGCCGGCAGCGCTGCGACGGCTGCTGTCGCCAATCGGACGTAATTGGAAAGTCCGGCACCAACGGCTAGGCCGACTTTGAGTTGTGCGAGTCGCATGTTGCTGGCGGCCGAGCTTTTGGTCAGATATTGCTCGGAATGGCGGAGTGAGTTATAGAAGGCAGGAAGGTATGAGGAGTGCAGACAGGCCGAACAGAGTGAAAGGGCGGGGAGCGGAAGGATTGGTAAGATATATGAATGTGTATGTGGAAGTAGTTGAATGTGGGGATCGTGGGTCAAGTAAGGGAACACGAGTCCGATGAATAATAGATTAATGATCAAGAAGGGGACGGCAAACTAACGGCAAACACTACAAACATCAATCAACTCACATTCCAACAAGGCAAGACAAGACCCCCTATGTGCCGTCACACTGCACCAACAGCCCAGCACTGAATCGTGCTACATTGGGCCCGCAGGAACTGTTGTGTGATTGTCCTGTGCCTTTGTGTTGGTGTTTCTGTGTCTTTGTTGGTCAGAAACATAGCGGCGCCGCCGGACAAACACCTTGTCAAGGACTGCTAACGGAACAGAATAACTTTGCAGGCGGAAGAATTGCTGGCTTGCTCGCCCCCATTCGAAGTCTTTGGTGCGATAAAAAGAAAGTACTCTATTTGAACTGAAACTTTGAAGACCCGTGATGATAAACTGGACGCGCGAAATGAAACGCCAAGGTCAAACTGGGCAGAGTGATGGACTTGCCTGGATCAAGTGTTGACAGGATGAAAAGTTTCGGAGGGGAAACCATCCCGCCTGGGTGGTAAGGAAATACAGTACCATAACTTTGGTTTGGGTCTGGCTAGTCCTGCCTTGGACTGCTCGGGACCTGGGAGTGAGTGTTTTCGAGCGGAATGGATAACCACGAAGACTAACAACCGTGGCCTAGGACCGTTAACCTTTTTACCACGATTCTGTCATCTTCAGTCCAAACAGAACGACACTCGGTTCGAGTTCGAGGTGAAATCCCTCGAGTAGAGATCCATCATGATATGATAGCTCAGAGTTTTGGACATGCTACGCCACAATGCAAAAATGTACATTGTGGGCGTGGATTGGTGTAGACGTAGGTAAGATGTATAGAGAAAGAAAGAATCTGGAGAGAAGAATATGAGGGAAAGAATCCAGCAGAGAAAATTCCGCTCCATTGGATGGTGAAGAATTACAGCAGTAGCACTTGAAGTACTAGGGTGAGCCACGACGGCCACAACCTGACCTCTCGGAAGCGCCTTCCTTTCTACGGAATGGATGAATCGTGGAGAAGGAATGAAGGAAGGAAGGAAGGAAGGAAGGAGGGAAGGAAGGAAGGAGGGAAGGAAGGAAGGAGGGAAGGAATGGTGGGTTGCCACAACTCCTGACCGGCTCTTTCCAGCCGGGGAAAACTTGATACGGCTTACGTGTTCTCGAAATCCCTCATGGCATCTCGAACGAGCGGCTGTTTCAGAAAAGAAGAAGTGGGCTCGATGATTGAGGTGTTCACGTACCTCGCTTCATATCTCGCCTCATCGTGTTGGTATCCCAATACCTGCGCTTCACTTAAATAATTTAACATGCTTCTCTACTTGAATCTATCTCGCTATTGCATCTCTCATCCACGTATGCCTCTCGGTTCATCCCACACAAACTGGGCTTTTCCACGCTGTAGTTTCGTTCACGGTTCAACACTTCATTTGGTCACAACACGTCCATGAGACCACATCAGCTCACGTCACTCTCTCCATAATGGCTTAAGCAAAGTAACTCTTCCACAACACACCCTCCAAGTCCTCCAGTTGTTCGCTTGTAAAATACTGTAGCAAAAGCGTTAGCATATTTCTCTTTAATAACCAAGACATCATCATGAAAGAAAACTCACCTTCTGATCAACAGTCCAACTATCCTGCCTCGTCTTCTTGAACTCCGCCAAGATCCCTTTGGTCGCCTTGCCCACCACACCGGGATCGCTCGCCGCGTGCGTAGCCAAGTGCGCCAACACCTCAGGCATCCACTTGGGCGGCGGCGTGGCATAGGGGAAGGCTTCGATGAGGGCGCCCAAGCCCAGCACGGCCGCGTGCCGTCTGACAATCTGCTTCTGCACGTCGACGGGCGTGTCGGTGCCCGGCAACTTGCGCTTGGGCATCGGGTTCATCTTCAGCTGCAGCTGGAAGCGGGCCTTGAGCTGCTCGATGATGGGGTTGCGAATGCTTTCCGGCGAGCACCTTATCATGCCAGCAAGGGTAGCGCTAGCCCCGTCGCGAACTTCGAGTTGCACGTCCGACAGCATGTCGCCGACGGCCTCGAAGAGCATTTGTCGCTGGGCGGGCTGGGTGAGGAAGAGACGACGGAAGTAGACGACTTGCATGTTGACCAGGGCGCGTAGGCGCTGATGCCATGAGGTGGCCGTCTTGCCGACCCTGATCAGGGCCGCGATGAATGCGTCGTCCTCGCCGGACCGGAAGGGGATGTTGGGCATGTGCCGGTAGACGTGATATGCGAGCCGCATAAGCTCGGGGTCTTCCTTGACGTCCATCATGTGCAGCAGCTGGTCGATGAAAGGCTCAGGGAAGAATGGCACAAGTTGGATGCATTCCTGGGAGGCGAGCATGCTATCCAACCATACAAGTACCGTCTTGGAACCAGACGTGTAGCTTGAGGGCGTCTGCTGTCCGGGAGTGCGCTCATGGCGCCACTTCTCCAGACGATCAAAGACCTCGCGGATCGTGGCCGTGAACTCCTCATTTGCCTCGTAAGGACGAATACCAATCGAGGATGCACTCTTGTTCTGCTCAAGAAGGGCCGAGACATTGGGGAAAGACTCGTGGTATCTTGTTCGGTAAATCGTTGCAATGACTCTACCAATGGATTCACGAACGGACTTGTAGGGGTGGTCGATATGGGCAAGGAAGTCTTCGAGGATGGGCTTATCACGGCGGAAATGCCAGCCAGCATCGTTGATGATGAACTCGAGCAGCTGGATCTTGGCGGACTCCTTGAAGGCTGCATTAGAGTTCATATCAAGGCGGAAGTTGGCCAAAGAGTCAATCAGCTCCTTCGAACGTCTAGGGTCCTTGGAATCAACGGTAAGATGAAGACATGTCATCCAGTACTGCAGGTTATCCGGTGTCAAATCGTCCGCGATCACCTTGAGCATCAATGGTGCCGCGAAAGCCCAGACCTTGTCGCGGAACTCGCGGGGGTCATCGCTGCTTCCCGAAAGCATGGCTCCAACGATTTCTGCCGTAGCGCGGTGCTGGTGCTTGTCGCTGCCATCTCCGTAGATCTCCTTCGTCAGCTCAACGATGTCGTCAAACGTGGCGGCAGTCTGGCCATAGTTCATGAGGTCAAACACCTGCATAAGAAGAACGACGTTGGACATTCTGAATCTGTCTGCACCGGCATCTCTGGGTTCCTGCTTGAGGTACTCGAAGCATTGCTTGAACCAGTCGCGGGTCAAGAGCTTGCCGATTTGTTGACGGGCAGCTGTCTCGACCTCGTCATATGCCAGGAATGGCTCCGGATTCGCAGATGAGGCGGTGAACTTCTTACCCCAGACCAACCAGCCAGGGTGGTCGTTATCCACGTAGTACTTGATCTCATCACTGTTCTCGAACTGGGCAAGGAATTTCTGGGTCACCTCAGGATC